CACATATTCCTGAAGATGAAATGAACTAGTTTTGACATCAGATAATCCACTGGAGCAGATACACCGTTGATATTTGTAGATGTAGAGCTTATTATCTTTATAGATTTTGCTGGAAGCCACCCAGAGTGAAACCCAGCCAGATAGGCAGGGTAGAAATATTATTATTATTATTATTATTATTATTATTAACCAAAGCATCACTGAGTCAATTCCCAAGGAATTGAGTTCGCTACTGGAATGAGATGTGCATTAAGTGCCATGCCCTTTATTCAAGACAGTACAGTGGTACTTCGGGTTAAGAACTTAATTCGTTCTGGAGGTCTGTTCTTAACCGGAAACTGTTCTTAACCTGAAGCACCACTTTAGCTAATGGGGCCTCCTGCTGCCGCTGCATGATTTCTGTTCTCATCCTGAAGCAAAGTTCTTAACCCGAGGTAATATTTCTCGGTTAGCGGAGTCTGTAACCTGAAGCGTATGTAACCCAAGGTACCATTGTAAATTATTTTGCAAAAATAACCCTGCAAAATATCTATCCTTCTAAACCAGGAGTTGTCAACGTGGTCCCTACTGCCCATTAGTGGGCGTTTCAGGGTTCTAGGTGGGCGATAGGGGGTTCCATGGCACAAGCTGAATCCTCCTTCCATCGAGCACTGGTGGGCGGTCAGGAAATTTTACCATCAAGAAAGATGCATTAGTGGGCGGCGGTAGATATAAAAAGGTTGACTACCCCTATTCTAAACTGTGGCAGAATGGTCCACTTAACTCTTAAGTGCATGACAATACTTATCCTTTGCATTTAGTGTTTAATTAAACACACAGATATGCTTAGCCCATTTTCCAGCATCCTTCTCCAGTTGTTCATCCAAACAAAACTTCCAACATACTAAATGAAAAACTGAATGCTACCATTTTTTATTCTCATTACAGCTCATTATTTATTGCTACTTCAAAGGCTAGCAAGTGAAGTCCTTAAAAATAGGCAACTCTGTTTTTGCCAGTACTTTGTTTTACAGATGGTGGACAAGGTATTTGCAGCAGGGTGGGGGTGGGGGAATCTGTGGCCCTGCAGACAGAGATGGACTCAAACTCCCACCATCCCCCAACATTTAATGGTAAATTTAAATTTGCTTTTAAAAAAATGAAACTTACAGATCAATGCAATATATATATATATTTATTTAAAAACCAGTGCATTTCAGAAAATTTTTTTTTTCCATATGCAAAAAAATACACTTTTACAGTTCCTTTCAAGTTCTTAATCAACTGCCCTGGTCCAAGGAGAAGACAAATATCATAATACGTTTCAGAGATCTGTAGCTCAACCTCTGCAGTACTTCAAGTCACGAGAGACCTATGTGTAAGCTACTCTTACAATAATTCATTCTCTTCATCCTCCATAGGCAGGGCGGCAAATAGGCCCCACAGTATATAAATTAGCTCATGATTGTTAGAAAATGGATGTCAATAATAGCCATGGTTGTCAGGTACATACCACTCAAGTATTTACATTTACTATAAAACTCTCCTTCCTGCTTCTGCATACCATTCTCTTCCTCAATGCCCTGATTCTAGGCTGCAATATCTGCTGATCAACTCACTTCAGAAGCTCAAATCATGCACGTTTGCACCAACATAACATTCTTGGGGGAAGGGGTGTTTTGTGCTCATATTTTTGTGCACACAAAAGTAGCATAGGGCCGCAACCCTATATATGCTTACCTGAGAGTAAGTCCCACATTGAAGCTAATGGGCCTTACTCTTGAGTAGACATGCACAGGGTTGCTCTGTAAATCAAGTTACGTGTCGTACAGTATTTCGATCCTGAACAAGGGACAACTATACTACGGATGTGATTGACAGCTAGCTGTATTTAGCCCCCAAGACACTACACGCAACTCAGTACTCAGCGGCTCTGTACTGAGGGATCTCCTTAAACCAGCCTCCTCTCCTGGGCTACAAGTAGCTGGTGCAGCACTGTAACACCGCAGTGCACAATGAAAAACTCACAATAAAATACGTGTGAGGGAAAAAAAATTCTGCAAATTAGAGCGTATGTAAAGTTAAGGTCAGATCTCTTTAGAAACCTGGCAATTAGGTAAAACTATTGCAACAAGAGGCCCAAACAGAATGTACTTAATTGTTAGAAAACAGTAGTCTTCTGGCATCCTAAAGACTTACAAATTTTATTATGGTATATGCTTTTGTGGACTGGGTTGCTTCCAGATGCTCTGTTTATCGAGCATTCGTTCATCCTTATCTGTTTTCAGGTAGGTTATACAGCATTGCATCTAACAATCGTTATCCTGTGTTTTCCACTGCAATTTCCTTCACTTTCCTTACTGCAGATATACCTTCTTTATTTTTAAAAAGGTGCAAAAGAGCAGCAAACCCACTTTAATGAATTCATCAGAGTGCAACTGAACCCCACTCATAAAATAATGATAGTCTGGAAGTGACCGTAGAGTCCACAAAACTTATGCCAAAATAAAATCTGGTAGTCTTTTAGGCACAAGACTCTTGGCTGTGTTTGTGACAACAGAGAAACACCTGTGCCTCTGGAAAAAGTTAGAAAGGGCACATGTAAATCTAGAGGGATAACAGTGCGGTTAACTAGACAAATCAGAAGACCACAAGAGGGGCAAGTCTTGCCTAAACTAGGAAAATAAAGGACACAGACCAAAGTAAATTGGCAGCTTGCCTCTACCTGATTTTGGCAGTCTTCCTTTTTCTTAGTTCCTAAGCTGCAGCCCCCATTTAGCAGGGCTACCTGAGGAGAGGAATTCAGGAGGACTGGGGGAGCCATGCAGGGATGAGGTGAGGAGCTCAGCATCCTCCAGCCTGCCCCATGCACTTGGATCCAACCCACTGAGACAAACAGTATCTGTTTTGTTATAGTGCAGAGCTATATGACAAAAGTTGCAAAACGAGTGAGGAACAAACCACTTCTGCTGTCATTCGCCCTATTTGTCTTGCTCTTCTTTGAGCTTGCTAGTGCAACATGCTAAGGAACACTGACCAGGTACTTGCCATGTCTGCAGCTAAGAACGGGCTGAAATGTAACGTACGTCAGAGAGGGAGAACCGTGGCATAGAAGCACAGCTGGCAAGGGCAATGGGTTGGTACACACAAGTGAGAATCCGCTACAATCTGCGGCATAACAGTGATTCGCATAAGGACTTGGCTCACAAGCATTCAACCAGATATACAGTGGTACCTCTGGATGCGAACGGGATCTGCTCCGGAGCCCCGTTCGCATCCAGAAGCGAAAGCAACCCACGTCTGTGGGTCGCGATTCGCTGCTTCTGCGCATGCGCGTGATGTCATTTTGAGTGTCCACACATGCGCAAGTGGTGAAACCCGGAAGTAACACATTCTGTTACTTTCGGGTTGCCGTGGAGCGCAACCCAAAAACGCTCAACGTTCAACTTCAACCCAAGGTATGACTGTATCTGATTAAGTCAACAGGAGCTGCTTGAAAGCAATTGTGTGAAGACATGTACTCATGGTTATATTTCTTTCAAGGCACTATTATAGTGCAAGCATGAATTATGAAAAGTTAAATTATTTTAAAGCTTTGGAGACAAACATAGTTCATGTATTAAGCCATAGTTTTCATACCTAACAGCGGGTGGGACAGTTTAAAATAAAGGCACTACCAAGAAAAACAGGAATGTCTTCCCATCAAGCTCAGCAGTTCTGAATTTCAAGGTTTCTTGGTGGGGACGCAGCAATTTGGCATTTGCCCCATGACTGCACCTCACTCCCTGCCCCAAGTGCACTATGGCTTGATATCTTAGTTAATTCAGTTTGTATATGACTCATCTTAACTTTGAAATGGGTAGACACTGATCGCCGAAGAATTGATGCTTTTGAATTCTGGTGCTGGAGGAGACTCTTGAGAGTCCCATAGAACGCAAGAAGATCAAACCTATCCATTCTGAAGGAAATCAGCCCTGAGTGCTGACTGGAAGGACAGATCCTGAAGCTGAGGCTCCAATACTTTGGCCACCTCATGAGAAGACTCCCTGGAAACACTGGACAGTGTTCTCGAAGCTACAAACATGAGTCTGACCAAACTGAGGGAAGCAGGGGAAGACAGGAGTGCCTGGCGTGCTCTGGTCCATGGGGTCACAAAGAGTCGGACGCGACTAAACAACAACAACAACAAAGTAACAGAACTGAAAAGATGAGGAAGCAGATTAGGGTTGCTTAAAAACCCGCAGGAGTGAGAAATACACAGGACCAAACGACATGTTATGATAAACACAGTTTTTCCTGAAAGCATGCTTTAGGTAACCACTTTTATTCTGAAGAAAAAGCAGCCAGAGGGTTCCTAATCTGGATCAGGGCCCTGCACTGGGTTCCTACTAAGAATCCACTTACTCACCCGAGCCACTGCTTGCCTCCTGGTGGCCCTGTGCTTAGTTTAAGCTCGCATTTAAAAACCATGTTGTTTGTAATGTGTAGTTTGGCCTCCCAGGTTCAGCTGAGTTCTATTTCCACAGTATCTCTTAGTGTTGTGGAGTGCCTTGCAAAAACAGGAGTGTGACGTTATACAAGTCTACTCTGAAGTAAGTCTCAATGAGTTAAATGGGACAAGTATGTTTCAACCTGGAAGTCTTAAACAAAAAGAAGAATAAGCAGAGAGAAGGAAAACGGACCCACTGCACTTATTTGTAACTTCACCCTTCTTTTTAGCAATGGGGGCAAACCCCCTAAAATAAATAGGGAGGGAAGTAGTGCAAATATTAGTCATCTTAATAAATACACCTTGCAAAATGCAAATTTCTCAAGTAAAATTAGGAAAGGAATTGAGAACATTATTGGGTGGGGCACACACAGAGAAATAACAGCGTGAGGGTGGGAACCGTGATATGCAACTCCCAATCCTTTTAACACTTTTCCTCCCGAGAGAAAAAAAAATATAATTGTGTATCAGAACAATTGACATTTTATAACGCTGCTGTATTTAAAATACCCTGTGAAATTGGGCAATAAATCTAGAATTCATCGCGTTTTCTCCTAAACGGCCATTTGGAATGCTGCGATACATGATCAGCCGCCGAAAGCACCAGGCGGACGAATTCTTCCACGTCGAAGGAATAATTTGTAAACTTCGGGTGTTTTCCTAGTGTTGGATGATGCCCCTGAAGAAAAGGGAGTTAAGATGGTTTTAAGGAAGCAAAACAAGTCAGCTCTTTCCCCCTGGAAAACAAGCAGCAAATTGAGTACACATTTTAATTCATAACCGCTGATTTATCGATCCTCCCTAAAGCAGCAGCGTCAGTAAGAAAACACCTAACAGCACTGCTATTGATAGTCTGAACTAATGGCCAATTAATTTCATTTCTCTCCCTCCTCCAGCTATTCATATAAAATGATCCTTTAATCAGAGCAGAGAATTTAATTTGGGCTGAAGCAGAAGAATCATATTTCATGTGGAAGAACTGAGATGGGTAAAACATTTTTTTTTTAAAAAATCATCATCATCATCATCATCATCATCACACACAGAACCAAAACACCTTTGCATCCCACCCACTACCTCATCCTGAGGGAACACTTTGTCCTTCTTTTGCCAGGTGATGTAATGGACGCCTCTCAGCCTTGCAAGGTCTAAGTAGCAGCGCTCGTCTTCACAGTTGTACCTGGAGAGGAAATGATGGGGATTCATTAGCAAAAGGAGCAACGGTCCTCTTTAGTGCCTGCCCTTCTCCTGCAGGAAACGGAAAGGAGAATCATTCTATTAGCAATTGGAAACGGACGGGCTGCGGCTTCCCCTGCTACAGCTCTTGCTACAGAGAGAGCCAGGGTGGCGCTGTGGTCTAAACCACTGAGCCTCTTGGGCTTGCTGATCAGAAGGTTGGCTGTTCGAATCCCCGAGATGGGGTGAGCTCTCATTGCTCTGTCCCAGCTCCTGCCAACCTAGCAGTTCGAAAGCACGTCAAAGTGCAAGTAAATAAATAGGTATCACTGCGACGGGAAGGTAAACAGTGTTTCTGTGTGCTCTGGTTTCTGTCAGTGTGTTCCGTTGTGCCAGAAGCGGCTTAGTCATGCTGGCCACATGACCCTGAAAGCTAGCTAGCTATTTATTTATTTATTTATTTATACATACATACATACATACATACATACCACTTATGAACCAAAGTCTCTAAGCAGTGTATATAAGGTAAAGGGACCCCTGACCATTAGGTCCAGTCGTGGCCGACTCTGGGGTTGCGGCGCTCATCTCGCTTTACTGGCCAAGGGAGCCTGTGTACAGCTTCCGGGTCATGTGGCCAACATGACTAAGCCGCTTCTGGCGAACCAGAGCAGTGCACAGAAACACCGTTTACCTTCCCGCCGGAGTGGTACCTATTTATCTACTTGCACTTTGCACTTTCGAACTGCTAGGTTGGCAGAAGCTGGGACTGAGCAATGGGAGCTCACCCCATCGCGGGAATTCGAACCGCCGACCTTCTGATCGGCAAGTCCTAGGCTCTGTGATTTAACCCACAGCGCCACCCGCGTCCCATCAAGCAGTGTATATAAAAATCATTAAAAGCATGCAATGGATAAAATAAAACATGATGGTTCATACAAAACCCCCAGAAAACATCCTTAAAATGCCTGCTGAAGAAAGGGCTTTGTCAGGTGTTCAACCGGGGAAGGAGCAGGCTGCCTAATCTCAGCCAGGAAAGCGTTCCATAGAATCAGATCCACAGGACTGAATGTATGACTCAGTGGAGACAAGCCATGCACCTGAGTCATGGGGGCCAGTAACACACCCACACCCTCAAGATCTCAGTGATTGGGGAGGGATACAAAGGATTGGGTGGTTCTTAACATAACCTGGATCCAAGCTTTGTAAATTAATACAGTAACTTTGAACTTACTAACATACAGCTCAGAGGTCAAGGACCTGCATACGTGCATGGTAACATGGAAGTTACAGTTCGTATGACGATAATTTAGATAAAACTGGGCTTTAAAGAACCTCCAAATCTAGGGTTCAGCTACCCCCATCGTAGGACTAAGAAAAAAACCCGATGGCACACTTCATTGTGCCTGGCTTCTATACCATGCAGGATTATTTCAAATAATAAAGACCCTTTCCTATTAGTAAGGTGAAACTCAGCTGGAAGCAATGGCTTTAAAGATAAGATGGCGAGGAGGGAAATGTAAACCTGCCATACACAGTTTTAGAGCAACAAGCAGTAATCCAAGAACCATATCCTCATGAAGAAAACTTTAGAGAGGCCAGATCGATACAGTGAAGAAGAAGAGTTTGGATTTGATATCCCGCTTTATCACTACCCTAAGGAGTCTCAAAGCGGCTAACATTCTCCTTTCCCTTCCTCCCCCACAACAAACACTCTGTGAGGTGAGTGGGTCTGAGAGACTTCAGAGAAGTGTGACTAGCCCAAGGTCACCCAGCAGCTGCAGGTGGAGGAGCAGAGACGCGAACCCAGTTCACCAGATTACAAGACTACTGCTCTTAACCACTACACCACACTGGCAAAGAAAATACACTTTGTCAGAAATCTTTATAGAACTTCTGTGGGTTCATATCAACAGGACTCGGGCAAGGAATTAAACTATAAGTTTTTAAGGACTTGTTCAGCTCTCTATGGTTTTATTTCTCTAATTCATTTTGCCCCCGGGGCATTCCACATTGCTGGCTGGGTTTAACGTGGAGGTTTCCAGCTGCCAACCTCTGCCCAGACAAGTTGGCCAATGAACAGAGTTGTCACACTCCTGGTACACATCAAGGAATGCTTCTTCTAACTGTATGACCGAGGGAAGTTCAGTATCTGCTCTGATGGAAATATAGAGGCGCCATCTCACCCTCTGTGACATGTGTTTGCTTAAAAGCACGGTTTATAAGCCCTTCTTCGGATCAGGACACGGCAGCCCAATTTTCATGCAAATACAAAAAAAAGGAGCTATTAAACACATGAGAACATGGAGGCTTACAGTTCAAAGATGACAGCCCAGTCTGGCAGAAAGAGAAGGTGGGTGAGTCCTGCTCCATGCATCCCAATGAATATATCAGAATTGTGCGTGATTTTCAGCTGCTCCTTAAATTCGAGCTCCCTAGAGAAAACGTATAATAAGAATGGCTCTAACATGGGTATGTGTAAATAGAACAACAGATCATTGTTCAGATAGGTCAAGGATATCTTATGGGGTGAGGAAATAAGCTATACACCGAAATAAAATTCCTGGTGATGCTCAAGATCTTAGGAGAGCATATTGTTGCACTGGAGAAATTAAAAGGTTGCCATGCAAATGCACCCAGTCTAGTCCTTTTTTTTATTTTTTAAAGAAATGTACATTATTAAAAACAAGTGTTACTCAAACTCAAATCCATTACTAGCCTCAACATCAATAACGTACAGCTCATTCATAGTTTTCAAACTTGTACTTCAGAGGGCAATCAGCAGAGCAATCCGACCTGCCCTCCATGTTGGGCTGGGTGAGGGGAGGGGAGATTAGACTAGGCCAGAGCTTTCCAAACTGTGTGTCGCGACATGTTAGTGTGTCGGCTGCAGTGTGTAGGTGTGTCACACAAACACTCCCTGCGCTCCTCCCGGGGCTGGATTAGTTTAAGCTCCAGATTGCTAGGAAAACTGAATTACAGTGGTGCCTCGCAAGACGAAATTAATCCGTTCCGCGAGTGTCTTCGTCTAGTGGTTTTTTCGTCTTGCGAAGCAACCCTATTAGCGGCTTAACGGATTAGCGCTATTAGCGGTTTAGCGGCTATTAAAGGCTTATCATCTTAGCGGATTAGCTGCTAAAAGGCTATTAAAGGCTTAGCGGCTTAGATAAATGGGGGGGAAAGCGAAAAAAAAATCTCAAGACTCGCAAGACATTTTCGTCTTGCTAAGCAAGCCCATAGGGAAATTCGTCCTGCGAAGCAACTCAAAAACGGAAAACCCTTTCGTCTAGCGGGGTTTCCGTCTTGCGAGGCATTCGTCTTGCGGGGCACCACTGTACTGTGTCGCGAAATGATGCACGTCTAAAAAGTGTGTCACCAACAAGAAAAGCTCTGGATTAGGCAGAGCAGAGGTGTTCCTTTGTTCATTCTGCGGGACATGTGATCAGGTGGGCTGCTGGCAGGAGCCAGAGGAAGAGGCAAGGGCAGGGCTGAGACAGCCCTGGATCCTGAAACCCTATTGGTCCCATCCAGGGGCTGACAATCCTCTCCCCGCCCCTTTTCTGCCCAAGTCACCGGGAGCAATAGGGCTGCAGTTGTGGCCGTGGCCCTGCCCTTCCACAATGCACTGAGGCTGGAAGGGGGAAAATGTTCTATTGTTCTCTTTACTGACCCTTAACAGCGTACACTTATGCATGTTTGCAAGTCCTAATAATACGTTCAGTGGGAATTACTCTGTAGTCCATGTCTGGGATTGCAAACGTTCCAAAGATTTCAACAGGATTTACTTCCAGGAAATTGGTCTGTATCCAGTAATGGCTTTACACAAGCAGAAGAGGCAGTTCTCCTTATGGCAAGGTGGGGCAGGCCATTTTCACTGATCTCCTGTAGCCCTCTGTGCTCCCTCAAAATTAACTCCTCTGACAAAATTGAGTGCATCACCTGAAGCGAGCAGAAGCTCTTTCCGCTAGTGCAAAACCACCATGGGCCACAACCCGTCATGCGGGTGCAGAAAGGTGAAAGTCAAGTTAGGAACAGCTGCAGATCTGCTACGCCTTGCAGGTGTACTTACTTGTACTTGTAGTTTACTATTCGGACTTCAAATAACGGCAGCGTTTTCAAAGCGTTGGCAAGCTAGGGAGAGAGGGAGGGGGGGAAGCAACATTTCTGCATGATAATTGCTGTTTTTATTTCCCATCCATTTCCTGTACCCACCACGGCTTCCTTGTGCCCACTGCTCTTTGGAAGCTTTTACTCAACAGAAAATAATCTAACCTCATTTTGGTTTAATATCTTCCTGTATTCTGTACTCCGGGCGAGTATTGTAACTCTGATTTTCCCATCCTGTTGGAGAACAAGCAAAACAAAAAGTAGCAAAATGAATCCATTTGCAAGTTGAGGAGGAGAAAGACCAGCTGACGGACAATGAATAAATTAGTGCCCTTGATGTAAAAACAATTAGCAGAGTGATTAAAATGTCTTTTCCTTTTAATCACCTCGTTTATATCACACACAGGAGAGAGGCACATTCCTTAAAATGGATTGTTCTAATGTGCACTTTCTGTCGATCCTCCTTCCCCAAAAGCAGTATTTGCAACCAACAGCTAGTAAGTCATTTAAGAGTCCCCTTATGGACCTGATCAAGTCCCTCAACTCCCAGTGAAACCACAGAGAACTTGATAGCACTACCAGCAGCAAAGGTTTCCAAACCCCTTTGTTTTATTCAAGACAAAATGGCCCACGTCACCACAAACCACTGCAGTATCTGAAAAAGTGGAAGTCACACAGACAGACACAGTATGCTTTATATGTTGATGAATTATTGGGGTGCGGGGGGGAGGTGTTAGCCCACCTAACAAGGTTATTATTTCCCTTCCCAATTTAAAAATCCATCGAACCCTCGGGGGTAAATTGTGTAAAAAAAAAAGAAGAAGAAAGAAAGAATTACAAAGGTTTAACTGCATGACACCTATTAATACCAGCAGGAAATCAGGGCCAAATGGTTGCACACAGCTCGAAAACACCAGCCCCTTGTGATAAGCATGAAAGTATATTCTCCAGAAAATATTTTAAAGAACTCAAAAGCAGCCAAATTGATTCTCTCCCCCCAGTATACACCCTGTGTGTGTGTGTGTGCGCGCACACACACACACACACACTCACTTGTAGCCCTTTCAATGGAGCCAGCATCTTCCTGTGGATTCAGATATTGGACAAAAAGCAAATGTCGCCCCCTGATTTAGCCAAGGATTTACTGGGTGGCTCTGCTGGGCTTGTTGCTGCTGGAAAACTTGTTCTGGCAGCACCAAGCAAACCATGCAACTGCAGAAATGACTCAAGGGTTCAGAGCTATGCCTCTTCATAATTCTATCTCTTCATAAAGAGATAGAATTCGCTACGGCGAGAGAGCTGGTGTCCATTTATCACCCTGCATGTACAAGACGCCGCAGGGAGCACAGAAGTACTGCAGGCAAGAGGCATCTCCTTCAGTATTTAAATTCTTTGCATCCCCTTCGCCATTGCAAGGGAGCTTTCATTCGTCAGGAAGATATGCAAGTCAGTGGAAACAGGAGTGCTCAAAACTACAATGAAACTTAGGACTGTGGGCATCGGAAAAGAGAACTTCTCAAGCTGTGAGCACGATCCGAAGCAAGAGAGAGGGCGCATGCAAACTCAAGCTTCATTCGCGATTCTTACAGAACGGCACAGAGCATCACTAATACCTTGGGTCCTTCTTGTGTGACATTTAATCTGTGCAGCACATGCTGGGAAAAGGCTCTGAATAATCCTGTACCATGACAGCTGGATATCTGAAATCACAGCAGACATATAGGAATAAAATGCACCCATGTGCTATAATTTTATAATTTTTTTGCTAGTAACAAACCGCACCCCACCTCCAAACAAAGTTTTTATGAATTGCAGTCCTTCTTCTTTAACACATCTATTTAAGAAGCTCACAAATCTTATTCAAAATTTCTTTTTTTATTAAAAAAAAAAAGTGGGTGGGTGTGGAACCCAACGTATTTACTCACCAATGGTGTATTATAAAATAAGCCGTACCTCATTCGAGGCAACAGTGTAAAAACTGCTTCTTCGAAGCATACCTGAAAAAGGAGATCATTAACAAGTTACAGCAGAACTCCTGATATATAATTAAAAGAGGTGAATATAAAGCAGGACCTATTAATACTGCAACAGAAGCCAGATCACAGCACCAATCTGAGCCCCCCGCCCCCCCTTGCGTTAAGCACTGAACAAATGACTGAAACAGAAACAGCATCTGACACAAAGACCCGAGAGGGTAAGATGAGGAAACTTTATAATGGGGGGGGGGGGGGCAAGGTGAAAACTTTCCCGATGGGGCTACATGAAACAAAAGGGGAAGGGGAAATTAAGCACAGCAGACACAATGGAAAACAATGGCAGCTTGCCCCTGGGTGGCAGTGGAGCCCCTCTCCCACATTCCTGGAGCACAGACATGCAAAGGTTTGAGAGGTCCTGAGCCTATGCTCATATGCACAGCACACTCAGACTACGTGCCTAGAATTAGGCGGGGTAACTGCTGTTAAAACCACACTCTTTTAAAGGAGGTTAGAAGTCATTCTTTAGTGTCCTTTGTTTCTATTTCTCTTAACGAAAGGCAAATTGAGAAAGCATAAATGTGCAGATTCCCTTGGTGCTCCTCTGTCCAGATTACTGAATCTCCTATTTAATCCTATGCAAAACCATAAACATAAACCTGTGTGTGCGCAAGGTACTTTTCTCTCACCTGCACCTGCAGAAGTGGACCGTGCAGGTGTAGCCTTATAGTAGGAATGAAAATTTTAAAACCCTCTACAGTAGGCATGTCCAACAGGTAGATCGCGATCTACTGGTAGATCGTGGAGTGTTCCTGGTAGACCCCGGTAGATCTCTGGCCCCTCACTGATCCCCTCCCCACCCCCAACAACAATGGGTAGATCACTACCAGTTTTTTTATACTGTGAGCAGATCACAGTACCTTGGGAGTTGGATGTCCCTGCTCTACAGCAAGGGTGGTTCAGCTGTAGTTTAAAGACCCATATATATTCGGTAACATGATCACAAAGCTGAACTAAAAGCACTGACTTCTGGGTACAGCCATCTGTTTGTTTGTTTTTTTGAAAAAGCAAAATATTCCTCACTCTCTTTGAATCGTAGGATTTCAAATGTATTATTTCGTAGTCTGTAAATGCCTTCCACGTTTCGCTGAACAGGTCTCCGTATCCATAGGCACTCTGTGAAAAAACAAAAACAAATGGAAGCACAAGTGAGGTTTTAGTGAGAAACAACTGATGATTATTTTCACAGCTTTCAGGCTTATCTATAACCCTCCTGCCTTAAGGCTAGAATCGTAAACACACTGAGCAGAGCAGGGCAGGGCAACCTGTGGCCCTCCAGATAGTATTGGACTACAGCTCTCATCATTCATAACCATCGGCCATGCAGGCTGTAACTGAGGGGAACTGGAGTCCAACAACCTCTGGAGGACCACACATTCCCCATCCTTGTAATAGAGAGTATCCCCAACAAGCCCTATGGAACTTACTCCCAAGAAAGCATGCATAGCATCGAACAGTCCGTAATCACCAGCATCCTGCTCTTTCGTTTCCCAAAATTAAACGGTAGATCCAAACTTTGAATTTGGGTATATTAACGTTAGACCAGCTGATAAACAAAGAGGATGATTTTTTTTATACATATTCCATCTTAAGAGACAAATACAGATTACCTACAAATGTTCAATGGCAGTATCTCCAGATAAAACACTTGCTAACTGCCATCTACGGACTAGCAGCTTTTACAGCCTCAGAGACCCCAGAGATATTCAAGCAGTTGATTGATTCTTACGGAACAAACAAAAGGCCATCAATCTATATAAATCTTTGTTATTAGCAAACCAATTTGATATACAAGTACTGAGGGAGGATCGGAATAAAGAATTAGAGATCTCAATTTCGACCACACAGTGGGGAACTTTTTCAACTGCTATAACAAGGGTGTCTCTGAACCTTAAATGGAGGCTCATACAAAATTTGAAAAGGGGTGACATTGATCATCCTATTCATTGCTCTGCCCGCATTTGCCTCTGGCCTCCCCCTCCCCAGGCACTGTGGCCCTCGGAAGATTACCCAGAAAGGAGTGTGGCTCTTGGGTAGTAAAATGACCCCCAGCCCACCAAACACACACACACATTGTACACCTTGCCATATTTGTTTGTTTGTTAGGAAACATGCTGGGTACATGTCCCTCACTGAGTTCCTGCTTTGTTTCACTCACTTATAAAGAAACTAACATTTAGTAAGAACTGTAATTTTGCAAGAGCCAAAAGCTACATGCATTGCATAAAGTGGGGGGGAAAGCCTCACCGCCTCTGTTCAGCTAGTTTAAGCAGTTACTTGGCACCACCGTCTGGCAATGCAAGGAATTAAATGCATCTCTTTTGTCGATCAGAATGGCATTACAGAATTTCTGAGTGACTGCGGGGAAGCAGCATACATTCTTAAACAGTGCCGTTTCCCAAGAAAAGGTAGTGAGGTGGGAACCCAAGTCATATGCTTTTGACAGTCCTAGAACGGAGAGCGCTAAGTATAGCAGGACTGGGGAGGGATGAAACCAGGGACTCTGATATACAGGTGCAAATAAAAACGTTTTTAAGTGTGTTGTAAAGTTCAATATACAAATGTGACACTAGATGGCGATAGTGTGCTATGGCAATTTCAATGTATTTTTCAAAATGTTGTTTTTTTTAAAAAAAAACCACACACATTTTCACAGCTTTTTTTTATACGTGCGTAGATTCCACCCAGGAGCACCACTTTCCATGCCAAAGATCTGCATCATTCGCAAATAAAGCATCAGTTCCCTGTTGCTTCTACTGCAGGTTCTGCTGGTTTTCCAAATACTGGAGTGGCTACACTGTGGCTCTCCAGATATTGTTGGCTGCCAGCTACCATGACCATAGGCCATGCTGGCTAGGGCTGGTGGGAGTTGCGATTAGATATATATTTTATAGGGAAAAGACATGGGTAGACCAGGCAGCTTCAGTACAGTGGGGAGAAAAACCATAAGAGTAGTTTGCTGGAACTGGCCAATAAGCCCATTTGGTCCAGCATCCTTTTCTCACAGTGGCACAAAATCTGCTATAAGCGGCCTTGTGAAGAAAATATCCAGCAAACGCGGGTGGCAAAGAACCCTGAAGACTATTGGTAGGCCTGGCAAAAGGGTGTGGGCAGTTCCTTGAACTGTCCAGTAGGTGGCAGGGACACAGTTATTTTAAGCATCAGTTGGTGACAGGAGGAAGGCAAGAGACAAGGAGCATAACACAAGAAAAACAGGAAACTCCAGTCTTTCATGCAGTGATTTCCTGCAGGATATTCACATAATGATTCTACATAGAAATATACACACAGTCTTTAAAACATTGTCAAACTAGTGACTCGTGGGTAGAAAGATATGCTAGTAATCATGAAGTGCATCTGTTTGTAGTATACAGTGGTACCTCGGGTTACATACGCTTCAGGTTACACACGCTTCAGGTTACACACTCCGCTAACCCAGAAATAGTGCTTCAGGTTAAGAACTTTGCTTCAGGATAAGAACAGAAATTCGGCTCCAGCAGCGGGGCAGAAGCAGGAGGCCCCATTAGCTAAAGTGGTGCTTCAGGTTAAGAACAGTTGCAGGTTAAGTACGGACCTCCGGAACGAATTAAGTACTTAACCTGAGGTACCACTGTATTTACAACCTAAGAGATTTATTTATTTATTTATTGGGGGGGCGGGAAATGGTGGTGTTGAAAACAGGGGAGGGGATGAGGGGTGGGGGTGGGGGGAAAGAGAAGCCTTAACTTATAGAATAAGAGAACAATAAGAATATACGTTTAAAAAAGATTGGAAAACGTTTAATGAATATATGGGTGAAAATTGTGTACATTTGAAAACGTTGGCAGGATTAAGATAAATTCAACAGTATAAATAAGTTTTGATGGATGTAAAAATGGAATACTGAATGGTTATTTTATGTAAAATATGCAGGGATCTGTGGCGTGCAAACTGAACCATGGAAGGAGAAGAATGGAAGTCATTGATATTTTAAGGTTGTTTAAATGAATATTCTAAAAGGTAAAATAGAAAAACTTAATAAAAATTATACCCCAAAAAAGGAAAAAAGGAAGTCACATTCAAGTGCTAAGACAGAAGGCAGCCACCCACTCTGGCTGATATATAAGATATATAAACTAGGCATCAAATGGCTCCTAAAAGCAAGGCTGCAGTTGCCGAAACGGAATGTCTAGTCGCCATTTTGGGGCAAGATGGCTCTCGAGTCTTATTTTTCAAATGACTGTGGTTGATTCACAGTTAAACATCTGGCTATTCAGATGGCAACCTTGAGGTAGCTTAAGAGCTTTGAGAACTTAAAGGATGAAAAGCCACTTGATCCTGGGACAGTCCACGTATATATTGGCCTATTCCTACCTCTTTTTCCTAATGGTGATTCCTGCTCCTGCTGTGCAGAAAAAGCAATTTGGTTCCAGAAACTCATTCCGATGGTGCAGATAAAACAAAGCTGATAGAATTCTACAAGGTGGGGTATTAGTGTGTGGAAACAGTCAGGATCCACTGATCCCCCGATGGTGGAGATGGCAGGAGCCATCCTGGCACCCAGGCATTCTCACTTGGTCGCAAAGTGGTCCACAGCCAGGTGCAAAACGCGCCTGGCATCTGGCTAATCTTGAACACTGACTGTATCCCTCCTATACAACCCTGTTGGAAGGATAGTTCACTTAATCCAGTTCGCTAGTGACAATGGTTTATACCAGTCTATGCACAGAGCATCTGGCACAGGTAGGAGTAACTAAGCTCCTTGCTAATACTGCCCGTGGTTTACATCAGACAGTGAATACACTACACCTATGAACACCAGCGTGTTGTGAACAGAAGATCTTACTCACGGTATCCCACATGACAATGTTGGTGTCCGTGCTGAACGAGTTGGTAATGTGCTGAGTGATGTAAAGATTGACAAAGTCACAGAAATGGTGGTACATGTTAACACCTGAGAGAAGAAAGAAAAACGAACCTTGTCATGGTTTTTCATTTCAAAACCTCTGCGTACTCTTAACACTTTCTCCTCACTTCACTGGAAGAATTTTACACCAGGCCCATCTTTAGCATTTAAGACTGTTTCTATGAATGCATAAGACCTAAGATGACTATGAATGTCACATTCGGAGTCTTATTTGCAAGGATGAGTCTTTGCCCAGTTGGATTTTGTGAGCATTTCTATTAACCCATTAAAACAGTGTCCTATTAACCCATTAAAACGTGTTCTTCCATCCCTGTGGATCTTCATGGTTGCTAACAATCCATCATAAGATACAGTATATATATGTGTGTGTGTGTGTGTGTGTGCATATCAACATTATCTGCGTGAGACAATTATCTGCAACATCTGAAGAGATTAGGCCACAAACCCAGGAAGAAACCTCAAGAACATGCAGAATGCAGAAGGGCAAATGATCAAGGGAATATAGCAACTCTCCTATGAAGGAAGGTTGCAAATTTGCGCCTCTTTAGTTCTGAGGAGAGGAAGTGGTGACATGATAGAAATTTAAGAGATGCCATAAAAGGACCAAACTCCCCGCCCCGCCCCCATTTTTGCAGGTCTTGATTGTATCTCCAAATTGTCCACGTTTCCTTTTAACCAAATGAAGCCACTAAGAGTTACCAATAATCTGATCTGGCCAGTGATGCTGGATGAAAAGTGTTTACTCCTTCCCTGCCATACCCTTTTCCTAACCAAAATCAATACCACTTACCCCACAGACCTCCATAAGGCAAACAAACATGATGGGGTTGTTTTTATCAGGAAAAGTGAAACGGAGTTGGGGGTGGGAGGGAAGGCCTGAATAATGTTGTTGAATTCAAACTGGCAACAGATACACACACACTGCATTTCATTAAAACAGAAAACCATGAGAGATTAAACCATGCATCTCCTAAACGGCATGCAGGACTCCTGACCATTAGGTCCAGTCGTGACCGGCTCTGGGGTTGCGACACTCATCTTGCTTTATTGGCCGAGGGAGCCGGCGTACAGTTTCCGGGTCATGTGGCCAGCATGACTAAGCCGCTTCTGGCGAACCAGAGCAGCACACGGAAACGCCGTTTACCTTCCCACTGGAGCGGTACCTATTTATCTACTTGCACTTTGACATGCTTTCGAACTGCTAGGTTGGCAGGAGCAGGGACTGAGCAACGGGAGCTCACCCCGTCACAGGGATTCGAACTGCTGACCTTCTGATCGGCAAGTCCTAGGCTCTGTTGTTTAACCCACAGCATGCAGTTTACATCTAATCATGAGGCTGGAATGGTGAAGCGGCAGGTATGTGCCAAAGACTGTGACTTGGGTCTAGAAACCACAGGCTCAAGAACCATCTCTGCCAGTATCTAAATGGCCTTGGGAACCATTCTTTCTGGTGGGAGTGGAGGAAGGAAATTCTACCAATACCATTTCTCTGCATTCTTGCTTGAGGAGGCAAGCACAAACAAAGACTGCAAAGCCCTTTGAAAACGAAAAGGGCTACAACAGTGAAGTGCAAGAACACTGGTGCAGCCCAGATGTTAAAAAAGAAAATTGCTGGGACATCTCTGTTCCAGATTTATTCCATTTATTTATTTCAAACGTTTCTATGTCCTTGGACAGGAACCCTTGCTTTTTAACTGTTCTCACTCAGAGTGCTGCTGCAAACTCAGGACAAACAAGACTTTGAAAACACAGCCCTGCTTCTGAGTTTTAAAGAGCAAGGAGCTCCATTCAAGTCAACTGGTGAAGATCATCTTAGACTGAACCAAGTTGACCAGAATGTCGGTGCTGACTGAGAACAGGCTTTGAACCAAGCTCTGAAGCTTCACAAATAGTTTAGGATTTAATAATAATAATAATAATAATAATAATAATAATAATTTATTATTTATACCCCACCCATCTGACTGGGTTTCCCCACTCACTCTGGGCAGCTTCCAACAGAATATTAAAACACAATAACCTATTAAACATTAAAAGCTTCCCTAAACAGGGCTGCCTTCAGATGTCTTCTAAAAGTCTGGTAGTTGTTTTTCTCTTTGACATCTGGTGGGAGGGCGTTCCACAGGGCGGGTGCCACTACCGTAAAGGCCCTCTGCCTGGCTCCCTGTAACTTGGCTTCTCGCAGTGAGGGAACCACCAGAAGGCCCTCAGTGCTGGACCTCAGTGTCCGGGCAGAACGATGGAGGTGGAGACGCTCCTTCAGGTATACTGGACTGAGGCCATTTAGGGCTTTAAAGGTCAGCACCAACACTTTGAATTGTGCTCAGAAACGTACCAGGAGCCAGTGTAGGTCTAAGAAACTTAAAAAAGAAGTTCAAAATAACATATAGCAGGGATGGCAGGCAGTTCTTGTCCACATTGACTTCAGCCTGCGTGCGGCATGCATAGAAGTGCTATGGTCATGTGTAAGCTGCCTATGCCCACAGAATATATCATAACTGGCTTCTAGCCTGCCCCTAAGTGTGCTGGGGCAATATCCAATTTGCTGGAGCATGCTACAAGAGAATGCAATACATGCAGAATGCTGTGCATATCAATGACCTTTACATGACCACCTCCAAACATATCATCCTGACATACTGCCAGGAGTCGTACAGATCTGCACATACGAAAACCACACTGGCTTGTACCTGCATCAAGCTTCATGAAATAAGTTGGCTTGTCAATAATAACATCACAACTGCCATCTTCCATAGGCCTGGAGTTCAGTTCCGTATATGTCTGGAGTTCCGCAAACCTGTAATTACAGTCATTTAATAGAAGCTGCAAATAATTATTTTTTTAAAAAACCACCCGTATCCAAAGACAATTAATTTAAGCAATGCACCAGGCAGACTTCTCTTCACAATGCTGGTGAAGTTAGACAAAGTTTGACAATTAAAATTATTTTTAATTGTAACTGAAGCTTCTTCAGTAAGGCTTCAAAAGGTTAAACTCTGCCTTTGATCTCAGGAGCAAGCAGCATCTTTGATCTATAAATCAAGAGCTGGGGAAAGTTTCAAGAGAGAGAATCTCTCTGTCCGTGCGTTTCCAATATCCAGTTAATTTGAATATATCTACGCTCATGTCAAGTGCACTGACCATGATTTTAAAGGCATCTCAGCAAAGACACAAGTTATTCATGACTGCAGGTACAAGACCAATTAGCATGATCCATTTAACAGCCTAGCAAGTCTCCGCCATGACGTAATACCATTTGTACTGGGCTCAGCTAATGGAACTTGAGCCCTGCAAGATATATTTCTAGAAGATGATAACTAAGAGGAGAGGGTTCTCTTCTGGATCAGGTATTGTTTCAGTAGCAGGAGGTATGAATTGGCAGTTCTCTAAATGGAGAAAGGGCTTTTTAATAAATTATCTAGAGTTGGGGTTAGCAGTGAGGTAGCCATAGCAAATTGTTCACGGTAGTTAGAACGACGAAGAGCTCCAAAAGCATGTCTCCGAACGGAGTGAATGGCCTGTAAATCTTAATACACAGACACTGAGATCCAGCACTGAGGGCCTTCTGGCGGTTCCCTCATTGCAAGAAGTGAGGTTACAGGGAACCAGACAGAGGGCCTTCTCGGTAGTGGCGCCCACCCTGTGGAACACCCTCCCTTCAGATGTGAAGGAAATAAGCAGCTATCCTATCTTTAAAAGCCATCTGAAGGCAGCCCTGTTCAGGGAAGTTTTTAATATTTAATGCTGTACTGTTTTTAACATTTGATTGGGAGCCGCCCAGAGTGGCTGGGGAGACTCAGCCAGATGGGCGGGGTATAAATAATAAATTTCATTATTATTATTATTATTATTATTATTATTATTATACACACACATGGTGCTTGAATTGGTGGGGACTGACCAAGTCAGAGGTTGTAGCAGACAGCTCAGTGAAGATGCTGACTCAGTGTGTGGTGGCTATGAAAAAGGAAAATCCCAAGCTAGGGGTCGTTAGGGAAGGAATTGAACACAAAACTGAAGCTCTCATCAGGCATTTATGATGTGACTGCATTTAGAATACTGCGCACAGTTCTGATTGCCTCGCCCCCAAAAGGATACTGTAGAGTTGGAAAAGGTCCAGGAAAGAGCGACCAAAATCATCTAAGGGATGGAGCAACCCCACTAAGAAGAACCGCTGCAGCATTTGGGACTTTTTAGTTTGATGAGCAGGAGGTAACATGACAGAAGAACTACACATGGCATGAGGAAAGTAGAAAGTAGGGGAGTTTTTCTCCCTCTGTCATAACACTCAATCTTGTGGACCTGGGAGCAACACCTGACAGACCAAAGGTTCCCCACCCTTGATACAGGCTATACAAAACAGGCCACATCAATTCCCAGGTTTCCCTATTACTTGTGGATTTTCATGTTAAAAAACAACAACGGTTCCCATAGAAAAGAATGTAATGCAGCCACAATGACCTGCTTTTCGTTGCTAACATTCTAGACTGGAATAACCATCACCTCAGTAATTGTCCCTTTGCTCCACCATCACAGAAGCCTGTTTCTTTCTTTAAAAACAACTGCACCCCTAACTACTGCTGTGACATGTTGTGGGAGACAGGCACACCGGGTTCTGCCCAACATGGGGGGCTAGGCCTGGCAAGCGCGCATGACGTCGTGCATCTCACGATGGTATGGGGCCCACAGGAGGGCCCAACAGAGCCTGCAGTGCCACAGGAGGGCCCAATGGGGCCTGCCTGGCTGTGGAACACTGAGGGGGCCTGGCCCCCACATTGAAAATTGGGGGGCCTCCACCCCGCCCCCATAGATGGGTGTGCCTGGTGGGAGAGAAGGGGAGTACTCAACTGAGCATAGTACTGGGAGCTGAGCTTTTCTGCAAAGATGTCTATCGTAGAGAAACAAGAAATAGCAGACAGCTACAAATCTTACCAAGACTGTAAAGGGCTCTTCCGCTGCCCTTCAGCAAGGAAACCTTGAATGTCTAAATTGCAGTGGCCTCCAATTTCACCCTTCTGGAAGAAGTCTTCATTGAATCTATTTAAAGAGGGGAAACATTATTAGCAGAAGTTCAAATCAAGTGTCAGTTCTAAACTGGACTACCTTGTGAGCACTCTCTTGATTAATGATGTACATCAAGGCATTGATTCATCATCACGCTTTAACTTGTCACTCTGTACAACGAGCATGCTTACTCAAAATTAAACTCTGTGGTATTCAATGAAGCTCACTGCCAGATCACTGAGCACAAGCTTGCAGTCAAAGGCTACGATCCTAAACACCGTGACTTCCATATAAGCCCCGCACTGAATATCGCGGGGCTGACTTCTGAGTAAGCAAGCATAGGATTTCACTGCATGTGATCTACTGGAAACATGGGTTGCATGGATCCCTGAAGTGTCTCGTGTGAACCAAAATGGTGATGTCATTGCTTCAACATGCATCCAGCCTACAGTTCAATCAACACAGTTGCAAATGTTTTAAAGGTCTCAAGAAATAAGTGTAACGGTCATACAATGACTATATATAGACACACTTTTGAGGGTATGAACGTAAAACCGAAACAAACTTAAGAACAAAAGCATGCTTCGTGAATTAAAGCAAGTACTGAATAAAACCAGCCATCTAGAAAATAACTGTGTTTTTCCAAATTCAGAAAGATGTTTGCAGAACCTGCTATAGCATTGTAGCTCAGCAACCCCTGGAGAGCGCAAGGTTCCCCATGTCTGTTCTACAATCATGAGGGTCAGCAAATGATTCTTTAAAAAGTAAAAAAAGAAGAAGAGATTTTTAGACATCATTCTTGGATGATTAAACCTATGCAGATTTCTGAGTCCTGGCATATATCTGTTAATGACTATTGGAGAAGTATTAAAAAAAATAGAAGTCTTTTGTAGAGGAGCAGAATTGCTTAATAGGGATATTTAGTGTGTCTGTTTCTCCTGTTGAAATGTAAGTAAGGTACGTACCTCTCATGGTTTCTTTTGGGGTTTCTTAAATCAATGTATAGATTTGTTGCTCTGCAATACTGGAGGTAACGAGAACATTGAAGTGAAGAATCTCCCTATAAGAAAATGACAAAAGCAACATATATATATTTTTAAGAAGAATTGGGGGGAAGTGGAGCATAGCATCAGGAAACAACTTTCTCTGAATGCATACAAGCATACTTACCTTTGCCTGAGGTCTGCAGTGAGTCTTCACTTCATTCATCCTCTCCTTAACATAACCAAAGTCAGCTTGCTTCCAGAATACATGCTGGGCCTCCTCAATGGTGTTAGCCCTTACATGGTGAAATAATGCAAGTGTGTCCATTTGAGAAAACATCAAGCTTTAACTATGGGAATAAACCCAGTCTATGGGTTAATAAATGCCACTGAACAACCTTATAAGCTAGGTTTACGGAGTGTAACAATGAACAAGAGCGAGTTTCAACATATTCTGCCTAGCACAAAAAGGGTACCACTTAACTGATCTGCAAGAAGGCACAGGGGCGCCTGCTTGGCATTTGGGATGGGAATAGATCAGTAGTGGAGATGTTAGCACTATTATGCGAATATTGTTTTTTGTTGTTTAGTCGTGTCCGACTCTTTGTGACCCCATATGGATATCTATATCTATAGCTATATCTCTATCTATTAATTAAAATGTTGCACTACTTTATCCCTGGTATATGTTATCAGAACCTGTGGCTCTGGAAAAACAAACGGCAGCATATAAATTGGGAGGCATTTGCTCTAATTTGGGTCTTGTTTCATGTACCAAAATAAATAAATACCAGCAGAAGTTCTCTATATGCAACTGAGTGTTGGGTTTGGCCTGGGCCTGAGTTTGCAGGAGGCACGGGGGCGTGGAATGTGCGCTTACCATCCAATCTCAGCATAATCACATCTCGGATATCCAAAACGGTTTTCAGGCTTGCATGATTTCTCATAACCCCAACAGGCTTTCAATTTCTTCAAGTATTTCTGGAAACACAGGAAAATGCCAACTTTGCTTTGGATGTTGGTGCCATGTTGCCGAACGAGCAAGCTTGCAAAAATGCACACGTGATCTACAAATAACCTGTGTGTACTTTTTACCTCTAAAGATTTGAGCCTACTTCCAGTTCTACACATGGACATACTGTAAGTCAATCAAGGTGTTTATTTCATAAAATCTATATACTGCTTGACTGTAGGAAACCTCAAAGCTGTTTATGAAAAGAATAAAATAGTTAAGATTGTCAAGAAAGAAAAACAATTGAGAAAGAAAAAGGAGAAGAAATTGCAGAAGAAAGAGAAAAAGAAGAGAAGAACAGAAACAAATTTACATACATAATCTTCCTATTAACGTCTTAATAAACAATTAAATAAAAAGACTTCTGACAAAACAAGTCTTCCGATCATTCTCATTGTACTGTTTATAATGTCCTTTTTGTCACACAGTTTCATATTCTTTAGTATTGTTCCTATTTACTCCAAAAGCAATATTTGTTATGTGTTTTATTTACAGGTATCACTGGAGTTCTGCTAATATGGTATGGTTGGTACAATATGATCTTATATAATTGCAATATGAAATTGTAAATCCTTTGCAAATATTTTGTATATGTGCGTAATTTAAATCAATAAAGACTATTAAAAAAAACAGTTAAGATTGTCAGTAAAAGCAATCAAGGCATTCTAAAAGTTAAAACCAGCAATAAATTAAAAACACACCAGCATTCTATGTATCTGGGTAAAAGGTAAAGGTAAAGGGACCCCGCTTTATTGGCTGAGGGAGCCAGCGTACAGCTTCTGGGGCATGTGGCCAGCATGACTAAACTGCTTCTGGCGAACCAGAGCAGCGCACGGAAACGCTGTTTACCTTCCCGCCGGGACAGTACCTATTTATCTACTTGCACTTTGACGTGCTTCCGAACTGCTAGGTTGGCAGGAGCAGGGACCGTTGCAGGGATTCGAACCACCGACCTTCTGATCGGCAAGTCCTAGGCTCAGTGGTTTAACCCACAGCGCCACCCGCGTCCCTATGTATCTGGGTAGGGTTGGATAAACAAGTATGTTGTTAGCAGCAGCCAAAGAGAATACGGAGGAAATTAAACACACATGGAAGCATGTATCATATTAAAGGCTCTAGAGCAGCCTTTCCCAACCTAGTGCCCTCCAGATGTCAACCCTGATCATTGGCTCGGGCTGATGCTACCTCCTGTGCACTCCATCCTAATATTCTTACCAGATGCAGACACAGATAGCTTGGGCACCCGTCAAATGTATTTCTTTCTCTTCCCACGCCCTCTTTTGGCACCTTACATTTTTTTAACTCCAAGCCTGATTAAGCGTTATGGAGAACTTGAAAGCTTGCACACTATTTTGTGACATTTTGGATAGCCCTAACATGGAGTCTGGAATCATCACCATCATGGTTTCTGGAAAAGAAGCCAGTTATCATCACTTTCAACCTCTTTGATTCTAAGAACACAACAAATCGGCATTAGGCTCCAGTAAAAAAAAAAAAAAGAGGCGTATTTACTTTATATGGGCAATGAAGATCGTTCTTGCAGGCTGTGGCAAAGGGCTGGTTATTGTGCAAAAAGTATGGGATATGTTCTTCGGGCAAGTTGATGTTTCCATAGCTATACAATGGCACTCGTGGAATGTTGCTGCCATCAGTAAGACTTTCACCTTGGGTCCTGGCCAAGATTTCTTGAAGTAGGACTCCAAATGCAAGCAGCATTAACATGGCAATCTGGAAAACCTAAAGCAAACACACAGAAAAACGGTTTAAGTATGGCATACCTACGACTTCAGTTAATTGATTCTATTCAACCATAAACCTAAAGTCTGTGTATGTGTGTTTTTTAAAAGCATGCAGCTATAGATCTCTTGGCAAGAAATTCTCTCCTCTTGGCGTAAACATGTGTTCATATAGCATTTATCGCTGTCGCAGTTGCGGAGCCAATAGGCGAAGGGAAACTCTTGCTCCCAAGAGATGCCTGGGAACTCAAGTCAGGAAACCGTGCAGGACTCTCGGGGGATTTGCTTCCTCTGCATCCAAGAAAAGAATGGAAACCAAAACAAACGGAGGGCAGAAAATGCCGGATCAGATAGCCACATTGCCTTTTGTGTATGTGGAATTCATGGGATTTTGCAGTTAGTGCTTTCATGGTTCAAACTCTGTCCCTGAGAACCTCTTAAAAGTCAAGGGGTGAGAGGCAGTTCTGATACAACTTTCCACTACCCCAGTAGTTTTTGAAATGTTTCTCGTGTACGCAAACAAATGGGAACATAATCATACCATAGCTAAAGCAGCATGTAAGAAAAGGTGGGAATTTAATATGGAAATGTAAAGCCATAAAGATGGATGATCATCCACATGGATGATCACCTTTTTATACTGGGCCAGGTTGAAGGCTAATCTAGGCTGCATCAACAGACGTATGGTATCCAGATCAAGGGAAATAATAGTACAGTGTACCATTTTGAGCAGGGATTCCATTCCTGGTCCCCGCGTGTCTCAGCAGAGCATGCATAAGCCTGTTACGCCCCATTACACCTCCACCCTGCCCCCATTCCTCTGTCTTCTGGGTCAAAAAGGGCCCATGCGTCAGCAGTTGAGCATCAATTGGACATGCCTAAAATGGTCGCCGCTTGTACCATTCTGTTCTGCCTTGGCCAGACCACACCTGGAGTAGCGTCCAGTTCTGGGTGCCATGATTTAAGAAGGATATTAACAAGTTGGAATGTGTGCATATGATCAAGGGTCTGGAACTCAAGCCTTATGAGGAATGGTTGAGGGAGTTGGGTGTGTTTAGCCTAGAGAAGAGGAGACTGAGAGGAAATATGATAGCCACCTTCTAATATCTTAAGGGCTTGTTTCCTCCTGCTCCGAGGGGAGGGGGGAGAAGGACTCGTTCCAATGGCTTCCAATTACAAGAAAGGAGACTCCAACTAAAAACCGGGAAGAACTTTCTGAAGGTAAGAGCTGTTCGACAGTGGAACAGTCTCCCTTGGGAGGTGGTGGACTCTCCTTCCTTTGAGGTTTTTAATCAGAGATTGGGTGACCACCTGTCATGTATGATTTAGTCAAGATTCCTGCATTGCAGGGGGTTGGACAAGATGACCCTGGGGGTCCCTTCCAACTCTACAATGCTATGATTCTATAGGGTTCTTGTACTACGGCACAAAGTACCGAACAACTTAGGTCAAGGGTACCGCCTTATACATACAGTGGTACCTCTGGTTGCAAACGGGATCTGTTCCAGAGGCCCATTTGCATCATGAAAAGAACGCAACCCGCAGCAGTGCGTCTGCACACACGCGGGTTGATATTCGCCGCTTCTGCGCATGATGTCATTTTGCACTTCTGCGCGTGCGAGAGCGGCAAAACCCAGAAGTAACCCTTTCCTGTACTTCCGGGTTACTGCGGGACGTAACCTTAAAGAACGTAACATGAAGCGGACGTGACATGACGTATGACTGTATCTGAAGACAAGTTCAAACCGAACAACCCTTTCACAACCCCAAAAAGCTCAGCTGGACAGTTACTTGGGTTCTCTTGGCCACTGCCAAGTAGTACAATTATTCACTTGCACCTCCATTCAGTGGAATTCACTGTGAGATTTCCAAGCTCTGTGCTCTAGCTACTGGCTGACCTGTTTCAGTGCCTGCAGCTGCACCATGATGGAGAGGATGCTCAGGAGATCATGTGGGTAATCTTACTCATCTCGCCATTGCACAATGAGATTAGTGCCTTGACAGAAACACTAGCATGCAGTCGAAAATTCCTCTGCTCTTAAAGAAGAGCACATATTCAGGTTCGGTTATGCCTTTCCTGTGCTAAAAATTTCAGAGCACGCTCTTTTCCTTTCCAAATTTAATACATACCAGTTTGTCACAGCTATTCATCCAAAAAAAGTGTCTATGGCCCACTAATACATTGTAAATGTACTAAGAGGAAGAAAAAGGACCACACAAGTAGTTTCTGGAGTAAATTATATATTGACTTCAACGCATACTGTTTATTATTGACTACATTGCCTAACGCAATTCTCTCCACCATAATCTGAACATTTTTGAGCTTTTTGAAACCGAACTTCCTTCTCTTGAAAGTTCTATGAATGCAAAGCTTCGGCCCTATTCCACAACACACCACAAAATGCATAGGGTTAGCATTATATTCTGTCTCCATGAAAAACATAATCAAGTACAGCAACTCCGTATTTTCTTGGATTTTGATCTCTATGTCCATTTATGCTGGAAGACACCTGACAAACCTTACCTCTGTGGTTAATGGCTCTGGGTCCTTAGGAATGGGAAGATAGAGAGAGAGATGCTGTCAGCCTCCCTGCCTGCTGCAGAGCTTTCAAACGGGACTTAATTTGCACCAAGGCTCATCGCCACAATATTTTTCAGTGCCAGGGTTCATACCTGTAACAATAAAGAAAAGTGTTTCTGAGCATATGCAGAATACAGAATCACAGAATCACAGAGTTGGAAGAGACCATGATGGTCATCTAAGTCCAACCTTCTGCAATGCAGAACACCCTAGAATAATCTGGATCTAGTAGATATGGTCTGTACATAAAGAGCTGCAGGTTCCACAGCCCGACTTTTTTTTCTCTTGCTGCCTCTTATTGCTTGGATCCCAGAATACCTGTGTACTGACCCCTCTCTTAGTTCATTCACATGTCTTCAAAATACACCTTTTCCCCCACAAAGTCTTTGGCGCATTCCCCTAGTTCCCATGCCTTAACATAGTTAGGAACCCTTTGGCCAAGCATAAACGCATGCAACTTAAACAAGCACATGTATTGCTCCTGCCTGCTTCCTTCATTGTTTCACATTTTGGACTAAAAGCTCCTCAGGATCAGGAATCTCTTGCACGGTGCCATGCAAACAAGAAGGATAACAATAATGTTGAAGTATCCAAGAGGAAATATCAGGCAGTCAGAGATATGGAACAGGGAGAGAGGAAGACCTGCAAAGTATAAGGACAGGTCCCTGAAGACAACAGAGGAAGGGAAGGGAAATGAAGGCAGCGACAAACAGACAATCACACACTTGCTTCACAGATTTAGCCTTCGCTGCAGCATGGAAAAAGCAGGGGAGCCAACCGCGAGTCTTCCAGATATTGGGACTACAACTCCGACCAGCCCCACCCCAGCCAGCATAGCCAATGATCAGGGATGATGGGAGCTGTCGCCCCAGATGTGGAGGACAGAGGAAGGGGTTGTGCTGAAAAGCCTGCAAAGGCAGCCCCAGACCTTCAGGCTGCAAGGGAAAAGAAGTCATTTGGAGAAAAGTGCCGGGGGGGGGTCTTTCATTTGGGCCACTGGACTATAAAGAGCGGAGCTCAATGGGATTTGCTCCCAGGTCAATATGCACAGCTAGATTCATGCCCGATAGGATCGCATTGAGCTAAACCCTCGCCCCATCTTCCATCCGCCCGGTTCTCTCTCCAGAGATGGAATTTGCAGAGAGGCGGCACCTGCACTCAAGAAAGGAGGGAAGAAAGCCACACTCACAAAAAAGGGGGCTGGGATGGGGAGAGAGAAACCAGAAACTCTTATGCCTGCTGCCTGCAGAAAACTCCAAACCGACGCGAGGAGACTGCGCGCCAAGGAGCCCCGTCCTCGTTGCACCTCCAGCCCCGGAGACGCCCCGAAGCGAAGCCAGGCGCGGCGTGGCGCGCTCTCCGACCCAGGCCTGCGCGCCTCCTCGCAGCTTGTGCCTCTCGGGAGTCGGTGCCAAAGCCGCCGCCGCCGCTCCTGTGTGGAGCTCCCCTCCACCGGCGCCGAAGGGGGAGCGCGAAGCGACGGCGGCCAGCGGAGGAGGGAGGGAAGGAAGGAGGGGCCACCACAAGGCGCAGGCTCGGCCCTCCGGAAACCCAGCGGCTTGGCGCCAGGCCCGGAGCGCGCCGCCGCCTGCGCCACCTTTTGGAGACGACCAAGGCGAGGAGAAGAGCCAGGTGGGGACTAGAGGCGCCTCTCGCGGACAGCCTGGGAGGCGAAGGGAGCAGACTAGCGAGGGTGCTACAGTTCCCGGGTGCCCAGAGCACCCACCTGACACATCCACCACTGAATTGGTCGCAGGGGGCGGGAAAGCAGCCGCTTTCGGCTCGGGAAAGGGGTCCTCCTGGCTCAAGGCGCGCGCGCTCTGCCGGCTAGGCGCGCCTGGCATCGAGATTCAGGGCAATATACGGTATATTCAAAGCTATATATCTACATATAGCCTTGAATCTATTATCTCGATGCCTTTTAGTAGTGCTCAGTCAAACCTTTACCCGGCTGAGGGCCTTTCCAGGTGTTCTAGAGATCTCCAGGTCTAGATCTCTTCAACCAAAGTTAATGCCACACCAAGGACTCAGCTACACAGCTGCCAAGAAAACGTTTTAAATGTGTTGTAAAGTGCAATACAGTACGCAAATGTGACACGAGAGGGCGAGAGCGAGCTATGCAAAATTCAATGTCTTTTTTCAAAACTTCTTTTAAAAAGCGTTTTTTAATGTGTGTGTAGATTCCACTAAAGTAGCGTCGTCGTATCTTTCCTTCGCCGCAAGTCGAAACGTACCACGTTACCTTTGGGAGTTTCACCGAAGGCTGAGATACAAAAAAGAGGGAAGGAGATGCAAGAAAAAAGTTACTGGTGTAGGACATCAAGTCTATTAGCCCATTGCATCTGGGGATCTTGAAACAAGCCTTTTTGCAAATTAAAGCATTGCCTTCATAGAATTGTAGAGTTGGGAGGGATCCTAAGGATCATCTAGTCCAACCCCTTGCAATGCAGGAATATGCAGTTGTCCTATAAGGGGACCAAACCTGCAACCTTGGTGTTATCAGCACCGTGCTTGGTTGTACCAGTAATTTTAACAGCACCACAGTACTGGGAAACAGAGAAGTGATAGCTGTAAAATGAGACAATCAAACACAGTGTGATTCAAAGTGTTGTACTAGAACCTGGGAAACTAGGGTTTAAATATTTATTTTACAGTTATGTTCATTAACATAATGGGCATTATTTCTAAACACATTTTAAAAATGGCTCTCTTTGTACCAAAAGCAAAAAAAATCTCTTCAAAATGCATATAGAAAATTCTTGGTGGGAAACCTATTAATCAAGGCAAAGCCTGTTGACAAGGCTTTCAGCATATTGCTGTTTCTGCAAGCACAGGAAAACTCTCTTTTCCTTCCAATGCTAGGAAGTGAGACCAGTCCAAACACATTGTTCTCTTACCTCAAAGTCTTGAACCCATTTCCTTGTTTCTGCTTCAGCTAAACACTATAATCTTTAAACTAAAATTGCACCATAGGAAGTTTGTGATCTTTCAAAACAAGATTCTGGTGTTTTGCAACTACATTAAGAATGTAGTACGACTGTAATTGTTTACTACAGTTTTCCTAATCTTAAAATGCATTTCAAAAATGTAAATGTCATCTGATGTTTCACAGGAAGAGCTATATTGTAGTAGCAAAGCAATCACTTGTGCTCCTGCTTGCAGTTTTTTAAACAAGGTAAAATAACTGCAAAAGCCTATTAACAATATATGCTGGGAGATCCATGCACTTCTGAGAGTGAATGAAGTGACGTCTATTTGTTTTTAAGAGTATAACACAGAAACGGCTTTCATTGCTTTTATGTGCCTTTAAGACCCTCCACCCGATTGCATGCAATACAACATTAGGGGCTATAGCTCAGTTGTAGAGCATGCACTTTGCATGCACCTTGTCCCATGTTCAATCCCTGGCACCGCCAGGAATATCAAGGAAAGACCTGAGATCTCCTTCCAGTGAGTGTAGGTCCAGGGTCTCCAACCATTTTGGTCTAGAGTAGAGGTTCCCAAATAGAAGAGGAGGAGGAGTTTGGATTTGATATCCCGCTTTATCACTACCCGAAGGAGTCTCAAAGCGGCTAACGTTCTCCTTTCCCTTCCTCCCCCACAACAAACACTCTGTGAGGTGAGTGGGGTTGAGAGACTTCAGAGAAGTGTGACTGGCCCAAGGTCACCCAGCAGCTGCATGTGGAGGAGCGGAGATGCGAGTCTGTCGCACTTAACCACTACACCACACTGGTGTAGGGGTCTGCAGAATGTACCCAGAGGGTCCACAGCTCCATCCCTTGCCTCCTCAACTAATTTTTGTCATTTTTGTACAAATTTTATGGTCTATTTTAGTGCTGTGTTATTTTTAATATATTGACCAAAATCGGTTTTGAAATCACACCGTGATAATGGTATTGACCCAGCAATATATCGCTCCTCATGTGGGGGGGTGAGGGTGAAGCAGGGCAGCCAATTTCATGGCACCTCCGATATTGAATGATGATCTCAACTGATAACGCTGCTGATCTGAGCTGTCTTCCCTCACTGTGAGGGAGACCAGGGCAGCCGATTGCGAGGCGCTGCCTTCCCCTCATGCTGAAAGAGAACAGGGCAGCTGATTGCCCTCACTTCTGGCAACTCTTGCAGCCAAGCTGGCGCCAAACATATTTCTTTGCTTTCCTTTGGATCACATCAGCAAGATGGGTGGGGTGAGGTGGGTCTTCTTGTTGTCTGGGCAGCCCAGGACCTCCATACATACTGCTCAGGTTTGCAGCCCAGGGAGATCACTTTGGTGCTGCCAACACGGTGGTTTCACTTCACTCCCGGAGGTGCACTCCACTGTCTCTCAAGACAGGCAGATGCCAACAAGGTCTGGCTCTAATATGGGCGAACCTGTGTTCATGTATTACATCACATCCTCACCGCTGGGTGACGCCTTTGGCAAATTGGCTTGCAAGGCGTTGAACTCACTTTACATTTTGCTACTGCTTCTTTGTTTGGAAGCTGTTATTATCAACATCTCAACCACCAGGATGCATTTTTGTATTTAAGAAAAATATAAAACACTGGTAACTCAAATACTTTACTCAGGCCAAGAGTCAAACATATTTAAATTATTTACATTACATTAACAGCTTAACTCCCGTGACATTATTCATCTACATACTTTATTTAAACTACTTTACAGCCCTTTATAAAGATGTAACAATTCTTAAGAGGGCAAACCATATTAACACAGCTGAAATGAAGATTTCGGCACCGTTCTTCCAATTATTAACTAGAGATCTTAACTTACTCCCACAAAGTATTAAGAGGGCCTAGCAATGCATTGAGAAACCAAAGTCTCCTTCTGCAGTCCACTAGGGAATTATCTCTTGCAGTATTGCTTTCCACACCAACATTGTGAAGCCCAGTGCTCTCACATGAATACAGTCACACACATCTGCTTAGAGAGTTTTTGCACGTCGGCAGATTAGGGAGGGAGAATATACAGGTGCGCTTCCAGAAGTCCTGAGCAAACAAATGTCCAGTGTCTGGTTGGTTTTGAAAACTGCATGAGTTTCAAGAGTTTGAGAGCCTAAATTTCACAGACCTCACTTGCAAAAAGTATTTTTCCCCCATTTTCCAATTGTCATCAATTGGTAAATTGATAAATGGCTGCAAAGGAACAAGGAAGTCTGTAGGTTTTATGGTGGAACATGGGCTACATAACCAAAACTTGTATTAAACATGAAGAGGCAGCATGTGGATAAGGGGTCTAAAAGATGCAAAATTTTGGGTGCAAGATCCCAGTGCAAACACCTAAGTTCTAGTCAGGGGCTGTATTCTCCAGTTCAAATGCAGAGATAATTTATTCCAAATATAAATTATGAAAGTAGCATGCACTCAAGTTTCTCGGGCCTTAAACTGAGTTTTCAGGAGCATTCCAATTTGTATTTTGCATTGGCTTTAAGTACTAATATGCAGTGCCTTCTTGGAAAATAACACTTGGTAAGTTCTGCTGTCAGCAGCCATTATTTGCTTGCTTTGTGTAAGTATCAACTATTATGCAAACCTCTTTTTGAATCAAAGAATTCTCACTCTAGACTGTCATTTAGTCTCTTATCAGAAAGATTATTGCATGCTTTAAATATCCATCATTAAAGTGATACAATCCTCTTGATAATGTAGCAGTTCAGAATATAGGTGAGAAACTGCTTCATTAAATGTTCCGCCAAGTAACAGAAAAAGAAATCCTGCACACAGAAAATTAGTGGATCAGGAAGAATCCTAATATGTCAGGGAAAGCCTACAGTAGAAGCTTTCTCCCTGACACACTAGCTTTCCTCAGGTAGACCAAGAGTATAAGGCTCCCTTTTCCTATTACACGGTGGTATGATCTCAGGAGGTTGTAGCACATGATTTCCAAATAGACATGGACCAAAGGTAAGCAATTAAGGGTAAGTGGTTGATACAATGTCAAAGTATCAAATAAAATCTTAGAATTTCCACGCACCTTATGCTTGATGAAAGCTCTGTAGATAATTGGTTCAGGAAAAATAGGTCTTGTATACCAACATGACAGGATGCGTAAATTTTATCTATCAGACTAAAGATTTCATGTAAATTCAGCTATGAAAATTTCAATTCCTGTGAGGAAACCTTTTTAAATCCTAAATAAATGCAGCAATGCCACATTTTCCCCTAAACATTTAAACAGCTTAAGGTCAGTTTAACAGAAATGGCCCTTTATAGCTGTCATACAAAGTATGACTTTAAGAAAGCACAATAATGCAAAGGTCCTCCTATGAATGTGGACGATACCAGGGAGTTTTCTGTCTCGCTTAGGCTAAATAGTTGGGAAGGCAACTCAAGATGCTATTCCTTTTTTTATGTTCTGTCAAACACCTTCTAAAGATAGTTTCTAAACTACTGGAGTTCATTTGAAACATCTGGAACAAGTTTATTCACTTTTGAAAATAAAGTGCACTCACACACATGGTGAGAATTAGGCTATGACAGGAAGAGGTGCAACCATTTCAACATGTAAACTTTTAAACACCCTGCTCCTTTTCATCCCCCAGAGTACTACTGATTTTTAGGCAAATGTTGCTTCTTTTCTTTTGCTATAGTTAAAAGCCATTAAAGCTGCTAGGCAGCCCACTTCTATGTGGCAGTGGATTATGCTTTGGAATGCAGCCATACATTTAAGAAACAGTAGAATTGTTATCTATTGTATAGGAGGGAGCTTGGTTGCTATTACCATACAATACCGATTTTGAGACTTTAAATGTCACCCTGTATTGTTGGCTGCAAAGGCAGTTATCTGGCTTTGTGGGCACCAGTACCCTGGTTAGGACACTACAGTATAAATCCAAATATTAATTGGTGGTTGTTGTTGTTTTAAAAAAAGTCTTAAAAGGCATTCTAAGCCTTGTGTTTCAGGGTTTCAGGTAGCAATTATTTGCTATCGGTATTTATATTTTAAAATTCAATATATTTTTTCCGCCAAATATTAATTTTGATAGAAATGAATCAGCATTAGGATATCCATGAAAAACTGTCAGTGAAATTATTCATGCTACATTCCCGTGAGGCAACTGCAATAAAAAAGCTCCTGCTGCTGAATGATCAGCATTATGCAAACTAATTTGCAACTTACTATATTGACAACAAGATGGTCTGCCTTTTAATTAACATTCAGCTATGGATATAAAAATTTAAATATTAACAAATAATTTAATTGCTGACAGTTGGCCATCACAAAAGCATAACATTCTTGCCAACGTACGAACCCTCTACAGTATAATCATCCTATAGTGCAAATTCTTTACAACTCATCTGCATTTACATAAACATTTCTACAGTTTAATGCAACGTCGTTTGCAAGCTGCAACATCAGCAATAATTAACTATGCCTTTGTTTTAGAAGTTCATCAATCTGAGTCTTGTACATATTTTTCACATCTTCAAGGTCCAACCTCAGTTCTTCTGCTTCCTCTGCTTTCTCACCATACATCTGGAGAATGGTATTGTACCTCTGATCCAAATCCTGAAACAACACAGCCCAATAGTTGATGACTTGCTCTCCACATTTACAAAAAAGCTGTTAAGACACCTTTTAGAATGTCAAGATAGAATATACTAAAAGAAAAGTCAATTCTCTGAATGCCAATCATTATGTAGCCAAAACAATACCAAACACACACAATTACTGCATTTATTCGCCGCTTCACAAACACACACAAAATTCTCAAGGCAACTTTCAACAACATAAAATACAGAAACAGCTAAAATCAGTTTTGGCAAGAAGCAAAATAAAGCAAACAAAATTTATTGAAGTGTTCATTCACCTGCTCCCCTAAGTTCATCCAGCAGTACTATCGAAGTCCAGCCCACTAAAAGATGAGCACCACAATAGAGGCAAGAATCATACAAGGGTATGATCCAAAATTAACCACCCAAAACCTGGTAAAACAGGATAGCCTTAGCCTGGTGTCCAAAGCTGCACCAGGGAGAGCATTCTGCAGATGGGAAGCCATCAAAAAGGCCAATTCATGCATTGCCATCCTCCTTCATAGAAGGCACATAGAGAAGGGCCTCAAAAGATCATTGCGGGGTATTCGGGTCCTGAGTCACATAAGCCTTTTTAGGTCAAAATCAACACTGGTGTAATATGTGCAAAGTTGCATGTCCCGTTAAGGACCCTAGAAACTGCATTTTGCATTAGCTGCAGGTTCCTAACCTGGTTTACTTAGAAGTAACTCTTGTAGTGTTCAGTGAAAATTATTCATTAGTGAGTATGTTTAGGAATGCAAGCACTGCTTTTCGCTGTACTTTGTAATAAAGCATTTCACTTTACATGTACAGCAGGGACATATTTACAGAGGCTGCTGAATACATTTCAGATATCATCGTAGAAACAAGCTACCTACCCTTAGCTGTGCACGTAGCTTGGGAATCTCCTTCACTTTTTCTTCTAAATCGTCATTTTGATTTGTCAGCTTTACCAGCTCTTCTGCCATTACTGACCGAGTTCTTTCAAGGTTTCCGATTTCCAGCTAAGGTAACAAACATTTGACAGTTAAAATTCTACCAAGTTACTAATTCTGTTTCCATTAAAAGTAACCAGGAGTGTTAAGCTTGCAAGCTTATGTCCCATATTACGAGTATTCTGGTATTCACAGGAATAATGCATGGAAGTGGGGTTTCCAGCTACCCCACCCCTTGCCCTTGAAAGCCTTATAAGAAGCTGCTGCAGAAGAGGGACTGTGAGCAACTTCATGGAACAGATGTTTCTAGGGCTAAGGTAAAACTGTGAAGCTCACTTGTTATTTTTGCCATTGGATGCTGCATGTTGCTTTATTTTATACTATTGTGTATTTTTTGTGTTGTTATTCTTGCCCTTGTTTTGTTACGTTGTTATGAAATGGTTGCTATGTTGCTGTTTTGCTATGTTATTGTGAAACTGGTTTTGTAGTGTTTGTTTGAAACGCACCCCGTTTCTTTGTTGTCAGCCACTTTGAGCATGAAGTATAAAATACAATAAATAAATATATTCGTTTAAATAAATAAATAAATAAAATGAAGGGATTCAGGTAAACCATTCCTACAAAGCAAAACCGACACAAGGTTTCAAATTATAACTGTGGCATATACATTTATTGTGTGCCTACAATAAATTACGAAGTTCCATCTCTTGTTCTGATGTAGCATCAATACACAAGCATTTGGATTCAGAGGACAAAATAGGAGAATTGAAACTCTGCTGCTCCCTCTGCTAACTAGAAGGTATTACAGCAGCTCATGAGCCTGAAAAATGGAAGAACTTAAGAACACCTATTATGTTAGCTAACCGCTTACAGTAGTTACTTCCTACAAATTACTGCAGTATTACAGCAGATGGAGAGAAACACTGCACTGTATCTTTCTCACCGCGCCACATGTTGAAACTGCCCACTAAAATGTTTCTATAATTTGTTCAACAGCGATCAAAGTGTCTGTGTTCACACAAGACTTTTCCGGGCCCTGGTATGCCCCCAATTTTTTGGGAGGTTGGGGAACCCTCTAGAATTTGCTCTGGGGGGATCCCCCAATGGACTGACAATACTGGATGTATTAGGCCGAAGACTGAACTCTGGCAAAACAAGCCCATAAAAATGAACTGATCACATCTGTCTATCAAGTATGTACATCACACATATGGAACACCTATTCCTACTTATGTTTAGACACACAGGTCAACACAGGTTACCTGTAGGTGAGAAATCTCGCCATCTCGCAATTTTAATTGTGACTGCAGGTTTTCAATAATGCTTGAGCCTGCTCCCATTCTCATTGCATCGTATAGATTGTTCCCACTTGCAGACGCTGAACCAAAGGAATGATCATGTTGGTCATCCTGCAATAAAAATTGAGATACACCCATGGAATTGAATACTTAACAGCATGCAAATTATTATTTTGTACCTAAAGAATGATACAACTTTCAAGATTGACACTAGAATGTTAACTTTTTTATGTTTAAACAGTGCTTGCAAAAACAAGTGAAGACAGCCAGTTTGGTATGGTGGATTAAGAAGTGGATTCAAAATCCTGCTCAGCCATGTGATAACCCCTGGCCATTCAATATCTAGCATCCTAATCACCATCACAGGGTTGCTGTGAGGACTGAACTGTTTGGAAAGCATTTCATGTATATATTTTAAAAATGGTCTTTGCAATTTTTTTCTGCAAATATATATATATTTAGTGGTTTGTAGAAGTAATGTTCCAGAAAGAAAATACCACATTTAAATCATTTCATCTTCTGATATTGATAAAAGGCTATACCCAAGACCTGTCAGTTAAGCTCTCATCAGATTTCATCCAAGGTGGAATTTCTTCTTGAGAGCCAAAACGTACCACATAGGCAAAGAGAAGCAAGTTAATTTCCTAAGGTAAAGGTAAAGGGACCCCTGACCATGAGGTCCAGGCGTGACCGACTCTGGGGTTGCGGCACTCATCTCTCTTTACTGGCCGAGGGAGCCAGCGTACAGCTTCCGGGTCATGTGGCCAGCATGACTAAGTCGGTTCTGGCGAACCATAGCAGCGCACGGAAACGCCCTTTAGCTTCCCGCCGGAGCGGTACCTATTTATCTACTTGCACTTTGACGTGCTTTCGAACTGCTAGGTTGGCAGGAGCAGGGACCGAGCAATGGGAGCTCACCCCGTCACGGGGATTTGAACCGCCGACCTTCTGATTGGCAAGTCCTAGGCTCTGTGGTTTAACCCACAGCGCCACCCGTGTCCCATAGTTAATTTCCTAATTACCAGCAAATATAAAATATTTAACCTTCTATGTGTTGCCCTATAGCGTCACATGAACTGGTGAAACTACTTCAAACTACCTGCTCTCATTTTAACAGTGAGGTTTTGCTGGATTCAAGAAAACAATTAAGACAGCACAATTATATTAATAAAAAAAGACACTGAAGGAGCAAATAAAGGTCAAATGATACATGGAACAATACCTGGGATACAAAGGATGCCTGGAGTCCTGCCATATCAACCCCACTTATTGAGCTTGAACGTGACAGAGTTGGAGTGCTTGAGACAGTTTCCATTGTTGATGAAGTGTATAATTTACGCTCCTAAGAGAAAATGTACAAATATCCAAAGAGAAGAGCAATATTAGTGCAAAGAATTTACCTACTTTGAAATACTCACTAAGATGATGATGAAAACATGACAAACACAAGATCTCCGGTTAGGCAATTCACTTGTAACGTCAATAAATTAAGCAACAAAATGGACTTGATAGCACTGCTTACTCTGCCCCTTCAGCTTCCAAAGTCACATCATCTACAGAACTTGCTGATTATTTGAAGCAAAATAACTTCATTTAGTAATCACACAGAGCAGAATGAAACCCTAATGTCATGTTAGCATCGGACACGCTGCTGATGAAAGAGCAGCATGCTTGCTATTTTTTGTCAGTGTAGGAATTTACATTGTATATGTAACATAAAGACTTCTTCAGTATCCTCAAGTGAAGCACAAACAAATGGAGCATCCCCAAAGGTGTCCAAGAGCGAACTAAAATGAGGGAATATTCTCAGGATTGAAGGCCAATGGGAAACCCAAGGGAAAGAGAAGGTTCAGGGCAGAAGAAGAAGAAGAGTTTGGATTTGATATCCCACTTTATCACTCCCCTTAGGGAGTCTCAAAGCAGCTAACATTCTCCTTTCCCTTCCTCCCCCACAACAAACACTCTGTGAGGTGAGTGGGGCTGAAAGACTTCAAAGAAGTGTGACTAGCCCAAGGTCACCCAGCAGCTGCATGTGGAGGAGCGGGGACATGAACCCGGTTCACCAGATTACAAGTCCACTGCTCTTAACCACTACACCACACTGGCTCTCAGTGTGACTTAAGGGCAGTGTGACTTAAGGTCCCAGAAGGAAGTATAAAGCCCACAAAATAAGAGGTTGTGGCCCACTGTCATGACAATTTCTATGGTGAACCACCCTGGGATCTTTGGGTGCAGGGTGGTATACAAATAATAACAACAACAGTTGTGTTGTTATTACAGACAACTAAACCAGAATTTATATTGTATATAGTGTATGGCACTATCAAGAGTGGAACACAGAAATGAAGATCCCAGAAAGCTACCATCTTGCCTGACAACTGCTTTGTGTGCTCATTTAAGGCTTGCTTCGTCTCCAAGAACTATGGAAAGTGGTTAACATGAACAAGCACCTTTTCTCTTGCAGTTTCTTGTACAAAAATTGCTTTCTTCTTTTCCTGCTCAACTTTCATTTTCTCCATTTCCAGCTGAGTAGCTAACAGGGTCTTCAGAAAACAAAAAAAGATGTAGTTATTCACTGAGAAATCTTATTTGCGAAAGCAATGTTATTATCAAAGAATATATCAAAACCTTTTCTTTCTTTGCCTCTCCAACAGTTTTCACATACTCTTCTTTAAGGTTTTCCAGCTCAACTTCATACCTGCGCCAAGAGCAAGAAAACACATGTACAATCTCAGTAAATAGGAGGAGGGATCTTATTATAAACATACTGTTTTTGTACTTCTACTATTTTTATTATATAGCTTTGTTTGTACTAATTTCAATTAAAAAAACTTGAATAAATGAAATGAAAATAAATATGAAATGAAAATAAAATGAAATAAATGCACTGAAGTAGCATGAGAGATTTACTACAGTGGAACCTCAGTTCCCGAACTCCTCTGTTCTCATATGTTTTGGTTCTCAAACACCAAAAACCCAGAAGTAAATGCTTCCATTTTCAAACGTTTTTCGGAACCCAAACGTGCAACACAGCTTCCACTGAGTGCAAGAAGCTCTTGTAACCAATGGGAAGCCGCGCCTCGGTTTTTGAACGTTTTGGAAACCGAACGGGCTTTTGGAATGGATTTCGTTCAGATACCGAGATATCACTGTATTGTATCTGGCAGTCAAGATTATATAGAACTTGCAAAATGGAAAACAGGCCAATCTGGCTGCGGCTAATGGCAGCTGCAAGTCCAAGAACATCCGGCAAGCCACAGGTTTCTCATGCCTGCAGTATACGTTGTCACTTTTTCTGCTTTCTAAGGCATTAGAAAAAATGCTCCCAATAGAATACATGTGTCCTGAAAGCATCTGAGACGCTAAGAAAACAATATTACTGAGCGGCCATACAAGTGGCACAAAAAATAGAATAAACTATAGAGTTAAAGAAGTCTTAATTTTTTAAAGCAGCATTGTTCATTACACCCCACCTAGCTATTTCAACCATGTTGTACGCTTTCAGAGAAATTGTTGTAAACTTTAGAAGCAATTTACCGATTGTTTTCATTTTCTAGTTTCTTAAGCCTGGCTTTCTCTGTCTCGAGCTGTGCTTGAAGGCGGGTATTTTCTTGCCTTAGGAGGCTATTTTGGGACTCAGTGGAAGAAAGCTGGATTTTATTGGCAAGAAGTTCCTCTGTAGCAGCGCGTTCTCTTTCAGCCTGTGCTGCCAAGGCAGTCTGAGATTCCCCTAACAGTAAGAGAACATTACTAGTTAGAATTTACAAATTTATGGAGGAGAGGGGTATCAGTGGATACTAGCCATGATGGATGGCTATGCTCTGCCCCCAGAGCTGGAGACAGCAATGCTTCCGAATACTAGTTGCTAGAAACCACAGGAGGGTGCTCATGTTCTGCTTGCTGCTTTCCCACAGGCTTCTGGTTGGCCATTGTGAGAATGCTGGACTAGATAGGTCATCACTCTGATCCATCAGGCTCTTCTTGTGTTCTTAGGAGGGGAGTGTAGCCTCTGGTAACTTTATGACCTCTTCCCCAAAGCTATTATCACATTAAATGCATGTATATATCGAACATGGCTCTTAGGTATGTCACATGCAAAGGACTATGGATTTAAGGCAGAGATGGTTGCCTTTAGACACTGGCTGGAAATGCAGGGAGTGAGAATACAGCCTAAGTATGGCTTCACGTCCAGCAAAAACACACCACTTCCTTCCCACCCACCCTCTTCCAAGGGGAAACCGTCTCAATTCTCTTTTTCCTCCCACTTTTCGGACGTATTGTAACTGTTCTCAATATATAACCTTTCTGTTGCTCCTTCAGCACGGTCCTCATCCCAGGCTTTTCACACCGTGCCCTCATCCAGCCAGCCTTCCCTTGAGAGGGTGACTCTTTGCAGCTGGCTAGATCACTGCCTAGGTTGTTTTCCCATTCTAAGGAAGATCGAGGAGGGGGTGAGGAATAAACTGAGCCAGATTCAGATACGGACTGCACAGGAGATCAATGGTACCCAGTCAGGCTAGTTTTCCACCCACTTGGGTTGGGAGCAGAAGAAGCTGTAACCAGAGAAGCAAAATCAGAACTACATGGAACTGTGCTTTAGTGTTTTCTGGTCACACATAGGCTTCTGTGGATCCCTGCCAAATCGTTAGACGCACCATCAGAACACATATTCCAGATACATGCCTGTATCTCCTATTCTCTCTCTCTCTCTGTGTGCCTGCATAATCATGAGTTCCCATTCATATCCATTAATTTTGTGCTATGCATGGAAGTTCTTGAGACTCATCCCCTCCCCCGCAAAAAATCCCACTGACCAACAACTTTTGCCTTACCAAGCCTATCAGAGAGATTCTTCTCTAACTTCTCCCATGACAAGGTCTGTGCTCCCAAGGTTGCTTGCAGGTTTTCTATCTGTCGGAGCAGGGGCCTTGTAGCAGATGTAACACTTTGACTCAGCTCCTGGTTGCGAGTCTCTGCTTCCTGAAGTCTCTGAAATTATAAATTGGGTAAGCACTACTTTAAGCCCTAAAATACCATGAACAGAACCATCTGAAGCTTTATCCCTATTCAGGCAAATACAGTATTGTGCCACATCCTCCGTTTACTGAAAAGTTTCCGTTAATGTTATCTATGGGACTAAGCCCCACCTGCTGGCCACTAGCAAGACCTTCAAGGCTCTGCACAAGTCCAAACCACGGAGATATTTGTTGCTTTGCTAAATACAGTAGGCACACACTGCTTGTTATTGAAACTGGAAATCCAGAAAGTCCAAACTGATTGATAAATCTTGAATGTTCAGTAGAGCATGCCTGTTTCTAATTCTCTGCCCAAACTAAAAGTAGCCATGTGCTCCCTTTTAAAATTTTCTGTTATGGATCACTGGAAGGAGGATCAACAGTCAACTGTTCGTGAATTAGAAAACAAAATTTTCCTAGCATTTGTAAGAGGCAAAAAAAGACAGATCTCAGAGAACAATCTGCCAGAGTACCTGCTGAAGTTCACTAATTTCCTGGCGCAAATAATCCTCCTTTCTAGCCGTTTGTTGTTCTGCACGTTGCAGGGCCACTCTCAAGTCTGTCACCTGCAACACAGGGATACAAATACAGTATGCCGAATTGAATATGCAGACCTAACACTCCACGGGCCTTTTATCATGTGTCAACACCAGTTGGCACCTCCTATAATTCTGACTATCATACCCAGAACACCATTAGGTTGCTTAAGGAGTTATCATCATTACTTTACCACTATGCTGTAGCTGCAGCACAAAAAGCAAGTGCATCCTGTTTCAAATACCGTATTTTCCCCTCTATAAGACACACTTTCCCCCTCCTAAAAGTAAGGGGAAATGTGTGTGCATCTTATGGAGCGAATGCAGGCTGCGCAGCTATCACTGAAGCCAGAACAGCAAGAGTGAGAGCTGTGCAGCAAACCCCCTTGCTGTTCTGGCTTCAGGGATAGCCGCAAAAAAACTTTTCAACAACATTTGATTCAGAATAATATTTTGTCTTGTTTTCTCCTCTAAAAACTATAGAGCTCTAAAGACTATAGAGTCTTATAGAGCGAAAAAAACCGTACTTCAAATCTAGTGCCCTAGTAATGATAAATGAGAAGTAAGCTAATACCCTTTTAATTTCCCCTTAAGATTTGCAGCATTTCAGTGGCTTTCTATGTAATTTTAAAGCATGTCCCTCTGCTTCATTCACTCCTACTTGTAATTATGCCAAGTACATGTTGAATTAGATTTTTCTGGGAATGACTTACAATGTGGTTTTCAGGCTGCACTGCTATGACATGAAAGCATTACAACATATACAACTAGCAAAAGAAAAACACTTGCAAACTTTAGTTGTACCCAACACTGACCTGAATTGCTAAAGCCTCTTGTTGCTGGCGAGCCTCCTCTTGGGCCTTCTCTAGAGCTAAGCCCAGCTGCTCCTTCACTTTCAGTTCATGGCTTAATGCTGCTTCTTGAGCCTCACAGTCTTTCGCAGCATTGGCTCTACGAAGATCTGCAAGTTCCCTGTGAAAAATATGTATTTTAAACATAGGTATGCATTGAATGTATGGAAGTAAAAGCTGGACCATAAAGAAGGCTGATCGCCAAAGAATTGATGCTTTTGAATTCTGGTGCTGGAGGAGACTCTTGAGAGTCCCATGGACTGCAAGAAGATCAAACCTATCCATTCTTAAGGAAATCAGCCCTGAGTGCTCACTGGAAGGACAGATCCTGAAGCTGAGGCTCCAATACTTTGGCCACCTCATGAGAAGAGAAGACTCCTTGGAAAAGACTCTGATGTTGGGAAAGATGGAGGGCACAAGGAGAAGGGGACGACAGAGGATGAGATGGTTGGATAGTGTTCTTGAAGCTACCAGTGTGAGTTTGACCAAACTGCGGCAGGCAGTGGAAGACAGGAGTGCCTGGCGTGCTCTGGTCCATGGGGTCACAAAGAGTCGGACACGACTAAACAACATACAGTGAAATTGATGGACATGACTAAGTCCATTCATTTTAATAAGTCTATTTTTGAGTAAAACTTAGTTGAACACCATCCTATATTTATGTATATATTGCAAATACTGGGGGAACCTAAAAGAGAATGTTGTCTTCTAGGCACAACAAATATCTGTTCTTGTCCATTTTTATGGACATTGCCTTACTTGTATGCACTATCAAGAGCTGCCTGCACACTTCGGTTCTTCTCTTCAAGATCCTCAAGATCCGTCTGGAGTCTGGTAATATCCTTCTCTTGCCGTTCAACCACACTGCTTAGCTGCTTGATGCTCTCCCTGTGCTGCTTTTCAACTTCTTCTTTGCCATCCAACACCTGTTACAATGAAAAGGCATCACAACCTATTGCTTAACTTCTCTTTACAGAGCTTTAAAAATCACTCTGCCCAGAAAACAGCTGCTACCTTTATCGAAAGCTAGACTAAGGAAAAATATAAGCAATGAAGGAAAATCATTCAGAAGCTTCACAGAAAGTTTTACAGAAAATATCATTACGCTAACAAAGAAGGTTAAACCTGATTGTGTGTCTCTGTGCCTTTACATTCACTTTTTTGGCATCTGAAAAGGGCACACATTTGCAGTGACAGTGTTGAAGTTAGTGGACTTTGCTACCAAACTGCGCGCTGCAGTTAAGAATGGATGAATCAGTCTATTTCTGGTCCATGGGTTGTATTCAGTAGTGGCTTTGCAATAATACAAGAACCTCTGTTTGTGCAAGGCAGGACTCCTGTGTTTTGCTGACCGCTCTTACTCAGTGCAGCCTTCTGTGCACCCCAAAAGTGTCTTCTGAGGGTTGGGGGCCCTCTGGAACAGTGTGTGATATGACACAGAGGGCTGTAGTTAGTGAGAGGAAGATTGATGAAAATGGTGGCCCTGCCTTGCACTAGCAGTGGTGCTTTCACTAATGCAAAGCTAAAATTGGATACAGTCCCATGACATTTTCATGTGTGTTTATTGTCATAAGAACCTTGTTAGATCAGGCAAAAGGCCCATCTAGTTGGGAATTCTGTTCTCTCATTGGCCAAGCGGATGTCCATATGAAGCCCACTTCAGGCCTTGAGTGTGATAGCACTCACCTACTCATGACCTCAGCAACTGTTATTCAGATGCACGCTGCCTTAGCCATCGTAATTAGCAACCATTGTCAAAAAAGCTTCAACTAATGCAAAATTTCTGCCTCTTCATAGTACACATTCAACTGGTTCTATTTATTCATTTTAAAAAAAATTTAAGCAGCCTTTCAGTTGAAGCTTCCAAGAATGCAAAGAAGGAAAATGAAACCACTGAATAACTAAAAGAGCAGATAGAAGGAGCAATAAAACCAGCAACAGCTATCAGTTTTCCTCCAGGCACAATTCAAGGGGGCTGGTTCTCACCCTTAAAGAGAGATTTCTTTATATACCCAATACTGCTTCTTCCCATGAGGGAAACATGGTAAACTATGCTCTATGGAACAGTCCCAACTCCATGTGCCCTCACTACATAAGCTGAATACATCTGCTGCAAGAAGCAGAGCTTTGACCACAAGGCTGTGGCAAGGCTTTCACAATAAGATTCAGAGCTATTTTGCTCTTTGAGCACTATGGCCTTATATTTTACTAGGTTAAAAAAAATCCTGTTGTAAGCCTGCTTGATTCTTAAGAGGCAGGTTACACATTTTAAAAAATAATAATAAGTGAATTGATAAAAGGCATGCAAACCGTTCCAAGGCCATGTCTAAAAATTTACCCAACCTGTTTCAAATGCTGTAACTCTTCTTCTAATTCCGTAATCTTTTTATTTTGCTTTGTATTTGTTTTTTCTCTTTCCTTTTCCTTTGCCCTTAGCTTCTTAATGATGTTAGAATTTTGCAACTGTTGTTTTGAAAGCTTTTCTCCTGGAAAGAAAGATAGATCTGGTGAACGGGGATAAATGCATATTTAACATAGGACTGTGACTCTTCACATTCTGATTCTTTAACCTCCAATTATTTGGGCAAATGGGCTTTGAATGGGCATGTAAACTAACTTAATCACCAATGAAGACTATAATCATAAAAATGACCTGAAGCCATGTACATAATTTCCCTGGCATGTGAATTGGAATACATATAATCAGGTAAGACTAAAGACCCAAACCCTATGCATCAATCTTGAAGTAACATATATTTATAAATTCAGGTAGGTAGCCGTGTTGGTCTGACGAAGCCGAAATATATAAAAAAAATTAAAAATTGTCCAGTAGCACCTTAGAGACCAAAATAAGTTTCTGAAGAAGTGTACATGCACACAAAAGCTTATACCAAGAACAAACTTAGTTGGTCTCTAAGGTGCTACTGAACAATTTTTTATTTTTTAATATATATTCATAAGCGATACTAAAAGTTTTTATCCAAAGATTTGCAGGCATCTCTGTTTATTCCTTTGCCTAATAAACATTATGAGCAAAGAAAAATCCAACAGTATCCGCAGAGGTGTTTGCTGTCTAATCTGATAGTCAGAAAACACATTAAGAGCCCTAATGGATCAGATTTAAAGCCTATGTCCCCATTCTGTTTCACAGAAGCCAACTTGGAGCCTATGAAAATTTAACAGGTGTAGTGTACCCAAAGCTTGTGTAAAATAAAAATAAAAATGGGCAGGATCCAAAGCTACCACAAATGCTCTAAAGCACACATAAGCAGCATTCACACATCACGCTAAACCATGATTTACCTAGACATGAAGCCAGGAAGACTTTGGCATTCACTTCTGAGTTTCCCTGAATTCTAGCACATTATGTCATCCAGACCAGTGATTGTAACTTAACTCTATGGTTCATTTAAAGAAGTCATCTTCTTAAACCATGGTCTGAGTCTGGCTCGTTATGAAACTGAAACTGAACATTGCTGAAGTCCTCCCACCCACAAAGGAGGAGGGTAGGGGGAACGGCCTGCTGAACCAGAGGTTCACCGTCGCTCCTTCCTGGTCATGTTTGTCTCACTAGGCTAGGACAGCCTCAAGTGGGCAACAATACAGACTTGTTCTCTGAATATAGGATTGAAGCTTGCTTCTCTTTTTAACATTACTCTTGTAGAAACAGCATGATAGGAAAATTTAGTTGCAACTGAGCCTAGGGTTAACATTGTACAGTCGTACCTTGGTTCTCGAACGCCTTGTGACTCAAACGTTTTGGCTCCCAAACGCCACAAACCCGGAAGTGAGTGTTCCAGTTTGCGAACGTTTTTTGAAACCCGAACATCCGACACAGCTTCCGATTGAGTGCAGGAAGCTCCTGCAGCCAATCAGAAGATGCACCTTAGTTTTCAGAAGTCGAATGGACTTCCGGAACAGATTCTGTTCAGGAACCAAGGTAGGACTGTATCTCAGAAGCAGCTGTCAAGTCTAAGATGCACATCAACTGGTTTGTGTAACTCAGGGCTAAAGCCTTGCTATTCCACCTTTCTGGAGGGCTACACACACCTAGCTTTACCCTTTCACAAGCCATTAAAATTTTCACACCCTAAATTGCTTGTTGAAAAGATAGATTTGAAGAGGGAATCTATTCTTCCCTTTCCAGTAAGGACTGTAGTCGAAAAGTATTTCTTATAGAATAAATTTAAAGTGACCAGACATTTGAAGTAACATATGTAGCTAGTTTCCCAGGAACTGTTTTTAAGAAACTAATACCCACCTTCCTCCATTAATCCTTTAATTTGTTCATCTTTCTCCTTTAGTAATTCAGCGGTTTCATTACTGTTCAATCTAGTTGCTAGATCTTCTTTGAGAATCTTTACTTCCTAAAGAAGAAACATAAATAATTATTGTACCATTTATACATTTTGACTGTGACTTTAAAAATTTTTTACTTCACACTAGGTGGGGCCTACCTCATTATGACAATCATAGCTGTTAATCATTAACAATCTGTGCATCTCATGATTTTTAGCATGAAGCTAGTCTAAAAGCTAATACATTTTTTAAATTACAAGATCAGCCGCTGTCATCCTTCCCCATCACATTACCTTTATACTTATCTTTAAGTACTGCTTTTATGTGAAATCAAAAGCTCTAAGGAGATCTGATAGCTGAGAATATAGCTTTGAACATGTAACATGACCCCACCCAAAAAACTTTCTGGTTTAAAATGTTACACATTAGTGACAGGCATTTTTCCTAGCAAAATCTGTATTGATTCCTTGCAAATTTACAAGACCAGACCTTATGGTTTGATTCATAGCAATCCAAAAGTAACACTATATAAAAATAAAATATAATTCATACATAGGAGTGCTACCTTTTTTGCTGTATCTCTCTCTTTGCATGCTAGCTGAACCTTTTTCTCTGCATCTGCTATTCGCTGAGCAAACTCCTCTTTAAGAGATGAAATGCTACTGTTCTCTTCTTTCATCTTGATGATTTCACTAAACATAAAACATTTCCATCATTATGACTGTGCGTGACATTTCAAATGGGAAGCAGAATTTATTCATATAAATGTACACCCTCTCACTCACACCTGCAAACCCTCTTTCTCCTGAGAGGGGTCAAGGCAACAAGAAAAGCAAGGAGGAATTACTTCTCTAATTCAATCCTTCAACTTTTTATCTGAATAAATAGACCAATGGACATCACAGGAATCTGTTTTGTTTTCCAGTATTCCTCTACCCACCCCAAAAGCACTTAACAACGTACTAGCATCGGAGGAGCTCCATTCATGCAACAATGTATAACCATGACCTCACATAACCAAGCTTTTCCCCATCATGCTTTTCTTATATGACTTTGGAGTCCAGCCCTTATCAAGCCCCTAGAACAGGCTTCCTCAAACTCGGCCCTCCAGATGTTTTTGGCCTACAACTCCCATGATCCCTAGCTAGCAGGACCCAGTGATCAGGGATGATGGGAATTGTAGTCTCAAAACATCTGGAGGGCAGAGTTTGAGGAAGCCTGTCCTAGAAGCATGGCAGCTCATGGGAAAAAGATGGGGCTTTATTAAAATCACCTTGTGGCTACATTACTTAATCAGCAATTAAAATGAATTCAATTCAGTTCCATACAGTCACTGACATCTATCAACCCCTTTCAAGTTTTAGATGGGTTGCTACAATCTGTTTAGCTTAAATTACACAAAAGCTACATTATACAAAAGGCCAACCAAATGCATTTTATCAAACAAAAAAATAGTTCACAATGTTTTCACATGATGTGAAGAGCCACAGGATGAATGTTGTCAATTGAAACTTACTCATTAAGATTATCACAAGCTTCTTCTAGGCATGCCTTCTCTTTACTAACACTTAACAGGCGAGTTTCCCTCATTTCCAGTTTTTCCGTCAGTGAATCAATAATCTGAAGAAGATTCAAGACACAGAAGCTGAGAAGACTGGTAAGATGGTAAGATGGCTGAAAGATAGATCTCCTTGGGCAACATCATAGAAGCAATGCCCAAAGTTCCACTCAAGAATTTTCTTAAGCAACAAAAGACATTTTACGTCATATATGCTGTGCCTCTTTTTAGTCTTTCCCACACAGTCCTAATTCATTTTAAGTTCTGATCTGTTAAGATACAATCAACTGAATATGGTACATAGGATGGATTGTGGTTGAGTGCCGGACAAGGTCTGGAGAGACTGAGGTTCAAATTCCTAACTCTCTCAGCCTAAACTACCTCACAGGGAGGGTTGCTGTGAGAACAGAATGCAGAAGAGGACCATGCATATTATCTTGAGCTCTTCGGAGATAAATGTAATAAAAATAAATTATGTAGGAAACTCAGGTGGAGTAGATTTTTTTTTGGGGGGGGAGTGCAGTAGGAGTGGCTGTGGGGTAGCAGAGGAAGGAGAAACCCCACTGAACGATAAGATTTCTGTTGTGGACAAAGATCACTGGCTATTGATCCATATTGATTTCTAAAGGAAATGTTTTGCTGGACAGATTATTCATCTTCAATTTTAAATGCACTTGAAAGAAACTGAAGCTATTGTACCATTTATGATTGTTACAATTTAATTCACAGGATCCCAATTGTTTGATTTACTAGAAAAATACTCATGCATCATTAATCCTTATGCATATCTCCCCAGCCTCCCAAACACTGTATACATACTAGAGTAATCAGATATATACAAAAATGCACACAATCAGCAAGCTCCACCTTTAAAGCCCTAAACGGCCTTGAAAGAGCATCTCCACCCCCATCATTCAGCCTGGACACTGAGACCCAGCTCCGAGGGCCATCTGGCAGTTCCCTTCCTGCAAGAAGTGAGGTTACAGGGAACCAGGAAAGAGCCTTCTCAGTAGTGGCACTCGCCCTATGGAACCCCCTCCCATCAGATGTCAAAGAAATAAACAACTATCTGACTTTTAGAAGACATCTGAAGGCAACCCTGTTTAGGGTAGTTTTTAATGTTTGATATTTTATTGTGCTTTTAATCCTGTTGGGAGCCAGCCAGATGGGCGGTGTCAAGGAACTGCCATCAGCTCAGAGGCGGGAGGTGGAAAGGCAGTTGGGTTACAGGGAGCCGCCAAAGATCGTGAGAAGCAGCTCGTCCTCCAGGGAGGAGCGAAGCCACGCCTCCAGTGGGGAAGGAATACAGGGCTCAGAAGATGCAAGGGAGAGCCGCAACACCAAACCTGAGCAAAGCGGGGAGGGGGGACAGATCCCCTTTTGCCCACGCCCTCTCCGCGCAGAAGGCTTAAGCACAGAGAGGGGAGGTGTAGGATGGGGGTAAAAAAACTGCTCTGCTGGGGAAAGTTTAAGGACCGCCCACTCCCAGATTCTGCTAGCGACTGAGCAGACATGGAATTGAGTCGATCTGCACTGTGAACATTTTGGACAGATAATAAAGCCTGGAAAAGACCAATGGGGAGTTTTGCCTGATTGCTCTCGAGCAACCACACCGGCACACATAACAGGCGGGGTATAAATTATTATTACTACTATTATTTAAAGGATAATTTCCTGACATCAAAACAGAAAGAGGCCTGCAACCGTGCTGCCTTCAGCAATCTGACTGAATAATCTTACTGCACCTCTTCTCCCAAGCATAAAAAGGGAATAACCATATCAACAGGGCAGCAGAAAGATGTATATGATGACAGTTCTGGGGTTACCTTGCAAAGCTCTTCTTTTTCACACTCTACACTTGACAGCTTTTCAGCACTGGGCCAATGTACTGCCACCTCCTCTTTCTGAGTCTGTCCATCAGTTTGCACAGAAACAGCCAAGACGTCTGGCTGATCTGAGTTAACAGGGGTCGCACTTCGCCCACTTTCCTCCATTTCTGTTTCTTCTGTGGGTAGTGCAATAATTTCACTTAAGATTTGGTCAGACTTGCTTTTTATAGGTTCAGGCTCTTCAGATTTTAGTGTTGAAGGGCTGAGGGTTACAGATGCCGAAACGCATCCCCTACCCGACAATTCATCGTCTGAATTTATTTCACTCACACTCCGACTGTCTAAAGACTGCATGCTGAATGAGTCTATCCTTTCAAAAGCATCAGAGGAGCAGCAACTCTCAGTCAATTTTTGAAAGTCATCAAGGCGATTATATTCTGTGCAAGCAGATGCTGATAAAAGCTGAAAAGACGTTTGCATCAGGTGAAGACTAGCTTTCGAATCGGCAGCCTCTTGCCTTGAGCTTACAGAACTTTCACTTATCACACTTTCGTGGTCCAAAACTTCAATGTCACTAGTTGTCGAGGTCCCTGAGGAGAACGTGCTAATTGGAGGTGAAGGTGTATTGCTTTGCCGATCCTCACTTTTTCGCTCTTTAGTTTCCAAACCTATACTCTTTGTCTCTGCAGGCAGAGGTTGTGTGGAGATGTCAGGCATATGACCAGGTTCTTCACTTCCTGAACTTGCTTTCACAATAGCAGTGGCTTCTGCTACCTTGAGATTCTGAGCAGATGCTTCTTGATCAGCGCCTTTAGTGTTGTTTTCCTCACGCTCATCTTCATTATGCTTGCCATCAATATCAAGTACTGAATTACCTTCTTCTAACTTCTCCTGGGAACTACTGAAGTTTTCCAGTTCCACAGGTGAAATTACAGAGAAATCTTTTCCTTCTGTTTCTGGCAGGTCAGCATGCAGAGATTCTTCTAGTGTGCTTTTTACTTCTTCTTTGGGTCGCTGCGATTTGGTGGGTGGCTTAGACACCACTGGACTTTGCTGTATGCTCTGAACATCCGTTAATGGGAGAAAGGCACTGAAGAAGTTTTCTGACTCATCTACCACAGTCCTCCTAACAGGCTTGGTGATGGCTGTAGGAGATGATATTGGCTGACTTTGAGATTCTGTATCTAAATTAGCTCCCCATGTAGAAGTATCCCATCCTCCACTCGTAAGAGAAGTTGTTCCTAAAACAATGAGAGGAAAAGGAAAAACCAAATTTTAGAAGTTAAGTGCATTGTGCAGACTTCACAAATATTAAGGTGTCGTTAGCCCCAATTTCACTTTTTTCTGCATAAACACACATTGATATTACTTCCTTTCCTGAAGCATCTTTGGTGCAGCTATGACCTACTTATCCAACATTGTGTTTCCACACAATGAAGAATGGTTCCTTGGGGTTGGACACAATCTCCCCCCAGTGAATAACCTGTCATGATTTAGATATGGCTCAAAATTCGGCACTATAAACAAAACCACACTGATTTCTTGATAGCTGACAGCTAAAGTTGTATGCTGTTTTCATACAACAGCATGCTCATACTTGGCACCAATACTTTTTTTGGTGTTGCATGAGCAAAATGTACCCACAGCTGACCACAGGAAGCTCTAGTGCAGATATAGGGTGTACAACAGGGCTCCCCCCCCCCACTGTATATGTTGGATAATATTCCTGAAATGTAAGTATAGGAATGAATCTCAGCTGTGGGATTAATGCAAACAAGAGTAAGTTGTGTGGTGTTCAGTAAGTCTGGGCAAAGGTTTACATTTGATCACCCAATATGCTAAAAAGATAGAGATTACAACCAAGCAGCACTTTTTGAGTTGTTTTTTAATTAAACAGCTATTCTCCAGTGTCCTCCCTTAAGTTGCATCAAAACTTAATGTGTCCTCCAGTGTCCAGTGTCCTCCCTTAAGTTGCATCAAAAAACTTTTGTAAAAGAGCCCTGCTGAGCGCACAAAATTAGCCATGTGGTGCTCTGGATTTTAGCCATCCTTTTATTTATTAGATTCATATCCTGCCCTTTCTCCCAAAGGGGCCTAGGTCGGCATCTGTATCTACATGGATGCCTTTACCTAGAGTAAGTGTTGAAATGAAAGGCTTTTCAGATAATCAACAGGAAAAAATGACGCAAGGAGGAAACAGAACACAAGTCAAATTATAAAGTAAATACATCAGGAAGTGTGCAAATAAGAGTGTGAGGAAGGGAGAGGAAAGAGTAAAAACTGATAATATGAATCCAAGACCAACAATTGCTAAAGTGGCAACACCATGCACAAACATACTGAAACAGGCACAATAACTCTTTATCACCCAGAATAAGGGCTAGTAAAAGGATTGTGTAAAACACCCTGAGAGAACATAAACAGTGCAATAGAATGGACTGCCAGAGAAAGGCATGTTCCTTTTTATATTATTATTACATATTATGATTCTATATTTATGTGACAGAAACCTTCTTGTGAGGTCGTCGTTCTAAAAGGTGGCTTATTTATTTATTTGAAATATTTTATAAATAAGCCACAGACAAAAACACCCTTGATTTCAGACTAACATAATAGTGAACAGTGCAGAAATGATGTCAATGACCCTTTTTTCAGAAATCATACACCAGCCACCCCCAACCTGGTGCCCTCCAGATGTTTTTGAGAAGTCCCTGTCATTCCCAGCCAGCATGTCCAATGGTCAAGGCTGATAGGAGTTATAGTCCAAAATACCTAGAGAGCACCAGGTTGTGCAAGGTTGTTCTATACCATAGAGACTCTAAGCAGGAGATGATGTGTGGAAGTCTGGCATGGTGGGCATCTGAAGGGTAACTACATGCTCATTGAGAGCATAGTATTATGCTTTTGGAAAGGAACATGTGACAGTGTCAGGTAAAATATGCAAAAGAAAAATGAAACTGAAGGCCTTGCTACCATTTATAGGATACCTGTGACTACTGCCATCTCACATTCTCATACACCCTGCCAGTAAAATAAAATGCATGAAGAGCCTTCATGCTTAATGATCACCCTCATGTAAGCAGCAAGGAACAAACAAGAGTGGGAAATGCTAGAAACAATGACACGTCAGTTATTTATTTTGCCAAATGTTACTTGGCAGATGCAAATGGGGGTGGCTGATAGCAACTACTGTCTAGTTAGGAGCCAAGAAATTAGTACAGATACACTAAGGAAGCAACAGTGGTACAACATGCTGGGCTTGTGAGTTGAAGAAAGGGTCCCAGATGTCCCTGTGGGAAGGGGGGCAAACCAAAATGTAATTATAAAGTTTTCATTCCAAAGATCACAACATTAAATTTAATCAGTATCTGATGACTAAAATTAGTAGGGTTTTTCATTAGCTTTTCAGTACCATAGACAGTCAATAGTTTAACCCATTTCAAGCTTTGCCATGTGGTATGGAAGCCGCTGTTTGAGAAAAACATTTCCAAAGCCCCCCTGAGACTAGTTACTGTACAAGATAATGGCTATACTGAAGTTAATAACACAGAGTATGATCTTAAGTAGAAGATAAGACCAATGCAGGCATGAACAGGGCCAATTATACCACAATGCAAATACAGAACAACCGTCTGTTTGTTTTTAAATATATTTTTAATTAAAGATTTCTTCATTTACAAAAGTATGTGCAATGTCTCTTTTTTCAAGTTACATTTTCTACGAATCAGTTCCCTTTGTTGAGACATTAGTGTTACATTACGAAGGAAGAAAGAGGTGGAGGGGGGCATGGTGAGTGGGATTGGGTGGCAATGTTTCTATTCTACTTGATGTATGTGTATGGGAAACAGCCTTACAGTATTAGAAAAACTAACCAATAAACTTAAACTGACACAAGGCTCCCCTTTATCACATACACAGCCCAACAAGACAACAACCGTCTGTGTTGTTATTTGCCCTATTGCCCTGATCCCTTGAGGTGGGCCAGGACAAGAAACAACTTCATAACTTGAAGTCACGTGAAGGAAGGAATGGAAGCATGTAACTAAGAAAGAGGAGCTTTTTAAAAATAAAAATAAAAATGAGTGTATCAAAAGAAAACTGAATGAGGCAATTACCAGGTCAAGAGAGAAGTGGGAGAGTGGAACTAAGACTGAGAGGATGGGTATGTATAGATGCAACAATGTGAGGTCGTATTTTTTTATTTTATGCAGCCACCATGTCTGTTACTTACAAAGGGAAATTTATAGATTATATGCATATGCAGGCATATTGGAAAAACAGCAAATATTGTTTTATGGAGGACAACTTGCAACATCGTCCTACTCACGCTTATGCAGAAAGTGCCATTGCAATCTTGTGGAGCTTACTCAAAAAAGCGAACATGCACTGGAGGGCAATAATAATAATAATAATAATAATAATAATTTGCAGTGCTTTTTTCTGGTGGTACGCATACCCCTAAACATTTTGTGAATCTTTGTACTTTTGTCCATTTACTGTATTTATTTTTCCCAATTTGAACTATAACATGGTGATTTTCTTGAGTCAAAATGAGAGTACCCCTAAACATATTTTTTGGGGGGGGGAGCAATGATTATTTGTACCAGATCATCTCAGGGCAGTTCACAACATAAAATCACAATATAACCTACACACACACAAAAAAATACACAACCCAATAATTCCTGCCCCCCCCCCCCCAATATCTTAGCCAAAGCCTCTGAAAGGCACCAGGCAATATTTCTCAACCTGTGGGTCCCCAGATGTTGTTGGACTACAACTCCCATCATTCCTAGCCAGCATGACAAGTTGTCAGGGATGATGGGCGCTGTAGTCCAACAACGTCTGGGGACCCACAGGTTGAGAACCGCTGCCGGAGGGTGGTTTGGGAGCGGGGCGGAGGAGAAAATAAAACCAAATAACCCCCGAGGCGAGGAAAAGGGCTGGCCACGCCAGTCAGGGCCGGTGCAGAGACCCTGTTCGCGCTTGTGCGCCGCAACCACCGGCTGCTGCGGACGAGGCGGCGGGTGGTCGGCGATTCCCTCAGCCGCCCGCCTCGCCTGAAGGGCTGCGGGGTCTGAGGCGAGTCCTCCCCGCGGCTCCACCTACCCGCCTCTCCCGGTCGGGACGGGGCACTTCCGCCCTGCGCCGCTTCGCCGCCTTCCTCCTCCTCCTCCTCGGCCTGGATGTCCAGCACCCGGTCGATGGACTTCTGCGCCTGAGACAGAGCCTGCTTGGCGAAGGTCGAGAGCTGAGAGGCGTTGAACCAACTCATCGCCGACGCCGCCCCCGACACCGTTGCTGCTCCGGCCCCCGCCACGGCTCACGACCTGCCCGCTTCCTTTCCTCCTCCCTCCCGCTCCCCCTTCCTCTATCCGCAGCTGCTGCAGCCGAAGCCCCGCAGGACGCCGACCGCCATGAGAGAAGCGCCGGGGAACCCGGATAAGGCAGCTCGCCAGGCAGGAACGCCGACGGCACGCTCCCCCCCCCCGCCCGCGCATGCGCCAAAGCCCTTCCGCCTTCCACGTAGCAAAACAAGCCGGCGCCCTCGCTCACGTGACGCCGGGCTGGCGTTGCCATAGCTTCCCCGGAGCGTCAGTCATTATGGGGAGCGGCCCCCTCTCTTCCTGGTGACGTCGCGCCGCCAACGTCGTCGTAGCGACGGGCGAGGCACCTGGTTTCCCCGCCCCTAATACGTAAATGTCGCTTCCCATTGGCTGCTCGTAGCTCTGATCGAAACTCATAAAGTATGCCTTATTTAATAGGTATTTTAAAAGTGATTTGGCGTCGGTCGCCGCTTATTGCACCCTGCCCTCTTTTAAACATTTCCTGCAGGAAATCGCGCTTCGGAAAAGCCAAACGGGGCGGTTTCAAGAGGTCAAAACAGAAATGGGCCATTCTTTTATGAACATTTTCCCCGAAGCCTTATTTGAATTGACCCTAAATTATCATGTTCTGGAAAGAGACCCCTTTACACGTTATCCAGCCACAATAATTCCAGAATTTCGGTTGACTTACAATTTAAAACCGAACCTTTCAGCCCAGAAAAGTGCAGCTGCTGAGACATTAAAGAGTAGACCCCTTGTGTAACACTTCCTTGACAGAAGATGTAAAACAGTGAAGTCTTTTGACTTTCAGCCAAATTTTCTGCATGTGATTTAGTACTCAGAAGTGGTGGTGGTTTGGGAACATTGTTGGCTTTGAAGAATTGAGAATTACGTCTGGGGCGGGGCGGAAGCAAGGGTACAAGCTTTAATACATGTTAATAGGGCTTGCTTCTCAGTAAACTTCTATGGAGCTTAAAGGTAAAGGCACCCCTGACCATTAGGTCCAGTTGTGACCGACTCTGGGGTTGCGGCACTCATCTCACTTTATTGGCTGAGGGAGCCGGCATACAGCTTCCGGGTCATGTGGCCAACGTGACTAAGCCGCTTCTGGCGAACCAGAGCAGCCTTCCCGCCGGAGTAGTACCTATTTATCTACTTGCACTTTGATGTGCTTTCGAACTGCTAGGTTGGCAGGAGCTGGGACCGAGCAATGGGAGCTCACCCCGTCGTGGGGATTCAAACCGCCGACCTTCTGATCGGCAAGCCCTAGGCTCTGTGGTTTAACCCACAGCGCCACCCGCATCCCTTGGAGCTTAGGCATGTAATATCTAAATGCATGTAATATCTGTTTGCTAAATCCTTGACTATATTTAGGGAGTCTAAATACACACACACAAACTCATACCTTGAAAGCTTATATTTGGTTGATTTTCAACATGCCACTGGAATTATTAAAAAATATTTCTTCATCTTATTATATTTAGGGAGGACTTTGGTAGTTTTTTAAAAATTTGGCACTTTTTGTAGTTGTGCTTACAACAGATACTTTATGTCTCACAAACATGTATGTTTATATAACTTTTTATTAATAAATATCCTAACATCAACCCTGAATATTAGTGGGCAACACCATGCATAGTAGCCGCTAATACTTGCAAATATACAAATGAAGTATTTAATTTTTATCAACAGATGATGATTTAAGAACAATATTTCCGTATTTTGAAAAAAAATACATTAACTTTTGGCAATCCTTAATATCTGTCAGTTTCTTAAAGACATATTAAATAAAGAATTGGGCTGTATATATATTTCCCTCTGTCTGGTAAGTCCACTTCACAAGTAATGCAAAACCATGGCTTAGCAATAGAATACAAAGCACAGCAAACCTCAAGCTTGTGTTCTCTTTCTTCTCTGGGGTGTCCAAGTAATCAGAACTTTATGCTTTTGTTTTAGATTAGTTTAGTACATCTGAATCCCAAAAAGTGGTTAATTGCAGCTATGGTAAATGAAAACATGTCAGCTTCATAAACTATGGCTTGAATTTGGCTGATTTCCACTAACCATATTTCAGATAAATGCAATTTTTCCGGGTTTTGGAGAGCACAGTAAATTGTGATTCATCTAAAACAAAAACAAAAGCTTTTCAACTCTTCCTTGGAGCTGAACTAAAGAAGAAACGGGAGCACAAACCTGAGGCTCACCGATGCTCATTCTTGTAATACTAAACTTTGGTTTAGCCAGCCCAATGCCTCAGTCTAAGAACCGTTACATAGATACTAAAATGTAATTTAAAATCTTTGTTATTTATGTACATTCAGAGACTTCATAGGTGCTTCAAGAACTATTGCATTGACCATCATGACATTTCCACATGCACAAAGGGGTATTGACATTTTTTAGAGTGATTGCAAATTGAAAAAGTTATTGCTTGCTATACACATCAGATTTCTGTACATGAGTGAGCTTTTATACAGATAACATCAACCAAATATTGGTTTGCAAAGACAGTTCTAAAATAAGAGCAATTTATCCTGGATAAACTAACTTCCATCAATGCTTGTATTAACAGGGATAAGGTCTGGCTGTTTCATCTTCCCTCCTCTTAGTGCACAATGGTAGTTCTACAAGGTGTGCAAGATTTTTTTCAGTGCATGTTTACAACACTTGCATTTATATCAAGTAGTAAAATGAAGTTTGAAGAGCACAGTCTGTGGTGTAGTGACATCTGCAACTGCAAGTTCTTGGCCATCAACAAGTCCAAGCTCTGTATCAAGAAAAAGTTATAAGCACAGCATTTCAGTCACTTCTATGCATGTATGGAAAATGTGCAACTGACAATTGACTCAGAACATTAGCAAATAAAACATTTTCTGTTACGAGACAAAATAGTAAAAATGATTATTTTGCTTTTAGGAAAACAATTGCCTAGGTATTGGTGTGAAAACATTACAGCTATCAATTTGGACCAGTGTCCAAAGAAATGAACAAATTATTCTGCACACCAACAGCATTTTGGACTCTGAGCTGTATGTTTGTTTCCATTGGTTCTTATGGTTAGAATGGAAGTTATATTACAGCTTTACTCAAAAGAACAATCAGCTAGCATTGAAAGAAAGAATAATCTTTGTTTCTTATTTTCATGAAAACTAGTGTAGGGAGGCAGGAATCAGCACCTTTATGCACAGATTTTAAGAGTTGCACATCTCAAAGGCTTTGCTTTTGCCTTTGAAACTTAACTATGCATGGAAGAAACTTTTGGGGAACTATTAACTCAAGTTTCCGCCCACCTCCTATATACTGTATTAACATACGGATACATCTGACATTGTACAAAGTCAATTTGCTTCATTAGCCTTTAAATCCCCTAAGCACTATTTCAAGGTTTATAATACCTTTTAAAGTCTTTGAAAGGTTCGGCCTTGTTCGTTCTTCAATAGAAGCTACTGACTGGGAAAGAGAGGACGTGAACAGTTATTTTTTGCTTAAATAAATACACACACACACACACACACAAATAAATTATAAGTATGTATTAGTCACCTGTATATAAAGGGTTTTATTTTTTCCATACATGGTGGCTGTTATTGCAGGAGATTTCATTTGCCTGTGGAAAAAACAACCAGTAATATTTTTTTGGAAACAAGTATCACCATCCTTAATCTGCTAAGAATGTGTATTCAGCAAGATATAGGGTTGTATTACGGTTGTATTAATCAAAGTCCTACTCAGAGTAGACACCATGAAATTAATGTGCCTAAGTTAGTAATGCCCGTTAATGCCAGTGGGTCTACTCTTGAGTAGGACTAATGTTGAATACTACCCATAGATCATACCATATTAATGTAATACTTACAACGAAGCACTATTTGTTAAATAATCCAAGACTTCTTGAAGTTTAGCTGACGGAGAAAATTCTATGTTTTGAGGGAGCTGACTGCAAGCCAGACAGTTCTCCTACAAAGCAGTAAATTAAATAGTCAATATGGTTTAAAATGTAAATTAATCATGGTAATTTAATTCAAGTTATCAAAATCTCATCTAAAGTATACAAGGAATTATTTGCAAATGAAAAATTATACACTTTCATTGAAGTTGGTAGGTACTCGCCTGCAGTGTTTAGTGCAGTTTTTTAAAAGCTGACTATGAACATTTAAGACATTTCTGCAGTATTACTGTGTCATAATAATAATAATAATAATAATAATAATAATAATTTATTATTTGTACCCCGCCCATCTGGCTGGGTTTCCCCAGCCACTCTGGGCGGCTTCCATAGAAACCAAAAAACACTAAAATATCACACATTAAAAACTTCCCTGAACAGGGCTGCCTTAAGATGTCTTCTGAATGTCAGGTAGTTGTTTATCGCTTTGACATCTGATGGGAGGGCGTTCCACAGGGCGGGCGCCACTACCGAGAAGGCTCTCTGCCCTCTGTGTTATGTCAACAAATATGAAATGCCTAGTAGTTCAATGACTTGAACATTCCTTCTGTAGTAAATAAAATAGTAGCTTATCCCTGAATTCAAGTCTCCCTTTCAAAGGGGGGGGGGATGTTTGCCCTCAGAGTTCAAGGGCTCATTCAAATATAAGTTGCTAATGCTTTCTTAAAAAGAAAGCACTGACATCCTAAATACCGTATTTTTCGCTCTATAACACGCACGTAGTTTTTAGAGGAGGACAACAAGAAAAAAAATTCTAAACGAAACAGTGGATGTATGATTTTTGTGGTTCATGCTGTGGCCACAGACATGTGATCTGACAGTGAGTTTGGAGTAGCCCAATGCAAAAATCCTGAGGCTCCATGCTTTGTAACCACGTTTTTGCACCACTGCGGCCCCAGGCAACAGTGGGTGCTTGATTTTTTTGGTGCAAGATGTAGCCATGGACATGCTATGTGATCTGATGGTGAATTTGGGGTGACCCAGTGCAAAAATCCTGAGGATCCATGTGGATCCGTGCTTTGTAACCACGTTTTAAGTGGGGAGGGAAGGAAAAGCACTCAAGGGACAAGGAGCACGCGTGGGGTGTGTGGAGAAGGATGCTGCTAATAATGCAGGAGAGGGGCTTAAGGGAAGAAGGCTCCTCTCCTCTCCCGCTTTGCTCCTTTAAAGCAAGCAGGCTCTGCTTTTCTCCCTCCTCCCCGCTCATCCCTGGCTTAGTGAGCTGAAAAACTTTGCTGCTATGTAGCGAGCTGAGTGGGGAGGAGAGAGGGACAGAGAGCCTGCTTGCTTTAAAGGAACCAACCGGACAGGAGCTGCTTACACTCGTGTAAGCGGCTCCTCTCCTCTCCCGCTTTGCTCCTTTAAAGAAGCAGGCTCTCTGTCCCTCTCTCCTCCCCACTCAGCGGCTCTTCTCCCGCTTTGCTGTTTCAAAGCGAGCCACGGAGGAGGGAAGGAAGGGGAACCATGGATCCTCTTCTCACAACTGCAGCAGATCCCCGCCCCCCCGCACGCATTCCCTCCATAACACGCACAGACATTTCCCCTTACTTTCTGGGAGAAAAAAAGTGAGTGTTATGGTGCAAAAAATACGGTATATTTTAAAAAAACTTGGTAATATACTTGAAATAAATCAAGAACCAATGCTAGTACATCAGATTCGGACCAATAAATCTATTAATATATTAATAGTGATTGTTTGACAGGCGAGGTGTGAAGTCATCATTCAGCAATAGAATGATGCTACTCAAGTACTTGGCTTCCAATACCAGGGAAGCAACAAATGGGAGGGGTGGGGTGTTCAAATGACAAAATAAACTAGCTTTATTTATTACAAAAATATTCATCCTTTAAGGAGTACAAATAATAAATAACATACAAAAAATACATTTAGAGTCCCACACACAAATCCTATTTCCCACTTAAAATTCATCCTCAGGTGGTCGTTTGCCAACTTGCAGAGACAGTGATGGAACTAGTGCACTTGTACTTAGTCTCCTCCCTTGCATGCTGATTTAATAAAGATGACAAACACTTGCTGAAGTCTCTCTTTTTTTCAGGTTAACTCATAAATGCTTTTTAAAAATTTATGTCCTTAAAACAAGGGTCTGGCAGGCCTCTTTCAAGGACTGTGCTCTACAGTTGAAGAAGTCCTACTATCAAGGAAGTCCAGGTTTTATTTTCTAAGCATATGCATGGAGCAGGGTTTCTCCCATGTACCATAATAGCCAGGAGTTTCATAAGGAGAAAATGCTTCCTAAGGGATGTGAAACCTGACACCATGAACAAGGTTATATCTACCACCAGCAACTTGAGTGAGCATGGGAGCGTCAGACAGTTGGCTTAGTTTACAAAGTTTTAGTTTTATATTTTCGGCAAGAGAAGTTCCATTATGACCCAAGCACTCAATAACGAACAGCTAAGAAAAAATTATGTGGCAATACCAACCTTCTTTTCGGCTTCAAATGTGTATGTGTACAGTCCATCTACATCATTGAATACCAAATAGTTGTTCAGAGGCATGTATGCACTGTAATGAAAAATCTGTTAGCATTCATAAGCAACAAGTGTCCTAAAAATATTTTAATTCGGAAACAAGTTACCTTGTGGCTAATTTAAAGACTTCAGTGGCACATACAGCTAGAGAAAGAAAGAGATAAACAACTAAAATTACTTGAAAATTAGAGGAAAGTATGGATCAAACATTTTACTTATGGGACAAGGAAAAGAATCAGCAGGTTTTGCGTTCAAAGTCTCCTAGAAGCTAAAGTATATGGTGAAATGTAATTATCTGAAGCAAATCTAGAATTACTACATGGAATTAAATGCAGTCAGAATATTAAACCCTTTATTGCCAAATTCTGATTTACCTATAACTCCCACCTCAAGGTGCCTTCCTAAAGAGTCAGCACCTTAGAAATATTGCTAGACAGCTGTGTCAAATTCCCTGCTAGCAGTTTAATTTAAAGCTTATTTGAAGTAAATACATTGGTTATTTCAATGTGATTTACTAATAATTTTGCCAAGGGCTGCACTCATAGGCTGCAATCTTATATATATTTACTAGGGAGACAGTATAACTGTCCTTAATTAGACTTACTACTGGGAAGATATCCATGGGTTTGCTCTGTCAAGTCCCGCCCCCCCCCCCCCCGTATATTTAGGCTAGTTTGTGGTTCGAGGACCCGATCCCCGCATAGTGGAATGAAACACAAGGACACGTGATATAAGGTTAATGGGCAAGAAAAGGCCACAACTTTATTGATTACAGCAAGTGAAAAGGTATTGGCTTAGGCATTGGATTACGTCAGCTGACTCCACCCCCTCAGAGAGGGGTGAGTCTAAAACAGGGGGGTTTATTCACCAGTAGGTGGAGCCTGTTGATGCTAATCCAACTATAAGCTCTCCCCTGATGTCACCGAGGGTCGTGCCATGGCCTCCCGCCACGCAGGCATCGGACAGAATACACGACCGCCGGATTCCTTTAACGGAATACCCAAAAATTGAAGGCGTAGGCGATGGCCACACCTAGCCCTTCGACACCACAACACATTATTCCAATGCCTAACCTACCCACCGATACCACGAAAGTTGTGACGATTGCTACGAGGTAGGCGAAAAAACCAAAAAGCCTAATGCCAAATGGAAAAATTCCTACCAGGCCCCCCGGACAACCAGGGCGACCAACCTAAGGTCCATAGCAAGGCCAAAAGAAAACTGAAACCCTGCTCTAAGGGAGTGGAGGGTGGGTGACTCGCGACAGGACGACGAAAAGTGAGGCCGGGAGGCTGGCGCCACAGCAATTTAGGCTGCTGTACACGCCTCCTTGAAGGCACCTCCTGGTTGGGTGCCTAGCCGCGGGCGTGGGCGCCAGCCAGGTGAGTGGAAGGCAGGGGGCAAACGCCCCCTGCTTGAGGCGGAGTCCGGCTCCCGACCACAACCACTCCCCTCTCTTGCAGGGAGGAGAGTCTTTGTTACATTCAGCCTAAATACATAAGGAGAACAGGAAGACATGGTTTTCAGCTTAGATCTCCAATACTATTCTTACAGATGTAATTGGAAACAATTTTTTAAAAATTGCATTACTGTACCTGCGATGACAGCATTTGTAGAAGCTACAGCTGGAATGATCCGCTTTACAACTCCTGCATTGAGAGAAGCAGCATCACAAACTTTTATGTTATTTCTACTTTTAACAGTTGGAAACATAATTCAAGGAAAGTATCTACAGTATTATGTAGTAGTATGGTCACTACCTCAACCAACACAGAATAGGGCAAACTAAAGCTAGACATGTATGCTTATCATTATGGTTTCCCAAAGACCAAAAAGGACCCACTGAACAGATGGCTTCTGCTGTATCTTACCTTGTGTGAGCCTGTAGGAAAGACCTTTAATATTAAACTGTGCTGCCCTTTCTAAAGACTTTTCAAAAATCCACTGTATGTGCTCAGGATCATCTCCATCTAAAGCAACACCTTCTGCAAAAAAAGGAAAAAGTATGATTTTTACAACTTAAAGCATGAAATGGTTTTTCATAACTGCAAATTACAGTAGTACCTCTGGTTGCGAACGGGATCCATTCTGGAGGCCCGTTTGCAACATGAAAAGAATGCAACCTGAAGCGCCGTATCTGCGCAGGTGCATGGTGCGATTTGGTGCTTGTGCACATGCACGAAGCGTGATTTAGCACTTCTGCGCATGTGCGAGCGGCGAAACCCGGAAGTAACCCTTTCCGGTACTTCCGGGTTGCCACGGGACGTAAACTAAAGGAATGTAACACGAAGCAAACATAACATGAGATATGGACTGTATACCATTTTTGAAATAATAACTTGCTTGGGTGGAGTCCCCAAAAGAGAGAAGTGGCTAATATGAAATTTGCAAAGGGATAGGTTTATTATGAAAATGTGATTTCTAAAAAAAGAAATATAAATAAGAGAATCATAAAAAATAATAGCCAGAAGGAAGAGGAACTCAATCATGACTCCCAAGTCAAATTGCAAAAGACAAGTGAAATAAAATATGCCAGGATTATAGTGTTATTCAGCTTTCCGTTTTGACAAAGGTTCAACGGTAGTTTATTGATTACCTCCAAAAGGTTGTTCCTTGGGCCACTGCAGTATCCTGACATATTCAATGCAATGTTCTGGTAGCCGAGGCATTGAAGCAATTGTACACATAGGAAAATTTACCTAGAGAGAATGGATAAGGTGTTTCAACATGAATGTTGAAGTGGCATGCCTGGCTATAAAGTATTTGTTCTATTTAGTTACCTGTGGTGGATAAAGTTCAAGTGTACATTCAATACAAGCTGTCATGCCAGGAATAATCACGCGAGCATTTCCTTTAAAGCCTTCAGTTCCTCCATCAATCAAAGGTATAATGGAACTTGGATCCAACACCCCATTTTCATGGTTTAAAAGTGAAATCTAAGGAGAGCAAAGAAGTCCATTTCCATTAAGTCCATTTCCTCTAACCTCAACCCTCACCCTTCATAATATCCAAACTGAACAGTCCTTCGGGTATTATTTAACAGGACTTGCTGAACCTGAGTTGCCTGAAATAATTGCTGCATTAACTGTCCTGCATTTTTTTGTTCTGCGGAATGTGGTGGCAGTCCTCATTAAAGTACCTCAACTTCCAAAATCAGCTCAAAATTATTTCTGCGCAACTCATTTGGGGGCATATTTCAGGAGCCTGAGGGCACAGATAGCCATGAAACTTTATGTCACAACTGAAATACGAGACCTTCATAAGCAGCAGGGCTTTATTAAAAGGCTACAGCAACAGAGAGCCATGCTTTACATTTGAAGTGTTCTCCCTTTTGTTTACCACATCCAATATGAAGTTGAAAATAGCACATGCATCTCCTGTGGCAGAGCAACATATTGTAAATGCACATACCGCAAAAGCAAATTCAATTTTCACAAAGACACTATTGGTGACAATCCTCCCTCTAGCCTCAAAACAAGTCTCACATTCAGGGAGGGTTTCGGCAGTACATGACTTAATAGTGCCTATATTTTGCAACAACTGAGTAACTTTACTTCCTAGATATTTACCAGCATGCCATTTATCCATCTTCTTGCAATTATTGAATCCAAGCCACATACAATTATATGAAATTCTGGAAGAAAACATAAAATATTGTTATGCACACTTGATACTTCCCTCGCTTTTCAGTATTGTTAGCATATTTTTCTATTGTTTTGTACACAAAGAGAGTTTACTAGTTAAGCGTTCTGTTTGTTGTATTTTCTCCTTCCTTTAAAGGAAAGGATAGTAATGTTCTTTAACTGATTGGGGGGTACCCACAAGTCATTATTTTCACAATAGCACACTTAGTTACTTACGTCTATAGAAAGTGTCGTCTAGATCCTGAATTTTTTTGTAATGTCTGAAAAGATATACAGTAAAGGAATTCTCTTGTGGCAGTTACTTGGCCAAAACACAAATGCCCTTGCCTAATTTGGTATGCATGCCACTGTCCAACACAAAATGCCTTACTATGGCTCCTAACTTCCTCAAAATTGTCTCTTTAAGAATAGCTTGAAGAGTTATTTAAAAATTAGACTAATGACAACACCTTTTTTTGGGAATGAACCTGTCTGTTTACTGATTGTTCCAACACCACTGGAGGAGGACTGATGTCACACTTGTGCCTTTTCCATAGCCATCTCATTGATCACTGTGGGAAAGAGGACACTGAACTAGATAGGCTTTTTCGGTCTGATCCAGCAAGCAACTTTTCCCCATCCCACAATGGCTCTGAATTCTCTGTAGACTTAAGATGTTATTACTGCATCCAAGCTGGGACAGATGAAGCCTAAAATCAGGGGGAAACCCATACCTGGTACATCTCTCTCAGCATCTGTGTACACACGAGTGTAGGTGATGTGGATGAATAAGCATTTTCTGAATAATCAAGCTAATGTAGGAACTGCATTTAAATTAAAAATGCAGTAAGTTTTATGCACTGCATTAGAAACATGGCCAGTTCAAGGGGTTTCAATGTGCTAACATCTGTGAACAGGCAAAACAGGCTTTTGGTATCACCAAACCCTCAGAGGGCATTTTAGAAAGATTTACTTGTAGTCTTAGGTTTCACTGTCAACTTTGTACATAAACTCAGATTTCAAAGACATCATTATTATACATTATCACTGAAATGATAATCAATATCCACTATATTTTTAATTGTTTGATCGTCTATCAGGCAGAAATTGAAAATGCCAGCTAATATATACGGTAAATAAAAACACAACCCACACATGCACTCAGAAGGATAGCATGTCTACAAAAACCAGTTTAAAGAGGGAAAGAACACAATGCATATTCATGTTGAAGGTTGGGTGGCACGGGCAGGAAATCATTGGACTTCAACTAACGCTGCAAAATGGTTTTGATGGTAAAGTAAGGCAAGGGGTCTGCTATCCAACTCTGGAAACATTTGATGCTTTTGATATTTCTGAAGAAACCCATTAGACTATTTTATTCAATGATTAATCTACAGACTAAAGCAAGCCACACCAAAAAGGAGGGGAGGGGGAATGCAGGTGGCTGTGGACATGAGAATAAATTGAATCCTTTTCTTCATAAAAGGATACGGTACAACAGCACAATTGGGAATTCGGCTGTTTAGAAATTCAGCAGCCACTTCTGCTTTTGGCCGTCCAACATCTTTAGGTCTGCAAAAAACAATATTTGTTAGGAAACTGAATCTGTTAGGATTATCCATTTTGCCTTACACAGAATCATGGGAGGTTAACTACAAGCTCTGTTGCAATGCTAGTTTAAAGCAGGAAAGGCATGATTCAGAGGACTACACAGTAAGTCAAGGATCTCAGTTCCCATTTTTCAAAGGTATCTCCATCCACTGGTGTCAGGGAACTGCCATCAGTGCCGGAGGGAGAGAGCAAAATCCAGAGGGATTCCAGAGAGCGTCCCGGGATTGGGAGAGGCAGCCCATCTTCTGGGGAAGAGAATCAGCGTAGCACCCGTGGATATGGGGGCAGATGGGGGGAAGCGGCGAGGCGGTCCCATGACTCCTTGCCGGGGACCAGCGGGGAGAGTAGGGGTCCTCCGCTGCCTACGCCCTCCTTGCGCAGAAGGCTTTCGCGCAGAGAGAGTAGGAGGAGACTAGGCGTCAAAGAGCTTCTTTGCTGGAAGAAGTTTAAGAAACGCCCACTGACGGATTCTGCCAGCGATTGAGACAGCCACGGGTGAGTGGCTGTCCTTCAGAAAAGGTTCACTCAGGCAACCCAGCCAGGTGTTTGCACCGGCTTACGCACGAGCAACCCCTAGAACCACTACAACTGGTATGGAAAATTCAGAAGTGGCTTCTGATGCAGAACAAGTAAAAGGTGTGAAAAAATAATAATAAAGCACACATATGTGAATGTGGTATGCAGAAAGGGGCATTTGAGATAGTGGATTCTTATTTGTAAAAATGCCATATAATAGGCAGTAGGTTTTTTCCCCACAAGCTCCATCTCAGATACAGCTATTTGACAGATGGGAGACTAGTCCTGACACACAGCCCCACAGTGTTTCTCTTGCTATCTCCCATATTTGAAATCACCACAAGGTTGAAATGTGTGTGTTGTTTTTTTCTTTTGAAGGAAAAACATGCTATAGTGGTAAGTCAGAGGGAAGAGGCAGGGACAGAAGCAGGCAAGTGACAGCAGTAGTAAGTTGGCACTAGAGCAAGCAGACTTTATTTGGAAAGTTAGTGGGGTAAGAGTGAAATGTTAATTTACTATTAGGAATGCCACAGCATACATGTTTCTTGAAAAATATTCAACTCCCTGAATTCTGTTTTAAAGGAAATCTTACTGAAATAAATGAAGCTTTCTTGAAAATGAGAACCAGAGTTTGCAGTTTATTCTCAATAGGAAATGTATGACTTACCGAAACAAAAATTGCCTATTCAGGTTAGATACATCAATGGTGTCCATGTCAATGACATGAATCTGCCTAAAACCAGACAATGCCTGAAGAGATAAAGAGATCAGGGTTACAATAAAAACAACAGAATCTTTTCACTATTAGAAATGTTTGAACGTATTTACTGCTTCTGAAAAATGAAAGTAGTTGAAGGGGCTGAAAATCTACCATTAAGATTGTCCATACTTAGGGTAGTGGGGTATGTGTGTGTGTGTACACATGCATACAAATAGGATGATATATATGCTATTAAAGGTAAACCTAATGCAACACAGGCCCAGCAGCCACCATTGCAGAACCATGAGCTATTCTTTATAGAAAACCCCCTAAGAAAATTCTTCGCACACACTGACTAGTAAAAGTTGTTTTAAACAGTTTACTGGGGAAAAAATATCAGTAGTCACATATCTTGTTTGCAAATGTGATAATTAGAGATCCTTATGAAAATTCTTCCTTTTCTAACTCGACTTCGGATGTGGTAATTGCAAATTAGCCAATATCGTTTGTAGGGTATAACTGCTTTCTTCAAAGAGTTTCAAACTTTCTTCTTCTTAAGCAGATTACCAGTTAACAGCCAGCATCTTTACTTTTCTTTTAAAAGGTACCGTATTCTTCGCCCCATAGGACGCACCGGCCCATAGGATGCACCAAGTTTTTTTGGGGGGGGAAATAAAGGGGGAAAAAATTATTCCCCCCCCCCCAGGCGCTTGTGGGGCCGGCAGCGGGGAGAAGCGCTCTTCTCCCCGCCGCCCGCCTTCAGACCAGGTCCGGGGACAGCGGGAAGACACGCTGCGCCTCCCAGCTGTCCCCGGAGCTTGCGGGGCAGGCAGCGGGGAGAAGCACTCTTCTCCCCACCGCCCGCCTTCAGACCAGGTCCGGGGACAGCGGGAAGACTCGCTGCGCCTCCCAGCTGTCCCTGGAGCTTGCGGGGCAGGCAGCCGGGAGAAGCGCTCTTCTCCCCGCCGCCCGCCTTCAGACCAGGTCCGGGGACAGCGGGAAGATGCGCTGCACCTCCCAGCTGTCCCCGGAGCTTGCGGGGCAGGCAGTGGGGAGAAGCGCTCTTCTCCCCGCCGCCCGCCTTCAGACCAGGTCCGGGGACAGCGGGAAGACGCGCTGCGCCTCCCCGCTGTCCCCGGAGCTTGCGGGGCTGGCGGCGGGGAGAAGCACGCATCTCCCCGCCATCAGCCTCCAAACCACATTGGGAGACATCCGCCTCCCCGCTGTCCCCCGACCTTGTGGGGCTGGCGCTGGGGCTCTCCTGAAGCCTGGAGAGCGAGAGGGTCGGTGCGCACCGACGCCTCTCGCTCTCCAGGCTTCAGCGAAAGCCTGCATTTGCCCCATAGGACGCACACACATTTCCCCTTCATTTTTGGAGGGGAAAACGTGTGTCCTATAGGGCGAAAAATACGGTACCAAACGTACACAGTACATCTGTGCAGTAATCATATCGCAATGAGGGAAAAAAGATAAGATTGCTTAATTTAACTGGTTATTTTGTGCAAGATTCCTTTTTTGTGCAGTATTTTAACCAATGCACATATATTCATCAGTAACCTTTAAGGAGTGTGGGGGTATATCAGCTGAAAACTGCATCAAAGGGAGCATGTTCCAATCCCAAAATTAATTTTAGAAACTGTCCAAGTTAACTCAGAAGACAGGCAAAGTGGGACCCATGATAGAGAAAAATAATCCAAGAGAATGGAAGACACTTGCGCATCCTGACTCATGTCATCTCTAGTCTAATTACCTACCATGCAATTCAGAGTAGAAGTAAAGTACAGTGTCACACAAAAGAGCAGAACATTTTAATTAATTACTGGGCATATAACCAGGTTCTGAACTGCCATTATGAGACACATTTCTGCTTAAGAGATATAGCTTCTAAAAGCAAACCCTGTAAAGTTACTATGGTTTCCATTTGTCCCCAATTTCTTCCCAGTCATATTGTCTTTTCATTATGCATCTAAGTCCAAATATCTGCAGATGACGAGATATAGTAGTAATGTATTCAAAGCTCTCCCTATGGTTAAAGCTTATGGGTGACATCCATCTTCAGCAGTTCCCTGTAGCTCCTATATGCCTTGAAGGGTATCCAGAGGAAGGGCAAATTCCACTTACAAAATCAAAAGTTTGCTGCACAAGTGGGACACCACTATTGGCTGTCACCCTATCAGTTTATGGGTACATTTTGGAAGTTGTCTCTTACCATTACAACAGCTAAAGAACAGTCTGCATAATTGTGCTCATAAACTAATGGAGATGTTCCAGAATCAGGAATGAATCTAATATCTGCCCTGGTGAGGCAAATCAGGTTTTAAAAAATCCTCATTATTGCCTGCTGTCTTGTTAGCAAGAATAATTTGTTGGCTTTGTTTTTGGACAGGATTTATTCTTCATCAGACTCAAGTTACAGCAAAACTAAAGAAAACTTTGCAAAAGTAAACAGTACAGTATTCCAAATATATTGGATGTACCTCATTTTTCGTAAGTTATACAGATCTATAGATTACTGAATTGACTATGTGTTGAGCACGTATTTGATTCTGTGTGATTTTGTATTTGCTTTAGTTTTTGTATGCAACTTGCTACAATGTAGCTGCTAAAGTCGATTGCTAACATGTTTTATATGAGGATGAGGAATCAAACTAATCACATAACCCTTTGACTTCTCAGCGTGTAGAGCAAAAAGCTAGGCAACATGATTATTTTCTCAGTGAACAGCACAGGCTATCAAGAAATAAAAATGAAATTGTTACCAGATTTTTGAGGAGTTCACATCCTAATCCTCCTGCTCCAATAACTAGAACTTTACACGTGTTTAAGAGAAAGTCAAGGGGCTGCAAAGAACCAAGACAGACAAACAGTTGTTGAAAACACAATAACCAATATCATCACAGAACTTATTGTAATGCAGTAAAATATTTCAAAATTGTGAAAATATAGTTCGTTGTAAATAAGAATTTGCCTTTTGCCATTCAAGTTAAATTTGATTAGTACAGATAAACCAGCATTGCCACTTAAATTATTTCAAGCTTGTGTTGTTTGTTTTAAATCAAATCAAAGTGTATACAGGAACAGAGATTGCAATGGCACAGCACTGAACTACATGGTTTATACAGATATATATTTCTGCCAGTTGGAAGTCTTTATGCAATCGTAATCTGACTATGGAAACACACTGCCTGCAGCTGGCCTGCTGCCACCTGCAGAGACAACATCTAATCAATGTGCACATATTATTCTATGTCTATCCCACTGGAGATCGCATGGAATTCTATGGGTCTCACTCCCACATAAGCATACACAGGACTGCAAGAAGAATGCAGGAGTATTTCCCTGATTACTTTTAGCCAGAACTAAAAAGGTCAGGTGCAAAGAACGATGCCTGGGTAGAGACAAGTGGGGAGAAATAGCATGCAAGGTTGGGGAGGGGGTTAAGTGCACAGCCCCATAGCTGCTTGCCATCCCCTGAACCAGGGTGGCATTACCCCTGCATCAGGTCTATTCTGTATATATTTTAAAACTCAGTTATAAAAATTAAGAAATATGACATAAATCTAAAACAAGTATATATGGCAAACCCAAAACAAATAGATAATTCATCATTATCTCACCAAATTTTACTTCAAATAGTTCCCATGTTGAAATCCAGTGGTGTCTGTCCATCAAATGGACTTCTGTTGCAGGACAGGACTTCCCCTTCTCCTCCCTCCTGCAGCCCCTTGCACACGTCCAAAATTAGCTCTAGATGTCTGGGGAACCATTAGAACAGATGTAGGGGTGCATGGAGCTGCACAAGGGAGGATAGGAAGGAAGGTTTGCATGTGCAATACTGAATGATGTCCACTACAGCCAAATTTCTTATTGTACACATCAAAGCTTCAAGTGCCCTACATGACTTTTAGCATCCAAACTATAATTTATGCAAGACCACATCAGTCATGCAGAAAATTAGTTGGTTAATTGCAAAAGTTTGCAGTCTTGTTCATTTTTAATTAATGAAGTGCAAACAAAAGAACAGTTCACAACAGCAACACAATACTACAAACATTTGTATTTAAAATAACTGTTTCTCACTTGAGTGCCTGGCTCGAAATCAGGGTGTGTGAAAGGTCCAGATCGCTCGAGGAACTTCTTTACATGGTTCCAGCGACCTTCCCAGTCTCCATTGTCCCCACACCCACCATCAACAGCCATTCTGCACAGAACATAGAAATTTAGCTGCAAAAAACCAATGGATAAACACACACACGCACACAATCTCTGCAAACTTAGACTTTCCTTTTGTATACATATCACAAGGTGCTACCAATTTTATCTTGTTCAGAGCAAATAAATGAAATATTCTGGGACTCTGCTGGCTACTAAACAGTGGGTCTAGTGTCTAAGTCATGCATAGAGAGGACTCATTGAAAACAATGAGACTTAAATTGCTCATATTTTAAGCCCGATTATTTCCAGTGAGTCTACTCCAAGCATGCCTAGATTTCGATCCAACCCATTAATAACACATCTATTTACAATAAACAAACAGATATGTTAAATTGCTATATGTGATTAGTTATGAAGATATAGATATATATATGCACAGACGGAATATTCAGATTTCTTTTACTTGGAAAAACAGTATGCCAACCAGAGTTTTTAAAAATAAGGTGTTATTAGTATTCTTAAAGAACGAAGATTAACAACAGACAGCTATTTCTGCCTCAATCTACTGAATATGCAGTAGATGTAATGCAAGGGTGGCTAACCTATGGCCTTCCATAAGTCGCTGAACTATGGCTCCCATCATTCCTGACCAATAGCTATGCTAGTTGTGGTTGAGGAGTGTTGGGAGTCCAGTATCATGTGGAGGGCCCCAGGATTCTCACCCCTGGATTAAGGGATAAGAACACAAAAGGCAAATCAAGTGTTTCACTACATTGATGTTTTGATGGGATGTTTTTATGTGGAAGACTAGCGTACTTCTGACAATAAAAGAGGAAACAACATGAGTAACTGATACACATCCATTGGCAATTCATTTCTGGGAACCCTTGTTCCTTGCTTGTTACAAGCAATTATCTACATTTTAAATACAAACTCACTTGTTAACAAAATGAAAGGGAAAGTGACATGCAAGTCACTTACAGTACTACATGTTAACAGTGAACTGGCTAGCAAATGTTTGAATTTTGCCTGACACAACATAACATGCAGTTTTAATTTCTATCCTATGTACAATTTGACTTTCACATTATACAGATCCCTGAGTCCCTTTAAAATACCAAAATTCAACCATTTAAATGTTTAGATGTGTACTGCAAGATATGAATTTTGTGTGTATACTGATCTTAGGATGTTTTAGTGTTTTTCACTATCCAAACTATGGCTGTTACCCAGTAGGGCTTAATTGAGAAGTGGAGTTATTGTCACATCAGCAGGCCTGCCCATGCACACCATCATCCTGGAGTGGGTGCAGAGATGCCATTATGTGACAGCAGCAGGGTTGACTCAGTATCAAACAGATCTCAGACAAGCTTGGTCCTTTCTCCTTGCTGTTTCAGGGCTTTCTACTAACTACTACTGGGTGTCTGTAGAACTTCTACTCGCCTGCTGTTTCAGTGAATAGAAGCAGTAGGGCCAGGCAGAGGAAATCCAATCCTTGCTGTCTGTTGGGTGCAAAAGGGAGGCTGGATTGCACATTTAGCTTTACTGCAGTTTTAATTTCCTATATAACCTGTCCTGAAAACCAGTTTAAGGGCAGAGTATAATAAAATAAATAAAACATGATACCCTGTAGTCTGAAGTCACATCTCAGCAAGGTAACAAAACTGCCAATTGTGCAAAACTGCAGTTTACAATACTGTTTATAGTTTTATATAGCTAGTGTTTCTAAGTAGTGCAACCGTATTTGCATCCTTTTCCTACACCTTTCTTCTTGCAATTAAAGTCCACTGAGTTCAATGAGCCTTACCTTCAACTAAGCATAAATTAAATCAGGCTTCCTCAACCTCAGCCCTCCAGATGTTTTGAGACTACAATTCCCATCATCCTTGACTACTGGTCCTGCTAGCTAGGGATCATGGGAGTTGTAAGCCAAAAACATCTGGAGGGCTGAGGTTGAGGAAGCTTTAATTAAATTATATCCTACAGTAGCCAACCTGATGTCCTCCAGATACTGAGGAAGTCGTCCAAAAGATCCAGAGGACACCACATTGGTTATGGGTTACATCCAACGTTGCCTTAAGATAAGGCATTCTAGCACAACTGATCTTTCCCTTCTGTTCTCCCAGAAAGCTCACCAAAAGATCAGGGAGTACAAAATATTATGGGCTGTGTCATCTGGGGCTCTGTTGGTTGGGAAGGGGGAAATTCCCCAAAACTGGGTAGAGTAATTCATTTATGCAACTCTGGTTACAAACTTACACACTTTACATTTCAAACAACTATATGGAATTATTTCCTAGTCACGTTCCTTACTGTCATATTTTAGTTTTGCTTGCCTTTTTATATGCACAACTCTTGATTTTTACAAAGGATTTCCCATTAACATTCGCTCATGCAATACACTGTAAGCAGTTCAGCAATTTGCAATACATTATTACCTAAGCGGCTTGTGCACTTCCCATCCAAATGTGCATTACCCATGATCTCTTTGATCTTTGAAGAGACCCTAATCCCTGTTAAGACTTGCAGCGACCCTTTAAGGATCTGCCACACTGAAATGCATCTTAGTGCAAGTTCCAATTATGGACCAGTTGGTCTTCGCAAGAGATATGATTCCACCCCACCTGCTGAGTCTGCATAGGCCTCATTTCACTGCTCAGATGTGGGCTCGCTTGACTGAACACTTGCTCTGCACACACACAAAAACCTGTCCCGCATGTGGAAAACTAGCAGGGAAAAGGCTAGGTTTCTGCGGGTGGAGACAGTCACAATGCTACTATTCATGCAGAGCAACATGAAGCCACATGAGCAGCCTAAAGGGGGGTGTGATGCTGATCAGCTCCCATCAGCATCAGCCAACATGGCCAGTCATAATGAGAGCTGTAGCCCAGCAACATCTGGCCAGCCCCACACTGGCTACCCCTGGTTTGAGGCAGAAGATTAGCACCTGAGGGAAGAACCTAGGCGCCTAGAGAGCCAGGCTGCAGGTGCTTTTGATAATTCACACACACTTCCTTTTCTTATATATGGGGGAGCCTGCCACACATTCCCAATTCAGTGGCCCCCTCGCCCACCTGTGCGCCCCCCTCCATCCTCTGCCCCCTAAACCCAGCACTGACCCCATCTCTCTCTGCCTCTCTCCCGCTAGCCGCCGCTCCTCTAGCCTCCTTCTTTTCTTCTCCCTATAAAAGAGAGAGAGAATAAAAGAAGGGTCAGTCGCCGACCGGGTCAGGCTCGGGGCTCGCGCGCTCCCGCGCTCCCGCCACGACTTGGGCGCGGGGGGAGGGGGACAGGGCAGAGGCTGAGGGGGCGCAGCTCCCCGCCAGCCCCCTCCCTGGAAGAAGCGGCGGCGGCGAAGGCAGCCAAGCGCGTGGGGGGTGGGGTGGGGAGGAGGCAGGTACTTACGGCTCCTCAACATCCGCCATAGCTGAGCCTCTCTCCTCCTGTCCTCTCCCTCCAACGGCTCGCCCACAATGCACCGCGGCCGGAAGTTCCGAGCCGGGCTCCCACTCGTCCTCGTTGACGGAGGCGATTCGAGCTTCTCCTGAGGGGAGGGGGGAGGAGGCAGAGAGGCCTCGCTTCCGGTTTCCGTTAGGGCCGGTCGCTTTTAAAAACACGCGCACGCGCGAACACAGACGCCAAATTCACCGCCCAGCCTAGCCTCCTGTTCTCGCCGTGGGTTGAGCGAGTGCCGGGACTAGGCTGTGGGTTCGAATTCCCCTACTCGGCCATGCAGCCCACCGGGTGTGACCTTGGGCCTGTCGCCTGCCCTCGGCCTAAGCGGCCTCACAGGCTTGTTGTGAGGTTGAAACGGACAGGAGAACCATGTACGCCGCCTCGAGCTCCCTGTGGGGAAGGGAACACATAAAAGTGATATAAATAATAAGTTGTCTGGGGGGGGGCAGCGTCCTTTGCTATCCCTCCACACAACCATGCGGTTTTCCAGCAACTGGTGCTTAGGAGTGCTGCTGCGTCCCAGGTGCGGAGGAGAAACTATAGTCTTTATTTAATTCCTTACGTACATGCTCATTTTATACCGCCCTCCAGTCACAGATCTCAGGGCCGTTCACAACATAAGGCACCATAAATATCCTTTATGATGGTGGCCAAGTAGCCACGGATAGCCCCTTCCTCCACGACTTGGTCGTGGTCTTTGACAGCCCTCTCCTCCACGAATCTGCCTCATCCTCTTTGAAAGCCTTCCAGGTTGGTGGCCGCCTATGCCTCCCTTTGCAACCAAAAGCTTTCTTAATTTGGTACTTTTTTCTGTCACACTGCGTGACATCTTAGTGCCCTCCCGATTATTCCATTTTGCATTCTCTGCAGACGGCGATCCCTTCAACGAAGTCGTCTTCTCCACCTCTGGTGCAGGTAGTGGTGAGCTAGATGGACCAAGTTCCTAATTAAATTCATGGTTTAGTTGGCGGGCACCCGGTATTTGCATGAGCATGAGGAGCAGGACATGCTCAATACAACAATGCAACATGTGAAAATATTTAAATACTCCAGGATGTTGAATCGTCCGTCCCCCTAATTGTGCAATGGGCTTAGTTGTCACGTTGCAACAACTAGATCATTGATTTCCTAATAAGAGTTTTGTTAGTGTTTGGCATATTATGTGAGCGTGTTTTTTGCTTTCTTTAGTTTAATTGCAGAGGTTGATTAAAATCAGAAAAAAATATGTTACTGGACCTCATTTCCAGAGAAAACATAGTTATTTTGTACATGACCTTGAGGAAAATTTACTGGTGGCAGTGCAGTCCTATTCAGAAACACTGATCTAAATGGGGCATAATCTTAGGCAAGTGTGTATGTTATTGCAGCTAGAAAGTGCAACTCTAAATAAATTTATTTAGCACCTTTATACCCCATCCCTTAGCCAAAAATGCTCTCAGAGCAGCTTACCAAAGCCTATGAGTAAACTAGCCCTATTCTCAGGCGGCTTACACTCCAAAAAACAAAATGCGGGTGGAAATGTAAGGGAGGAGAGAAAAGCAAGTGGAGGCGCAAATTCTTATTAAAATTGCAAGTAGACATGCATAGCACTGCGCTGTGTTGAGCAACCTTGCAATATATATATAGATATCTGGCAGGATCTTACAACCGTGTTCAAGGAGACTGCTACTGACCTCAGCTTTTTAAAAGGAGCTATTGTGTGAACTATATACATTGCAAATGTTGCATCTTAATTTGCAAACAGTGGGATTTTTGTGAAAGATAAAATCCGCCCTCCCGCGGCTGCCTTTTTTCCCCTTCCTGCTTTGCAGGCAACCAGAAATGCAACTCCAGTCAGCTGGTTGCTGCGTTGCCCTTCTTTAAGGCCGCCCTGCTGACGTCGCGCCGCCGCCGCTGCTGCAGGGTTCCGTATGGGAGAGGCATTATGGACGTGCAAGTAGCTCCGCTGAGATCCTGGGACGACTTTATTCCGGGCCACGACCGCTTCGCCGTGCCGGATTTCAAAGACATTTCCAAATGGAACAACAGGGTGGTCAGCAATTTGCTCTATTACCAGACCAACTACCTGGTGGTGGCGGCTACCGTGATCTCCATAGTGGGGTAAGCGCGGGCGCGTTCCGCGGCAAAGATGGAGCGGGGGCGCACACCTTTCCTGGCCTGACGCTGGCAACTCTAGCAGAGCAATGGTGCATTTTGGCTTCCGTTCTCCCTTTCTCTTCTGAGGGTAGCAAGCTGCCGCTTGCAAACTGCAAATTGCGGCTCTGCACATACTAATTGAATAAATTCCCGTAGAACTTAATGGGGCTTACTTCTGAGAAGAGGTATATGGGGTTGTGCTGGGCCTCCTTGTTTGCTTTCCATCGCATTCGTATTTGTGGAGAAGCTTCTAAATAACCGGATGCGCACTGCTTCGCTCTCTGGTTTTAAGATGGAGGTAGCTTAGCTGTGAGCAAGACGATAGCAAATCCGCTGTATGTATCGCAAAGTGTGTCCTGCATAGAGCAGTCCTGCGTGAAATTGCTGTTTTAGCCATACAGGGCAGGTGCTTTCTTCAGTGCCGTTGGCTAACTGTAACTTCCTGAGTTTATTTCCTTTCTCCTTCAAAATGTAGCTGTAGGCGTCTTCCTTGTTGAATGTACGTTTTCAAAAGTGAAACCTACGCTTCTATTAGATTTGGATCATGAAATCACCGGGCTAATTCATTAAGATTGTTTATGAAGGAAGAAATCTAGGTGTTTCTGTGCCGCCACCCCCTGCCGTGCCTTGAATACAGTTGTAACATTGTTATATTCTGGAAGTCAGTGATGTGTGTATATGACCCATTGTTTGTGGGAAATTGGTATTTTGCAACTATTCCTGTTAACCCTGTTGAGAAATGCACTTTTATTTTTTATTTTTTTTTGCTTCTTTGGGGGTGAATTGGGTTAAATGTGAGGTACTTTTCAACCTAGTTCTGGTTCCTTCACTTTTTAAAGAAATAAATGGTGCTCTTACATAGTTCCCACCTATCCCCATAGTATAATAAACTTACAGAATAAATCCTCAGATGCTCTCCCAGTCCTCATATTCCCTGTGCCTGTTATTCATTTTGGCCCAATAAAAAGCTTCCCTTCTTCGAGACAGTTTTTGGAAAACCTTGATAAACCTTGGTGCATGCTCTCTCTCCTATATATATATAGAGAGAGAGAATGTATTTTAGGCCTAAACTGATGGGCGTTGGTATTCAAAACTCTAACTGCAATTTCTTTACATGAGTCATGCTTGCTGGACTGTGCCACATGGCATTTCATCCTTAGAAACTAGTTTGTTCCTGGCTTCTTCAGAGGACTTGAATGGAAAGAGAAGACTTCCTATGCTTCCAAACCATTAATGTGGCCTTGCCATTTGGAACTAGTCATGATTCAGCCCCTCACTCACATGACAGGTTCTGAAATTGTTGGTTGAAAATTTGGCAGTCTAGTGACTCATCAGTTTGGCCTCTGCTGCACTCATGAGAGCTAGAAGCTTCTGTTAAATGATTTGTGTGTTAGAAAGCAAAAGCATACCTAAGAGCCATTCTTGCTTCCCTTACTCATTCACCTCAGAGTCTGATTAAGGGGATCAGATTTTCACTGACCAGGGTTTTTTATTCCTGTCATGGTAAAGGTAAAATAAATGAAATCTTCAATCTGCAGAAGGTGTAGAATGAGTAAACTGAGATTAGGCTCACTTGCTTTCTCTTAAGTCTGTTATCATTAATAGAGTCTAATTTAAACATGTTTAGCATTTCCCCTTGCTAGAAAAGCTCTCCTCAGAGTAGTGTTTCCCAACATGTTTTGGACTACAACTGTCATTCACCCCTCCAGCAGGGCCTGTAGCTGGGGATGATGGGAGTTGTAGCCCAGGCTGCTTTAGAGCATCACTGAGATTTTACGGCTACAAGTGTGTGCGTTTAAAAAACCCACAAAGGAATTATTTATATGATACTCAGAACACCTCCTTTTTGAAGAGAACCTGTGAATATATGAAAATTCTGAGCAAAACCACACAGGAAATCCTTCTTCAGTCTCCTTTGAATCCTAAAAGATGAAAGAACAAAAAAGCAAACTGACTGCCATTTTGGCTTGGTGTTAGATTTAGGCTGCATTCATCAGCCTTTGTTAGTTACACTTGCAAATCCTTTTACAGACTGGGTCTTTTACTTCATGCTTAAAGTGAGACAAGGCATATCCATCAGATAGTCAGAAACAAACAGGACTTTCCTGTATTCCCTAGAGGTGGACATTGGGGTTTTTTTTAGAAAAATACCGTATAGCAGGCATAGGCAAACTCTGCCCTCCAGATGCTTTGCGATTATAATTCCCATCATCCCTGACTACTGGTCCTGTTAGCTAGGGATGATGGGAGTTGTAGTCCCAAAACATCTGGAGGGCCGAGTTTGCCTATTCCTACCCTATAGAATGGAAGGAGGTAATTCTGCTTGGAAGCTAATTGGCATGACCTAATGTTTGGAACATGGCATTGAGCACTGGGCTTATTTAACTGATTCTGGCCTCTTGATGCAAGTTTAAGGGCTGTCATCCATTCCATTTTCGTTTGATGGCTTTCTATACATAATGAAAACATCTTTCCCTGCATGATGAAAATAATTTATATAAATATTTGTATTCTATATATATCAATATGTTTTACAACAATAAACACATAAAACCACGCAATAAAACTGTAAAAAAGTTAAACAGACATCAATTTAACAGACACCATTTTCCATGTATAAGACTAGGTTTCCCCCCCTAAAAAATAATGTCAAAAATTAGGGGGTGGGCCATCGCCCCCATTTTCTTAAATCTGAGTCCCCCAAAATAGGGGATATCTTATACATGGGGACGTCTTATAGATGGAAAAAACAATAGGCCTGGCGGAATATATAAGTTTTCAGCAGGCATTTAAAAGTTGGCACAGAAGGCATCTGCTGAATCTCTGCTCGCCAGGCAGGGAAGGTGTTAGGCTGGTATCTGATCCCCATTATTGGCAGGTGGAACTGCTACATTCATTCTTCTAGGCAGCCTCACACCTGTACTAATTACCTTTGGGAATAGGTGGAGAGAGGCCATGTCCAGTGTGTCTGCTTAGTGGAGAACGGGGGTGGGGGGAGATTTCCCCTTCAAAATATTTTTGATGTATATAAGTCTTACCCAAAACATACTTGCTTGGAAGATTGTTCCATTCAGATTTACTTAAAAGCTTAAAAAAACCTAGCTGCAAGCTGCACTAAGTCACTTCTTAATAATCCGATGCAAGGTTCATAGAGTAATACAGAGCACCGTTTATTTTACAATTTCTGAGCTTGCATCTTGATTTATATGGTTGATGTTTTAAGGCTTTTCCATAGTTGAATCTTTCTGGCTCCTCCTTTTTCTGTTGTTGCTAGCTGTATGCACTGCAAGATCTTTCAGGGAGTGAGGAAGAGCCACCTGTGGTGTTGGCAACTAATTTTCATTTCATATAGCATAGAAAGTACTCTGTGCCTTAACTGTAACTCCATTAGCCTCCATTGTTTCTTCTTGAACATATGTCATCTCCAACTCAGTATTCTCTCCCAACTCTCCTTCCCATCAATACTCTTTTATCAGTTTACTGTGTTATCATCTGCCCTGTTGAACAGCCATGTAGCCTTGGCTTTGTTTTGTCCCCTTTGTCCTCTGTGTTCAGTCTGTTGCCAAGTTGTGTTCCTTTCTCAGTCTTCTGTAGCCAAAATAAATCCCCTCTTGTTCTGATTGCATGATGTCTCTTCTAATCTGCACATTGACTTTATCTCTGCTGCTGGATCCGTTGCAGGCTTCTTCCCGCCTCTTCAAAACCCTTACCGTCTTTTCTCCCCTCTTACATTCTTCCTTTGACCTTTGCTCCACCACTTCCATCCAGCTGAGGGTCTCCTGCTCCCTCAAATTACTCTACTCTTGCTGCACCTTATGCTTGGAACTGCCTCCCCAAATACCTGTGTGATGCTACTTACATCTCTTCCTTCAAATCTCTCCTCAAAACTCACTTTTTCCATGAAGTCTTAAGCCTGGTGAACATTTAACTCAGGCCAGCCAATGAGGAACATTTACAGTTCAACTAATTAAGTTAGGAGTTTTATCAGATATTTCTGTTCTCAACGTCACAATTTAGTAAGCCTGGAGTGTACTTAAAATTGGTACTTAAAGCTAAGCATTGTCTGTTATAGTATGCAGCTGAAAGAAGGCCAGTGAAGAATAAAACTCCAATTGGATGCTGTGGCAAGTCTTGTTTTTGCTTCTGGAGTTTTTTCTATAGCTTAAGTAGCCATGTTTTAAGCACTGCCTCTCTTACAGATCCTGTCTCGCTTATATTACATTCATAGCTTTGCAGTGCCCTTTATTATCAGGTTTGTTTTAAATGATCACATTTAGTTGCACCTCCACCAACAACGGCCATATGCAAAAAGCACATTATATTTAGCCTGACAGAAGCAGGTGGCTGAATTAGATTTTGTATGCCATATCTTTAGTCTACTGTTCTTGGTTTCTCTTTCCCCCTTCTGTCCCCTACACCACCACCCCTGGTCACCGATGTCTGCTTCAATTTCATCACTGAACTTTTAACTGGCACTCTCTACAGCCAGCCATTGGTAATGCGCTATGCTTCTTTGTGCCCTTCCAACTAAGTAGGAGTATTTTTTAATCTGTCTGCAGAAAGGCAATTCTTTCCAAACTTAACATAGCCTTTCCTATAGTACTGCTGCAGAAACAAAACCTAAAAAAAACCCATAGTGATATGGAAGATCTATTAATTTTATCTCTTTCAGTCAAGGTCTCTTCCTAATTCAGGAGGCAACTTGCCTTACTTTCTGGTCCCAGAACATGGAAGCCTGTGCTCCTATCACTTCCCTAAATGAACCTTCCCAGCTTCTTAAAACCAAGTATTTCATGCATTGGTGCCAAGTTGTTGGAGAATACAAGCTTGCTACAGTGTGCTAACACACTGGAAGCAGGGATCTGATAATCAGGCATGCAGTATGCAGTGCTTACCTGGTGGTGGTACATAGGCTGAAACCTTATTACTAAATCTATTCCGTTACAGCTTTGTATTTGTTTGGTGGCTTCTTTTATTGTTCTTATCGACATCTCCGACTGCATTGGAAGCTTCCAGCTTCTGGGATTGTCCTTAATCCCAGTACCTACAGCATTGCTTAGTCTACCCATTTGAGTTAATGCAATGACTTCCTGCTTGCAGTTCATCCAACCAAGACACACTTGAGTATGAAATGAGATTTCCACCGTCGGTCTGTTCCACTTTGCAGCAGATGGTTGGAAAGCAAATCTGTCAGTAGCAAATGGAAGCATGTTCTGTTGGCTTGGCTGCATAGAGGAGTACATTATTTATTTGCCTGTAGATCACTTCTTTATTTTTCGCCCCACCTGCTTTCTTCTAGGTGCAACATCTTTCCAGCAGGCAAAAGTTGTTTCCTGTATCTCTCAATGAGACCTTAAGGCATCCATTTAGTGGTCTATTTATACTGAGTGCTTTACACTTCCTGGTTATTCCTGCCACCACTACAAAACCTATTCCTTGGCAATAAGAACTAATCACCTTCTCCCCAAGTTTGTTTTTGTACGTTGTCCGAGTAACACCAACCTCAAATAACCACTGCGCTACCATGCTACGAGATGTCTTGCACATATACTGGTGGTGTCTGATACGTTCAATAAATCTCTCTAACGAGGGCTATATTTAGAGTGTATCCTATAACCAACCTAGCTCCTGATACCACCTGTGGCATTTAATGACTCCCACTTGGAGGACTTCAGAGCACACTTCAGACATGATGGATTACTTGTCTTATCACCTTAGCTAAGATGGTATCAGCATTGACCGCCTGCTGTTAGAGAAGAACTTTCTAGGGTGTTACCTTCTATTCAGAATTATTCCATACATATTATATGTGCACTTCTCTTAGGCAGCAGCTGGCTGTTATTCTTGCCAAATGAAGGCCACATAATTGTTGATTCAATAGAAATAAATTTGGAGGCGGCAGTTAGGACAGATTCTGAAGTAACATACAATGTTGGCAGGAGGAAGCTTTTGAAGGGACTCTGCATGTTGTGTTTGAAATGCTCGGCCAGAGAATTTGCCTTGGGACAGTTGCATAAGCAGGATGCAGCAGCAGCTAAGGGAAAATGCACAAAGTTCTCAGTCTTTTTAATCTCAGACTATCCTCTGAAATGAGATTGCAGATGGTAACCTAGATACATCTCTGTTCAGCAGGCTCAACCGTAGTGGAAGAGAGAAAGTGATGGTTCCTGCTTTCTGCTTTGGGTCTTGAGGGAGCAGTGTGTTGGAGGTCTTAGGGCTTAGCTTGTCTCCTTTAAAGCTTGTAAAGATGGGGAAATTAGCTGGACTATGCTTTGAGTCTGGGATGTAGGCAGGCATAAATGTTGTTGGGGCTCAACAGTTTCATAAGGGCAGTATCTGTTTACAGCCTGTGTCTACAGGTGGCTTTCCTTGCTGCCTACTCATTGCAAATACGTAGGGCAAGAGTAGCCAAAATGGTGCCATCAGATGCTGCTGGTCTGCAGCTTCCATGACCCCATCACTATCCTTGCTGGATGGGGCTGATGGGAGCTGTAGTTCAACACAATCTGGAGGGACTGTGTTGGTTATCCCTCATGTAGACAGTGAATGTTGGTTTTATGATTTAATGACTGATGTGCCATCTTGTTCTCATCACTATGGCAAACATCTTACCCCTTTTAACTGTGTTCTACTGCCAGTTGCCCACTTGGTGCTTTGCAATTTGATGCAGATACAGAAGCAAAGAAGCTATTGCACTAGGCAACTTCTGAACCACTGCTTTTGACAGTTTTAAACAAGCTTCCTCACAGTTACAGATTAAAGGCCTAAAAATATGTCTTGATAAAGATTCTAGCAGGCACAGGGACTAACACTTCCAGTTATCAGTTTTTCTCACCTTGTCTGCTTTTTGACCTGTTAACCTCTCACTTCTAGGAAACAGTATTCATGGCCATTAACAACAAATTCTGTTGGGTTCAATCCAGACTCATTCATGCTTGAGTAAAACCCATGAAATCAACAAGACATAACTTAGGTCCCATTGATTTCCCTGGTTCTACTCTGTGCACAACTGAATCTGGATCTAACCTAAAGCCTGCAGCCAAAAAAGTGAAGCTCAGTTAACGATGCTTTATTTTGATCCAAATGGCACACTGAGTTCTGCAGCAGAATCTGACATTTATAGTCGCAGAACCAGCTAGGTAACAAAGATATAACAAATCCAGTGTATTTCTTGCACGCTTTCCTTTTTAGGAAATCCGCTTTAACTTTCCTTGTGTTTAATTTTGCCTGTATTTGGGTTTTCAACAGCTTTCAGCCAATTCAACTTACTTTGAAAACTGGAACTTTTGAGTATTGGTTCATTGCAAAGAGATTTTTAGCTGCATAGAATAAAATTGCTTTGAGTGTTTTCTGCCACATAAACTAGTAAGGGTACCAGAGAAGGCAGACAGTTGATTGATGTTAAACACTTCCCCCAAACCATTTTGAATTAGTCTGAAAGATGATGGCTTGCCTGCCTGTGTATTGCAGCAAGGACTTCAAATCACTTGCCTACAACTACAATACCTCACATTTTAAGGTAGGAACCTGGTCCACAATCAGTTTAGACTGTACTACACATCTCCTGAGGCCTACTGGAAGCTTGACACACACATGCACATGGGGAGCTGCCTTACACTGAGTCAAATCACTGATCAGCTCTCCGGAGGTTTAGACAGAATTATTTCCCAGTCTTACCTAGAGATTGAACCTGGGACCTTGTGCATGCATAATAGATATTCTGCCACTGAGCTAACTGCTGTAGGAATCAATTCTGTTACCAAGTGCAATGTGTATAACTTTTATTTTTTTATTTCATAATTCTATAAAATTAGGCTACCTCTCAAAACTCTGGTACAAAACCCGATGGCAGTAAGACTCCCAATGTGATGATGTCCGCCTTGAGTTACTGTTCACTTTTTCCAGGCAGAACATTCAGAAAGTTTTGCTCTAAATATAGCTTGTGGCTGACCAGAAGTGACTCAGACGCTGCAAACAGCAAGCAGACCCGGCCTGTTTTTAGTACGCCATGCGTGAGTTCCTGTGAGCAGCAGGAGCAGGTGGGCAACCCAACCTGAAGCTGTGATGAAAGGAAGATGGGTCTCCTGCTCTTTCACAGCAGTTGTATCATCTCCATTTTATTAAACTGGCAAAGATGGTAAAACTAGCACACGTTAATTGTGTGTTGATCGACATGAATTAAGCCATAGATGTACTTCTCAAGGCAGTGCTATGCAACGTATTGAGGAGGCCAGCAAGGACCCATTCACAAATCAGGGGCTTGGGCCAGGACTGGGTTCTTCACCCATTTGAGTTTATCCATGGCAGTGCAATGTACAGATGACCGACGGTGAGCCCACAGCTCTGTGTGCCTTAGTTTTGCCTTTGTGATGGGTGTTGTGCTTGTGAAAAGCATGTGAGCGAGGACGGTGGCCCATCCACTGGTTTTTATCTATACTAAATGCAGTGGGCTGAAATCTAGCATGTGTAAAAGTTCTGGGTTATATGTAAAACAGCGTCTTCTGTGGGTTGTAGGCAAATGTGTTCTGCTCACACAGCAGAACTGCCTTCCCCATACCCCCACCCACCCACATCTGTTCCAGAAAGGATTGGGGGAAATTCCTTAGATTCAGCCCCAGGTCACAGACCTGCAGGGTGGTTGTTTGTCCAGTTCAGCTTTTTCAACTGCGATAACTTTGGGTGTCCTCTTCCCCACCCCCACTTCCTTTGCATCCCGTTTGATTTTATTTTGTTGGCATCTGCCGAGCTGTTAGTTTGAAATTATTTGAATTGTACCATTCAGGTCTGTGGGTTCTCTGCACTTCGTCTTGACCCTTGGTAGTTTGTCTGACTCCTTGTGACGGGGTGAGCCAAGGAGGGATGCATGTCATTGAGACCACCCCACCAGACAACTGCACCACCACCCACCTATCTGGTGTTCATGTCTTGTAAGAGAATAAAGCCAGGTTGGGACTGGCACTGTTGCCATAGAATACAATGTTGTGTGCTGCGGTGGGTGGAAAGGTAAAGGCAATGTTGGTTTGTTTTTAAGCTATGTCCTCTATTACAGAGGACATATCTTGGGCGGGGGGGATATGGAACTGGACTTATTTATTTTTACTAGCAAGTCAGTCCTGGTGGGGTAGATGAGTGTGGATAATAATAATAATAATAATAAATAATAATAAATTATTTATACCCCGCCCATCTGGCTGAGCTTCCCCAGCCACTCTGGGTGGCTTCCAAAAAAATATTAAAATACCGTAATACATCAAACATTAAAAGCTTCCCTAAACAATGCTGACCTACATCTTTCTGCTTTGCATGCAGTATTTAGGCCCTGGGTTCTCTTCCCAGCCAGTTAAGGAGAGTTTGTGTCAGAGGCACAGCTTCCTATCGTTCCAGCAGTTTCCCCAAATGCAGCACTCCCTCCACCTGCATAGAAGTGAATGGAAACTCCTTATTGGGATGCCATTAAGATGGAGACTATTTCTGCTTCCGCCCCTGTTAAGCGCAGCCTTTGAGAAGGAAGTCTCTTGAGATGAGCATCCAGCCATAACTGCTTGGTGTGGTCTTGAAGGCGTGTGATGCAACAACTTCCCTGAAGCTAAGCAGGCAGCCCAAAATCCTCTGTATATCCTCTTGAGTTCCCTGGAGGAAAGACAGGGTATAAGGATCAATAAAATGCATACTTTTTTTTTTTTTTTTAAAGATAGTTCAGTCGCTTTCCCTTGTCTAATCCTTTCAGAGGTCTATTGGTGCTGCAATTCTACTGCAGTACTTTACAAATGAATAATTTAGCCACTGTTAATGGGCCAACCCCCCTCCCCAATTCCTTTTAGACTTGACTCCAGAAACATAGGGTGATTTGTAGATGCAGGAAGATGCATGCAAAATGTCTTTATGTTGATATAAAATGCTTGAGTAACATTTGGAAGACATTGAGGGCGTTTGTACCTTTTTGTCTCTGCAGATTTCTGAATCCACTGAGCATGCTCCTCGGTGCTGCTGTGGTGGTCCTGGTGTTCACAGCATTTGTGTGGGCATCGCACAACAAAGACTTCATTCGCAGGTTTAAGAAGCACTATCCAGCTGCCTTCGTGGTCGCTATCATCTTGTTGAGCTACTTCCTGATCTCCTTTTTTGGGGGCGTCATGGTGTTCATGTTCGGAATTACGTTTCCTCTGTTCTGTGAGTGGAAGTCTGCTTATTTTTGAAGCAGCTTTTCCTTTTGCTGTTTTGTTTGTTTTGTTCTGGACATTAAATGCCAACCTTGGTAGGAATTTTTTTTCTCATTAACAATCATGATCAGAAGCCAATACATATGTTTTATTTGTAGAAATATTTCTGTATAGCTTACTGCCTCAGTCTCAAAGCAACATACAGTGGTGCCTCGCAAGACAAAAAGAATCCGTTCCGTGAGTCTCTTCGTCTTGCGGGTTTTTTCGTCTTGCGAAGCAAGCCCATTAGCGGTTTAGCGGATTAGCGCTACAGTATTAGCGGCTTAGCGGATCAGCTGATAAGCGGCTTAGCGATCAGCTGTTAAGCGGCTTAAGGATCAGCTGATAAGCGGCTTAACGATCAGCTGATAAGCGGCTTAGCGATCAGCTGTTAAGCGGCTTAGCCGATCAGCTGATAAGTGGTTTAGCGGCTTGGGAAAAAGGGGGGGGGAACCCCCGCAGGAACTCGCAAGACATTTTCGTCTTGCGAAGCAAGCACATAGGAAATTCGTTTTGCGAAGCACCTCCAAAACGGAAAACCCTTTTGTTTAGCGGGTTTTCCGTCTTGCGAGGCATTCGTCTTGCGGGGCACCACTGTACAGCCGTTTAAGCAACTTCAATATTAAAATTGCCATACAGCATAAAAATACAGCTGGTAGCCCCAGGCAGTATTATTATTATTAGTAGTAGTAGTAGTAGTAGATGATGAAGAAGATGGTGATGGTAATAATAATGATGATGGTGCTGATGATAAAACTTGCTGGAATGAAGCACCAGCCCAAAAATACATTAAATGTATTTTTAATGGGCACTGGAACATCATTAATATCAATGTTTTCCTAAGCTCAGCGGGGAGGTGGTTCCATAATGAAAGTGCCACCACCAAGAAGACCCTCCCTCTGGTTGCTGCCAACCAAGACAGCCTTTCTCAGCTGATCATAGAGATCACACAGGGCAGTAATATAATAAGAGACACTGGTTTTTATTTGCCATTGTACTATGATCAGAAGCTTTCCAGAGAGTCATTATGGCTGGGCAGTATCGGCAGATAGAATGCGCTCTTGGAGCTGATGGTGATAGAACATGCATCTCATGTAGGTATGAAGCGGACAATATCTGTTAGGTATTAATGTGCTTTTTTGCTCTCCCCCCCCCCCCCCAGTGATGTTTGTCCATGCTTCCCTGAGGCTTCGGAACATCAAGAACAAAATGGAGAACAAGATGGAAAGCATAGGCTTGAAGAAGACTCCCATGGGCATTGTGCTGGACCTTCTTGAACAGCAAGAAGAAGGCATCACCAAACTGGCTGACTACCTGGCTAAAGCAAAGGAGTAAAAAAAACACGCATGCAGTTTATGGCTCTTTGGGCACTTGGTTGGGCTTGACCAGCATCGCTTTTCAGTCTGGGTGTGTGACAATACGCAGACTGTGAAGATGAAGTGTGGCAAAATAAACAACCCCAGTTATTCAAGGACATCCTGACCAGCATGAGGAGGTGATAGTAACCCTTCTGTGACATGCTAAGAGATCTGGCACACAAATCCAATTGGTGGGTCATAGCACTATTTTGTGGGGGGAGGGAGGGAGGGGAGTGTGGGAATTGAAGGAATGCCTTCTCTAAAACTATTTATGTTAGTTTTTTTCAAAGTATTCAAAGTGCACTAAATGCAAGCAGCCCCTTTCACTCGCCTGTCTGTCCAAGGAGATAAATCCAAAATTAGTATGAATGAGGTCTTAAAAGTCCATTTTACAGTGTTTTGCAGTGCATCTTAATGTGCCTCTTGAGTGGTCTGTGTTTCCAAATGGAGAAGTGGAGAACTCAAATGTAGTCACATAATATGCACAGCTTGTTAGGACAAATCATTACCTTTCTCTATTTACAAATGGAGACCTTCGTTCTGCATGAGAATTGCAAGTCTGCATAGATAACATCTAGCAAACAAACATTCCTTCAGTGAACCTATGCAGAATTAAAATATTTGGGGGGCAGGGAGTTGCATAAGAATATGAACATGATTTTCTGTGCATGCCACATCCAACATGCTTTTATATAATAGAATTATGTAGTTATTTAACTCGGCCAGGCTTGATCTGCTATTAAATAGAAGTATGAGTCCTTTAAGAGTCTTTAGTCAACACTTATAGATATATTTTATAGAACAGATGAACTGGAAAATGGACTCTTAATTTTTGCTGATAATGTATTGTACTGGAACGAAGGGTGGGACTGTCCTGGTTTTATTTCCTATAAGGGGAAAAAACCAGTTCATGCAACCTTTTACAACATATTTAAAGCACCTTGAATTTTTGCTTGAAAGATGGTTGAAAACTTTATTCTAGTCCAACATTGCATATCACACACCTGCATTTTCTTTCTCCTGTGTATTTATGTGCTGTGATCAGACTTGTTTAATTATGCAACAGATGTCCACAGAATAATATCTCTCTCTCATGTGATTCTTAGGATTGGTGTTAGCATTGTAGTCCTCTGCCCACTCTTCCTTTTTAAAATGGAGAGATGTAATGCCTCATTCCATACCTTAATTGTAAAATGATTAGTATTTTGTTGGAAATATGGCTCTATCTATGTATTCTAGGATTTAAGAGAAGTAAACTGGTTTTGATCTGTATGTTGTCTCATTTTAACTGTGCTGAGTGATTCTTTTCAGTGTTTGATTTAGCCAATGGCTCCATCGTTGCCATTTTGAATCAAAAATAGAAGAAATAGTACACAGATTCTAATATACTGATGCTTTCTCAGTGCAAATTATTTTAAAGGAAGTGATCACAAGTGCAAAGCAGACACATTCTTGATTCTGTTTTTGACCTGGGCAAGTGTGATGTGTCTGAAATATGTGGTTGAGAGACAAAACTCCCCCTTTTGAAGTTGTTCTATTGCCATTTCATGACCGGCGATGCAACATTTTCTGTGGATCTTGCTGTTGGATTGCTGTTCCCTGTGAACACTGCTGAGATGTGCCTGGCCATGGAATTGTTAACATGCACAGAGTTCCGAAGAAGAATGTCTACTCAAAGAAACAGTGTTTGGATGTGCTTTAATGCATGCACAATTGATCTCTGGTAACAGAGGCAGGAATTTACAGGCTAGGCGTTGCAAATCCCTTTGTAAATTAATGCACTTTGTAGACTTTTACCATAGTCTTGTCATGGTTGTATAAAAAGATAAGTTTCCTTCTCAAACCCTCTCAATATTTTTCATGTAAAACATTCATTTTTGTTTTGTTTTGAATTGAGAGTCTTTAATTCCTTTGTGCTTTATCAATAGAAGCGTCTCTTTTCACTAGTGTCGTTGCTGCCTTTTAACCTTGGGGAGATACGATGTATCTCCTTGGGGGGCCATAGGATGCTGTGAACCTACCCCTCTGTAGTTCGAGAGAAAGGACGGTCTGTGGGAAACAGGCCTCCCTGATGTAGTGATGGAGGAATGATCCACTGACTGTGCTCAGAGGACAGTAGAGCCTGAAACAGGGGAGGCCTAGGTGTGAAGGTCTGTTGTTCACCTGACATTCGCCCAAAGAAGAGCACAATAAAATAGCCTGGGAACTAAGACATTTTCTCCCCCATTAGGTTTAGGAAGGCTGTAGATCATCTCATGGTGAAATGTATGGTATGTGTTATTTTAAAGTTGCATCTATAAGTCACTAAAGGACTGCAGTAATTAGTAGTACCTGGCGCTTCAAGAATTTGCTGACTTACCTGCTCTCTCTCTCTCTCTCTCTCTCCCCACCCTTTCTTTCCTCCAGAGAACTGTCTTCACTATTTGCTTTTCAGGGTGCAGTGACAAAGAGGTGAGATAGGCAAACATATAAGGAGCTAGTTTATCCTTCTGACCTCCCAGTGAAACCCGTGTTGAGTTTGTTCCTCAGCATGAAACTTGAAGTCCCTTTGCCTAAATTTACAAAGAGATACCATGTTTAGAAACTCCTTATGGTGCTGGCTGTATCGGCTGTCAGCATTGACCGCAGCTGTGCATAGTTGTTTGCTCTCCACGCGCCCCCACCCCCCACTGCCATGTACTGCTCTAGCTGATGAGCTGTGCCATTACCTGTGATCCCCACTTAAGTCTGAATTCAGCCAGACTACTAGTTAGGAAAAAGTCCAGTCCCACTCTTGTCTATCCTCCAGTTATTCATTCTGAGCAAGATAAAAGTGATCTGATAGATGTACTGACTGGATCTGAGTAACTCTGAATTAGGGTCTACTACACTGTAAAAACTTTGAACATTGAAATGCCATACAAGTGAGCAATAACTACAAGAGTAGAGAGAGACAATGCTCAACTCCAAATCCCTATCTAAACTTTCATCTATGCAGGAGCTTCTGTATGTTGCAACCCTTGAAGTTTGCTGATTCCATCATCTTTGTTCTGCCTCAGGTATATTTTTACTGAGCAGCCACTGGCTGTGCTGCCACATTATTTACCTTCCTGCAGTGTTGCTTGATGGCAAAACTGAAAAACTTGGAAGCTGCAGGAGACAATTCTTGGGACAAAAGGGTTGCTTAAAATCTCTAGAAAACAATTTTAAAATTCAAATTGTGTGTATGATCTGTACCTTCAATGGAGCTTACTATGGAGGTATAGGATTGCAACCTAAGTCTACACCACCCAGCCTCTCATCACATTGCTTTTCTCTACTTCCCTACCACATGGGCAGCAACTGAGACAACCACAGGTCTGCCTTCTCTGGGTTGTATTCAGCTAAGTCCTACTTGGAGTAGAGCCATCAAAATTAATGAACCAAAGTTTGCCATGCCCATTAACTTCACTGGGTTTGTGCTAGCATTGAATTCCATCTTCTGAAATTTACGTCCTGACCCTGATCGAAGGCTGTGCTCATCGACAATGGGGCTTGTGAAACTTATTTCTTGATTGATTTTACTTAGCCAAGCAGCATTGAGCATTTCAAAGCCTGTGTGCGCTTAGTGAGTTTGATTGTGATTAACAGGGCGATGAACAGCTTTCAAGATATGTTCATGTACAGAGATGGGGATCCTGTGGCCCTCTGGATATTGGGTTACAATTCCCATCCCTGATGATGGGCCATGGCGCCTAGGGATGATGGAAGTCCAACATCTGGAGGGCTGCAGGTTCCTCAGTGTTGCTACAGTCAGTGGAAAGTACACCACAAAGGCTGTGAGGATAGGTTGTCTTAGTTGTTATCCTAGGAGGCAGCTGCTGCATTGATCTGTAAGTGGTGTAGCTCCACAAATGAACAGTGATAAAAAGCGATCTATCTAAGGCAGCATAAATCTGCTAGGTGGTGGCTTGGTATGTCTCAGTGTAGTAGAACAGTTGCCTGGCAGGATTCCTAATTTAAACTGGCATAAGTGTGACATAAATTCAAGTTTGTGCAAGCCTGAAGCATAAGCCTCTTTTGAATTTAAGGGCCTGTACTCCTTTGCCGTAAGTAAAATTCAAGTTTGCATGTTAAAGCAGCGTCCACCTTTCACAGCAGCCTATTGCAGGTGCCTGTTTTACTCATTCCAGAGCTGTATTGCAAGTGTCTCCCGAGCAGGAAGGAGAAATACGTTGGCCTCAACTTATAAGTAGGTTGCCATCAGCAAAGTTGTTGTGTGCCTCAGTCTTAAGGTATAGCTGCATGCATGATAGTTACATAAGGGAAATGTGTTGGGGGGGGTGCTTGCGTGTCTCTTGGGGGAGAACAATGTCATTACAGCTTTTGCAATGGAAGTGCTGTAGTGGTGAATAAATGAGAGGCATAAACTTGTATAAAGCTGAGAGGCATATGTAAATGAGAGGCATAAAGCTGGTTGCCACAAGTTAATGAGAAAGTGGATGAATTTACACCATGCACACACCGCAACATATTCATTGCTTCTGGAATCCTGCAGTACTAAAAGCAAAAGATCACAAATGAAATGGACATGTACCTGTTTTTAAAATATTTCCCCCCACACACAATATGGGAGAGACTTCATCTTGCATACATTGCAGCGCTGTATTTCACTCTTCAAAAATCAAAAGAGCTGGCCAATTAAGTCATTGGCCAGGCCAGCTTTTAGATACTGCTAAATAATTGGCCAAGGGTGGATTATCACCTTTGTCTCTAGCGGCTAATCTCCAATCTTCTGCAAGGACCAGGCCTAGTTTTCTCCTCCAGCTTGTAATGAACTTGCAGTTCTGAGCTGGGCAGTGCTCCAAGCACCTGGAGTCACTCATCTAGCAAAGGACTCTGCTCTGCCCCAGCTCCTCCAGTCCATTAACAAGCTGCCCCAGCGGATATCTGAAACTGCAGTCCCATGGCTGTGCTATACAGAGGGTGGCCTTGACAGTGGGGAAGGAAAGAGACCATCAGGGATGCAGCAAGGACAGGGTGGAGCTGCCAGGGGTGGAAGGAGAGCTACTCTTCTCCAAGAGCCCGAGATGCCATGTTTTTAGACAGTGATGAAGAAGAATAAATGAAATCGCAGAAAGTGCCCCACTGTAACTTGAAGCTGTCAAGAAAGAATGCAAGCCTGTCAGCACAGCAGCCTAGGAAGTGGTGTCAATGTTCTCCAAACCAGTTTCAGCTGTCTTCCCCGATTTGCCTTTGGGTACAGATGTAGGCCGCTCACACTTTACCTAAATGGATAGCCCTGATAAGACATAAAGTTCACAAAGACAAGCTTTACTGAGAGCTGAAGGGTGGTAGGGTGAGGTATCTGCAAAAGCCAATCCTCCACAGCCCTCATCTGACATGCTGCTGCTCCTCATTGTCATTTGCTTGCTCACCTTGCAAATAATAATAATTTTTTAAAATAATAATAATGTATTATTTATACCCCGCCCATCTGGCTGGGTTTCTCCAGCCATTCTGAGCGGCTTCCAACAGAATATAATACAATAACCTATTAAACTTTAAAAGCTTCCCTAAACAGGGCTGCCTTCAGATGTCTTCTAAAAGTCTGGTAGTTGTTTTTCTCTTTGACATCTGGTGGGAGGGCGTTCCACAGGGCAGGTGCCACTATTGAGAAGGCCCTCTGCCCAATTCCCTGTAGCTTTGCTTCTCGCAGTGAGGGAACTGCCAGAAGGCCCTTGGCGCCAGTGGCGTAGCGTGGGTTGTCAGCACCCGGGGCAAGGCAAGTAATTTGCGCCCCCTAACCCTGAGTGAGCCAGGTAGGGGCAGAGAGCTGTGAGCACGTGCCCCCCAGATGTTGCGCCAGGTGCGGCCGCCCCCCCCCGCACCCCCTACGCTACACCACTGCTTGGAGCTGGACCTCAGTGTCCGGGCAGAATGATGGGGGTGGAGACGCTCCTTCAGGTATACTGGACCGAGGCTGTTTAGGGCTTTAAAGGTCAGCACCAACACTTTGAATTGTGCTCGGAAACGTACTGGGAGCCAGTGTAGGTCTTTCAAGACCGGTGTTATAGGGTCTCGGCAGCCGCTCCCAGTTACCAGTCTAGCTGCCGCAGCAATGTAAAGAAGGAGGAGCTGTAGCTTTGGGCAGCCATTGCTACTCCACAGCTTTCAGTCTAGATGGATGTGATAGTAAAAATTGGAAGGGGAACAGCTGGTAGCTGCAAGGAGAGCCCACTGGGGGTGTCCTGCCAGCGGTTTCCTAAAACCTTGGGAAATCATTGCTCATTGAGTCTTCACAGCCACCACCTCTATATCTTGGCTTTTGCGGCTGATGTACAGCAACCGGTGCTTTTTTTCTTTAAAAAATGTTTAGTGGTACTCTCACTTTGACTCAAGAAAATCGCCAGGAAAGGAAATGAAGCTGCCATCGGAGGTGGTAACAACGAAACTGACCAATCACCATGCTTCATACTCCTACTTCATACATTAAACGCTTGCTTCCATCTAAAACACCGTGACAGGAAATGAGGCCGCCGTCAGGGGTTGCAACGGAACTGACAATTCACCCTGCTATTCAATGGAACGGACGATTCACCGTGCTAGAGAAGAAACTAACATTTTTAATTTGTTTAGTTTCTTCTCCCGTTAGATTCACAAAATGTTTAGGCGTATTTGTACCCCCAGAAAAAAAAAGTACTGACAGCAACCATCCCTGAAAGTAGATGTTCATTTCTGTTGCAGTATCCTTCATCCAATAAAGATGAAAGTAGCTGTGGTTTGCCAAACACCCAACACACACCTGTGCTGAAGCTGGCAGACAGAGATGCCCCACAAGGATGGGTGAATGTAGGGGAGAAGAAAAACTCACAAAAGGACACCATATGCTTCTGTAAAGTTTAAAAGCAGAAGGCAACATGATTGCGACAGGGATTTCCTGAAGAAATCTATAAAAGTTATAACATAGGGGATAATATCCCTCTGCTCTCCGCCCCTACCCTCTGAAATTAAAGCCCAGCAAGCTGACGGAGACTATAGGGTGGCACTAGCCCATTACAAACGCGTACGTGTGAATTATTAACCATTTATACTGTTTCCATTCTATCCTTTTCAATCATCACTTCAACAGGTGGCATGCTTTAAGCATTGTTCCCATGTCTTCCATTTGAAGGAAACAGGCCCTGGAACAATATGAAGCAACACTTGCACAGTCTGTGTGTTTGGTTTGTTCTTTTTCTTTCCTTCTCCAAGTTGTTTCCTTCAGCTGAATGGGGAGTAACTACTCCAGCTCTTTGGGAAGTGGCACCTGTGCAGCAAAAATAAGAAATGTAAATGTAGGGTAGTGGGGGAGGCGGAAGATATATCCTCATCACAATCTTCTTCCAAATGAAACAAAATGGTAACTGGGTTCAATTCCCCATCCATGGTATAAACAAAATAACTCTTCAATATATACCAGACACATTGTGACAATTCAATCCACTACAAGCAATAGATCAGGCATCCCCAACCTTCGGCCCTCCAGATGTTTTGGACTACAATTCCCATCATCCCTGACCACTGGTCCTGTTAGCTAGGGATCATGGGAGTTGTAGGCCAAAACATCTGGAGGGCCGCAGGTTGGGGATGCCTGCAATAGATGATGTTCTCTTTACAACCAAACCCTAAACGCATACTTTAGGCAATCCATCCATTTCAACAGAACTTACTTTCCACGTAAATTTATTACCAGGCTCAGCATAAGTTGTCCACCACAAGTACATAGAGAGGGGGGTTTTAATTTTAGAAATGTCCCAGGTTTATAACTGTGCTTTTATTAAAGATTTGTGTTACTATTTTTTTGCAATATGCTTGGTAAAAAGGCATTCTACTGAGCTGCAGGTGTGACAAACAGCTGAACTGACAAGCTTAGGCCATCCAGGTGATGGATGGGATGAGTATGCTGGCTGTTGATTGTTCTCTAACGAGCATTGCAAGGTGCTTGTGGCTGGAAGACACTAAGTGCCAGGTGTGTGTCTCATCTGTTTATGCACACACACAACATCAGCCTGTTCCTTCCCTTCACTGAGGTGCACAGAGGGTCACAAACTGTATCTGGAATTTCTTCTATAAGGCAATTGCAGGCTGTCCTGACTTACGGTGTTATATGTTTCTAAACCCATTTCCACTGATTTTCCATTGTGGGAATATATGGATTGTGGGAAGTAGAAGTGCTGGAACAGAAGGTGTGAATTGACCACCACCCCTTTCACCAGCAATAAAAGCCCCTCATTTAACTGTCCTCAAATTGACAAAATGGACATGTCAAGGAATGTTCTCCTATGTTGTTTTATGTGACTGAAGCGTTCTAGAAGTTTTACAGTTTGGAAGGCTACAATTAAACCACTAGACCAATATATATATATGAGAAATAATGATGGGCATTAAATAAAATAAAATGCTCTAGCCCTGTCCAGGCTGTTTGTCTATAACAGCTATTTAGTTCAAGTTAAAACTAAGAATGCTACAACAGATTGAAAACAGAAAGCATTAAAACTGGCTCTGATTTTAGAATGCCATGTTTCTAGACAGGAAGCTAGCCCAGATGTCTTAACGTAATGAAGGGAACCGCCAGGAGGTGTAATGTATATTGCGTGACTTTCAAGCTTGGAAAATTATTTCTGAACTACCGAGGAAGACATAATTAAACGTAACTGCTATGGGTGACCTCAGTGATTAACAGGTGCAGGACACGGGACCTGATCCAAGTGAAAACATCCAAGGCATGCAAAACACCCTAAGGATAGAGATCTAATGTGGGTGAGCTTTTCCAGCTGTGTAATTGAGAGGGGGGATTTGTTGGAAAATGCACCCTGCATCTCCACATCTTGCAATGCTCTTGGTGGCTGACACTGGAGACGCCCCACCCGGGGTCAGAAGGATTTCAGACAAATGCTCCTCCTCAAGCAATATGACTAGAGAAGGAAAAATAAGAAGTACTGAATGGTAAATCTGGGCACTTTTTAGCCAATTCACTGTGTGTGAACACATATACATCACTCGCATATATTGGTGCCACAGTGTGGAGAATGTAAGATTTCATGCAGAGACCCACTGAATACACTTTATCATTAATATGATGTGATTGCCCTTTTGGGAACAGAATCAGAATAAACAAACTGTAGCAGAAGGCCCAGTGGTTGCCACTATTGGGCACCTTCAGGTAGGAGATCACAGCCAATTTTCAGACCCTCTCTAGGACTTGCGCCTCCTCCTCATTATTGCTTTCTGTTCACATGTTCCATTAGTAATGTCAGCAGTGATGGAAGCAAGGTGAAGGAGAAGGAACCCAGCTTCCCTTGAGGGCCAACTCAAGGAGGAGGCTCACAAAGACATTTCATCCCAGCCCCCCGAGGGGGTGGGACCCCAAAGCCAGCACTGGGTAGTTTCCAATACAGTGGTACCTCGGGTTACATACGCTTCAGGTTACAGGCGCTTCAGGTTACAGACTCCGTTAACCCAGAAATAGTACTTCAGGTTAAGAACTTTGCTTCAGGATGAGAACAGAAATCGTGCTCTGGCGGCGTGGCGACAGCAGGAGGCCCCATTACCTTCCCATTAGAAGTGGTGCTTCAGGTTAACAACAGTTTCAGGTTAAGAACGGACCTCCAGAACGAATTAAGTACGTAACCAGAAGTACCACTGTACAGACTTAAATGCTGCAATTATAATGGATCTAAAAATGCTGATAACAACAGCATTGAAAGGCGCATGGAGTGTTAATGCCATCCACCTGACAGCTGCAAAGTATGGCTGCACTCAGAGTAATATGGCCATATTAGCAACACCACCCCCACCCCCACTGACATCTGCATGTTGAGCCTGAGAATATGTTGGAAGCCGCTCAGAGTGGCTGGGGCGACCCAGTCAGATGGGTGGCATATAAATAATAAGTTGTTGTTGTCATTTGTAGTCTGATTGGCAGCCTCTCTCTTTTAGCTGAAATTGCCAGAGACTGAACCCGGCGCAAAACATGGGTTCCTCCATGATGCAAGGGATCCTTCCAAAATTACTTTCGATAGCTACTATTAAAATTCTCTCTCTTCTGAAAACAGTAAATGTTCCACATGCATCTTAGTTTGGAATTTTTTAAAAAATGTGGGTTTTTAAAACAATACAAAATACAAAGATTCCATCATTAGTATTTACATAATATTAATGTGAGTGCACAAATGAAGTTTGCATGCTTTGGATCCTAAGTCAGGAATAGAAGAGAGGTCTGCCCAGTTGCAGGCCATTCCCCCTTTCCCCTTCCCTCCAGCCTTCATGAGATATCTGCGGCGGAAATAAGGGGACAGAAAACTTTCCTTCCACAGCCATCACCAGTGGTGGTGGGGGAGGTCACCTCAATGGGGATACACCACAGGGAATTCCCCTTTGGCGTCCCTCCTTCTGGGGAGAAACCTCCTTCTTCTTGCTTATTAGGATGCAAGGACTGCACCCCCATAAGAATGGCTGATGAATGGTAAAAAGACTGTGAGTGAGAGGCAGTACGTAAAGTGAAGATCTCTCAGCGTGAGAGACCGGATAAGAAAAGGGAAGTTAACCAGTGAAAGGTGGGAAGCTTTGTAATTTTCTCTGGTGAATGGGGAATTAAGAGTTACGTTTGTTCAGAGAGATATTTGCATTTCTTACACATTTTCTGAAGGTTTAGATATCCTCAGGGCTGGTGCTATTATTAGGCTGCCTAGGGTACAGACCTCAGAGGGGCACAGTACTGACCTTTCAGGGACAGTTTTACACAGATTAATTTTGTTACATCTTATAAATTTCTGATAGTATTTTACTTCTATATTTTGAAGAATTTCATCATTTTTGAGGTAATTCATACATTAGAATTTTTTTTAAGTATATATGAAATAGACTGCAGAGTTGATTGGAGGTTATGTTACATAAAAAGTGAAAATACACTTCATTTTAAATCTTAAAAGTCACATCTTAAACTTGGCAACTTTATCAACTGAACATGCCCAGGCATCAGATACACTTCACCTGAAGGAATAGGTGACAAAATTTGTAAGGGAAAAGGCACGCAAAGTAATATTTTGATGTGCCTGAAATAGAGACTTTTCAGAGGCTTTAATTTTAATATCACAGGTTTGTTCAAAATTATTTGTGTGCTAAAACATTTTCTTTTGTACTTGAGAAAGACAATAAAAGATCGTTGTATTACTTATTCCTGCAATTTACAAATTTAGCAGTTTCAAGTTTTGTGTATTTCATTTTTTCTACAAGACATCTGGGGTGTGTGTGTGCAAGTACTTAGTCTTGCTTAGGGTGCAAAATAGCGTGACACCGGCACTGGATATCCTGCCGCTGATTTCACCCTCCCTTATTTTTTTAGGAGGCTGTTGTTATTAGATGTGCATTATGTTTATAGTTGCACCTGAGATAAGCAGGTTATATGAGCTACTGGATTGTACAGGGTTTATAAGAGCGTGTATAATTTGGCACTGTTATTATATCATATTTATTACTATGTATTGCTTATTATTCTGAACTGTATCTACATAACCATTCTAATGTTTTGTATTGTCTGGCTATTATGGGATATATTGACATACATTGTTTATTACGTTCTATGTTGTAAACTACCCTGTGGTTTATTTTGCTTTTTGTTTTCGTTTTGCAAAATGTGGTACAGTATATAAATGTTAAAAGTAAATAATAATAAATAACTGCTAATGTTAGCTATATATACAAATAGCTATATATACAAATTGCCGGTACATGACACCCAATTTAAATTAGGATAAGAGTAGGAGATAGGGGGACTACGATGCTATGGTTCCATATGCAGATCATTCCCTGCCTGCAATCTGCATATGGAAAATATCCATATTAAAGTGAATCAAAAGTTTTCCTCCAGTGCAAATTGTGGCTCTGGATTGGGACTACAGTGGAGGTAAAGGATTTGTTCCTTACCCTCTCCCTTGGTAGGGTGATGAACTGGATCAAGGGTGGTGGGTTGGGATACACTGACACTTTGTCTAAATTGAAAATGCTTGCATTTAAAGCAGGTACCCCCAAACTCAGCCCTCCAGATGTTTTGGGACTAGAACTCCCATCATCCTTGACCACTGGTCCTGTTAGCTAGGGATGATGGGAGTTGTAGTCCCAAAACATCTGGAGGGCCGAATTTGGGGGTGCCTGATTTAAAGGCTCAGAAACACAGCTTTTGCAATGTGCAATTTCACCCTTAGGATTCAGGCTATTGTCTCCACAACACACAGCTGTTGTCATCCCCAAATGACTCGATTTTGAATGAAATATCTTAAGATATTGCAGTATTTTCCTACTTCCTTTTTCACCCCATTGCACTCACCGGTTTCAGATAAGCTACATTGCTCTGGCGAATATCATTAAGTAGCTGATCTCTAGGAGTGACTTCCACCAGAGGAGGTGGCCGTCTTCTTGGAATAGGCTTGAGTGTCTTGATCACATCTTTGAGGTTGGTTTTTTCAGCAGGCTCCACATATTCTTTTATGGTGGGTTTCCGCTGGGTTCTCTTGAGTTTCACTATTTTGAAGTCGCCGCTGCTTACCTTTTCAGGTTCTGGTTTTCTTGCAGGTTCGTTTTTCCTGCCCGCAGATGGAGCTTTGGGGACTGGTGGCATTGGAGGTTGCATCGAAGGAGGCATCACTGAAGCAGGCACTGGTCCCCCTAGCAATTCCCACATGCCAGGAGGCAATCCGAGTCCGTTCTCTAACATGGCTATTAGCTCTTTCTGCTGTTTTCGTTGCTGCTGCTTTTGCTCCTCTATCCTTTTCTGCCTCTGTTTATCGAGGTTTCTGCTGAGCAGATTGGTAACCACCATTCTGGGACCTGGAAGTTCAAAGTGATACCCTATCTTGAGCAGCGTAGGGTTGGCTTTCAGTAACCTAGCGATCTCCGTTTCTGCTTGATGGCCCAACATGCTTCTCTGGTTGTGAAAGCGTAGCTCAGTCAGCTTCTCATTGTACTGCAGACACCTCATAATTGCAACAATTCCTTTACCCGAGATGAAATTTGAATCAATATTCAGTGTAGTAATGCTCCTGTTTTCACGCAGCATGTTGGCCAAGGCAAAAGCCACATTATCATCTGCCCCCACATTGGCTAAACTGAATGTTTTGATGTGCTTATTCTTTTTCATAGCATTGACAAAGTCCACCAGCATTTCCTTGGGGATGTTCTCAATGTTGTTCAAGTTGAGTTCTGTCATGCTTGGGTCATTCTTCTGGACCTTTCTCAGGCTCTCATCTAAATTGGTTTGATTTCCTGAAGGCCTGGCACTTAACTTAATAAAATTAGTATCTACAGCTAATTTTTTGGGAATATTTAATTTTGATGCTTTCTTTTCATTATTGTCTTGTTTTTCATCTGATCCCTCTGTTTCATGTTCATTTCTGCTGTCCTCTTCACCATATGGTTTCTTTGTTCCCAGTTCTTCCTTATCTTTCTCTTCGTCCTCCTCCTCCTGTTCTTCCTCTCCTTCCTCCTCCTCCTCCTCCTCTTCATCCTCCTCCTCCTCCTCCTCCTCTTCTTCCTCCTCTTCCTCGTCTTCTTCCTCCTCTTCCTCCTCTTCACCTTCCTCTTCCTCTTCTTCATTCTCTTTATAGTCTCTTACGTCTCCATTTGTTTTCCCTGCATTATTTTTCACCATCTGCTTCTCATTACTAATATCTGCAGAATTTTCTTCGGACTTCTCCACAGTGTGTCTCTGCAGAAAACAGAATGCTAAGAGCTGAAATAATTTAAAATGGTTTTGCCTCATCTACTAAATAAAACCAACAAAGTTGATGTGACATTTGAATTTGTTTCCCCACTGTGCAGATGAGTTACTTTAAAAGAAAATACACAGTTCTAATTTCCAGTATGTACTATGCTGGAATTTATTCTTTACTTTTCACAGTCCAAATGCTCTGATGTCAATATTATTTGAGTTTCTCTGCTACATTGTTGTTGTTGTTGTTTAGTCGTTTAGTCATGTCCGACTCTTCGTGACCCCCTGGACCAGAGCACGCCAGGCCCTCCTGTCTTCCACTGCCTCCCGCAGTTTGGTCAGTAATGTCTGCTACATTACTATTATACAATAACCTTTCATATGTCAAAATCTGGAAATAACTACTTCATTATTTTATAATGGGTTTCAAAATAATATACATTATTGGACTCATTCTGCAGTCAGGCTTGTTGTTCCATTTCTCCACAGATCCCTCTGGATGTCAAATGTATTGGTCTTCTGGCTAAAACATCCATTTCCCTCCACTGATTGCCCTGTTTTCCTATCCACAAAATAACTATTGTTTTAGAATTATTGTAAGCATAGCATTTCTTTTTCCATCACCACATACAGGTGGACATTAAACAAGCCCCACAGGACATTGTAAAAGAACATACATGTGGGGTTTTCAGTAGGGTCTGAGTAGCGTTTCCACCCCCGTTCAGCCCAGACACTGAGGTCCAGTTCCGAGGGCCTTACGGCAGTTCCCTCATTGCAAGAAGTGAGGTTACAAGGAACCAGGCAGAGGGCCTTCTCTTTAGTGGCACCTGCCCTGTGGAATGCCCTCCCATCATATGTCAGGGAGAGAAGTAACTATGCAAGCTATAGAAGACATCTGAAGGCAGCCCTGCATAGGGAAGTTTTTAATGTTTAATTATGTTTTTGTATATGCTGGAAGCTGCTCAGAGTGGCTGAACCAACCCAGTCAGATGGGTGGGGTACATATACTAAAATTTATATTGTTTTAAATTTAGTGTGTATTTAATATTCTATTGGGAGCCACCCAGAATGGCTGTGGAAACCCAGCCAGATGGGGGTATAAATAATAAATTATTATATTATAAATTAGTAGTAGTAGTAGTAGTAGTGACTGGCAGGGCAGAATGAGGTAGGGAAGCACTGCTCACCTGGCTTTGCAATATGTTTAAAATGTTTAAAAGGTTGAGAGCAATCATAGTACACATTCTTTGGTCTGAAAGACAATAAAGCTGAGATATGCTCAATGTTTAGATTTCCACTCTATATTTTTCTGGTAATTCTAAGATATCGGAATCCATAGAATTTCCAACTCGGTGCCCCCTTTTCCCCTGGACCTGCTTAGCTTAGGTAGTGGTTAAAGATACTGGTAAAGGTAAAGGGACCCTTGACCATTAGGTCCAGTCGTGACCAACTCTGGGGTTGTGGCGCTCATCTTGCTTTACTGGCGGAGGGAGCCGGGGTACAGCTTCTGGGTCATTTGGCCAGCATGACTAAGCCGCTTCTGGTGAACCAGAGCAGCGCACGGAAACGCCATTTTCCTTCCCACCGGAGCGGTACCTATTTATCTACTTGTACTTTGACGTGCTTTCGAACTGCTAGGTTGGCAGGAGCAGGGACTGAACAACGGGAGCTCACCCCGTTGCAGGGATTCGAACTGCTGACCTTCTGATCGGCAAGTCCTAGGTTCTGTGGTTTAACCCACAGTGTTAGTTTAGTTTAATTTCCAGCCATCCTAAAGTAATTTACAAAGCCTGCTAGAGTAAATTTGCCTGGCACCAGAAAGATGACAAAGTCAGCACCAAGCAAGCTTGGCTGGGGAGTCAGCACCAAGCAAGCATCTCTCTTGTGGGCCTCACACTATATACCAGATTATGCTAAAATCTTTTTTAGTATAAATCTTTTTAATTAGCATGCTCTGCTGTTATCACTTCCTCTGGCTTTTCCTGAATAATTTTAGAGCAATACTAAGCACAATACAGGATGTGGGTGGCACTGTGGTCTAAACCACAGAGCCTAGGGCTTGCCAATCAGAAGGTCGGCGGTTTGAATCCCTGCTACGGGGTGAGCTCCTGTTGCTCGGTCCCTGCTCCTGCCAACCTAGCAGTTCGAAAGCACATCAAAGTGCAAGTAGATAAATAGTTACCACTCTGGCGGAAAGGTAAACGGCTTTTCTGTGCGCTGATCTGGTTCACCAGAAGCGGCTTAGTCATGCTGGCCACATGACCCGGAAGCTGTACGCCAGCTCCCTTGGCCAATAAAGTGAGATGAGCGGCGCAACCCCAGAGTCGGTCACGACTGGACCTAATGGTCAGGGGGCCCTTTACCTTTAAGCACAATACAGTCTTTCTACTAGTCCTGGTGTAATTGCAGCAGTAACTGTAAGAGTCAGTCAGTAAAATATTTAAGCAATGTCTCAGTTTCAGCCAGGCAGGGTTATGGAACCCTAATTTCAATTCTCGCTCTTTTTCTTTGTTGTCTCATATCCTGTTAGATCTACCGTTTCTAATGGAGCAGGAGCAATAAAGTGTGAGAGAGGTCTCCTACCCCACTCCTCTGTCTGTGCCTTTTGTTCTATTTCTCTGTTCTCTGCTCTCCTCTGTTGACTAAGTCACTTCTCTCTCTTCCACTATTTCCCCTAAACCACTACATATTCATTTTGCCCAAACCTCCACTGACAACTGACCATTTCTAACTGATATACGCTGCTCACTTGTCAGTGCCTGGTATCTGACTTCATCTTCATCCTGTCCAGGTGAGACTCCTGAGCACTTCTATGCAGGAATAGTCTTGTGAAAAGTCAGTACAAAACCTTCTCCTAAGGCAAGGCATTTCTAAACCTTGTAATGGAAAAGCGAAGCAAAATCAAGCACACAATTGTTCCTGGCTTATTACATGTGATCCTGAGGACATTCCCCTCAGTGTTTCCCAAGCAAGGAAACATGTTTCCTCAGCTCTAGGACTGAAATTCTGAGTTATTGTGAAAACATGATTCCTACTCCCTGCTCCTGCAATTCTTGCATTTGTATGGTTTCCTCCCCTCACTTTTATTGTTTCTCTTTTCCTAAACCGCTTTGAGGTTTTGGGGTTGGTTTTTTTGCAGTCAAGCAGTGTATAAATTTTACAAAATACGTAAAATAAAATAGTGGTGTTTTTGTTTTTTTGTTTTTTAAAAAAGCTTAAAAGCCCCATATCTTTGCCTCTTTAGTATCTGAGAAGAATATGAGCCTGCTACTCCGTTTCTGCTTCCCTCATAGCTTGAATTGCTTTTGCTTACACAGATAAATTTTTAAAATCCTGCTTTTAATTAGTGTGTTCTCTGTACTCCGATATTTCATTTTTGCATCTTTTGTTGTGAGCTGCGTTTAATTATAATTAATAATTAATTAGTGTGTTCTCTGTACTCCGATATTTCATTTTTGCATCTTTTGTTGTGAGCTGCGTTTAATTATAAGAGAAGCAGGACACAAATAGCTTTAATCCATCAATCAATTCTTCCAAGGCTGAATATTATCTATTTGAACCGTTTGACTTTTGTTGCATTCAAGAAGGAATCTCCCCTCTCCCATGGAAGTCAGGGAGAATCTTCCAGCCAAAAGACCTCACCATTTCATCTCTGGGAGGCTGTGTGTATTCATCAGTTTCCAGCACCTGTCTAAGGTACAGGGCTCTGTTCCTGCACAGCATACCTGCATCACACAGAAGTAAGGAAAGCAAAGGCACAGCAGAATGTCTTGCTCTTCCTGTGTTAGAACTCCATTTTTATTCTCAGACTTCACACCTGATCATGTGAGCTTCTGCACTGATCCAGTAATTCATTGGGCTTAGGTCATATGACAATAATTAAAACTGATTCAAAAACCACATACCGGCTAAAATAGTTAGGAAGCACCTTCCTTTATACAAGCTCGCTTTCCCTTTAAGATCCCAGGCAGCGGCATAGTCCAAGGGCTGACTCTGAGACAGGTACATTTGGCTAGGATGTGGAAAAAGACCTTTTAGGTGGGAGCTCTTCGCTATGGAACTTCCTTCCCAAGAAGGTCTACTCTGTCTGCATTTATAAAAGCCAGCAAAATGCCCCCCCCCAAAGCCTTGTAGCACAATTCAATTAATCTAATTATTATTTAGATGTTGCTATTCGGTGTTGCTATTCTCACCACGAGAAGCATGCAGAATAGTTGCATTTCCTGTTTCTTACCTCCGATGGCAAGAGAGTGACAGGCACTCGTTCATCCTCATGCATCCGCCTTGAGGTCTTCTGCCAATACAGGTAGTCAACAAGAGATCTGTGATCAAAGTTTCCCGTCGGTGGCTTTTCAGTCTGGTCTCTCTGTATCATTCCAACTGGCACTTCAGGGTCTGGAGCCATGACTTCCATTTCACATTGTAGCTCCTTCAGTTCTTCGGGGGAGAGGTTTGCTAGGATTTCATCTTCATCGATCTCTTCAGAACAGATTTCTTCTTGGTCAGAGTTTTGGCTGAACTCGGACATGTTCTTTGTTGATGTAAAAAAAAAAGACCCAGAAACGCCTAAAGGAAATTTAAGAAAGACAATAACCAGAGCTGGTTATATCTTCTTCAATTTTATGAAACCCTCAATGCCCCTAAGGTTTGTGGGAAAGATTTATTTATTTTTTTGCCCGAAATTGCAGTACAACTCAATCTTAGGAGATGCTTGTGTAAGAGTGAGCAAGGGCTAGAGCATATGGTCGGTCTATATTAAGCAGCGCTTGGCTGGGGGAGGAGAATTTATGGAAGTGCTGCCATGTTCTGTTTTCAGCAGCTTGTGTCAGCTGTGTAAGCCCCTTCTGACATTTCAGTACAGCTGTTGTGTAGCGCTGCAGCTTCTTCGTGGTAATTTGCTGGAGGATTCCCCCAAGGATATGAGATTTATTGGCTCATGATATATACAAAATATTTAAATATAGGGAAATGAATGCTACTCAGGATGGCCTGCGCATGACCCTCTATACCTCTCATGTCCACTCCAAGCTTAGCTAATGCTCAGGCTTTGTGCTGGTCACCAATTATTTTCATCCTCGGCACGTATCGGTCTTCAGAAAATGATTGATTTACGATGGCCAGTTTAAATGGCACTGGCAAAGATCGCTGTATTTATTGTCCCTAGCACTAAGGAATGCCCTTCAGGCACGTGCTCTGTGGAGTCACTGACATTTTGTTTTAACAAATCAAAGGAGCTGGACAACAAAAGCATCATCTGACAATAAGCAAAACAGCTGTTATTTTAAGGCAAACATTTCAGTGGAGAAAGAAACGAGGGAAAGTGCTATTTGTAGACTCCTATGACCCGCAAATAAGACCTACCCTATAGCACAGTTCCTATTTGCTAATTATAAACATTTTGTATGATAGCACTTCAACAAATCATGGTTTTGGCCTCTGCAGCCATTGCTATTGCAAGAAAATGTATGGCACCTAGTCCAGCATCACCATGAAGGCAGGGGCTTTTTCTAACTTACGTAAACCTTGTGCCAGGTGCGAACACCTCTGAGGTGCCTCCTTAAGCAGAGCCTTAGCCCAGAACAAGGACACCTGCAGCAATAGAGATGCAGTAGCAGATGTCCTATGGGACACAGGTGGCGCTGTGGATTAAACCACAGAGCCTAGGGCTTGCCGATCAGAAGGTCGGCAGTTCAAATTCCCATGACATGGTGAGCTCCCGTTGCTCAGTCCCTGCTCCTGCCAACCTAGCAGTTCGAAAGCACGTCAAAGTGCAAGTAGACAAATAGGTACCGCTCCGGTGGGAAGGGGAATGGCATTTCCGTGAGCTGCTCTGGTTCGCCATGCTGGCCACATGACTCGGAAGCTGTACGCCTGCTCCCTCGACCAGTAAAGCGAGATGAGCGCCGCAACCCCAGAGTCATCCGCGACTGGACCTAACGGTCAGGGGTCCCTTTACCTTTACATTTAGCAGATGTCCTAATGCCTAGGGCCATGGCTTCATGAAGCCTTCGGAGAACCATCTCCATCCTTTGATCCTCAGAATTATTGGGGAGATCATCATCACCCTTGGCTGCATTAATCCCAGAGGCAAATGAAGAAACGGGGGAGTCCACTCAGGGGTCTTCAGCTTGTCCATAATGCAATTGGCCAAAGTGTGAATCTCTGAGGGGCAAGACCAAGAAACCCTCTGGTAATGCCCATTCAGCTGAGAGGGAAGGGAACCACATTGGGCTCGATGTCTGGAGCAGTTGTCACTGTGGAGACTTCCCTCCTAGTTATCATCCTGCCCAGAAGCAGTCTTAGGGAGAGAAACCTCCAAAGTCCAGCATGCCTTCTTACTTAATGGGGAGAAATCCTTCTGGGAGCACAGGCAGGAGCAGAGGCAAGGCTTGGTTGGTTCCTCCTCAATTACAGGCAGGGGAGGGGAAGAAAATTCATTCACACAAGTTTCTGCCACCTCCACCAGGGCAAAAACTACCAGACTAACCATAACTTTTGCCGCCTGAGCCAGAGAATTCTGCCCCACTTAGGTACCATTTTTTTAAATTTCAAGTGTTGGCAATTCTTACTCTAAGCATTGCAGTAGTGAGTACTATGATTATTTTGGTAGTGCCAATATAAACAGGCCAAACTAATTAAGTGAATGTAATTAACATTATAAGGGACGCGGGTGGCGCTGTGGGTTAGACCACAGGGCCTAGGAATTGCTCACCAAAGGTCGGCGGTTCGAATCTCCGCGACGGGGTGAGCTCCCGTTGCTCGGTCCCTGCTCCTGCCAACCTAGCATTTCGAAAGCACGTCCAAGTGCAGGTAGATAAATAGGTACCACTCTGGCGGGAAGGTAAATGGTGTTTCCGTGCGCTGCTCTGGATCGCCAGAAGCGGCTTAGTCATGCTGGCCACATGACCCGGAAGCTGTACGCCAGCTCCATTGGCCAATAAAGCGAGATGAGCGCCGCAACCCCAGAGTCGGTCACGACTGGACCTAATGGTCAGGGGTCCCTTTACCTTTACCTAATTAACATTATAAAAATAAAAAGAGCAGCAATGAGGGCCCTAAAACAGAACCAGGATCATCAGGGACAGGGAGGTGGTATAACCTTCCCCCTCCCCTGCTGCCCCTGTTGAACCCTCCCCACAAGCTGCCATTTGTATCCTAATGCAACCTCCATTGGCACCAGTGATGCTGCGTGTAGGTTTCTAATTAAAAGGAAGGTGTCACATGACACTTACTCTTCCCAGCCAATCAAGTCTTGAACAAAAGAGTGCAGGTGTGCCCATAGCAGACCATGCAAGACTTTAGCTTCAAGTCTTACTATTAGACTGAAAACTAAGCTCTAGCAGGATATTTTAAAAGATAATTCTGCTGGAATCAGAGTCTCATTGAGGCTTGCTTTGCAAACCAATAATTTCTTGAGTTATGTAAATACAGAATGAAACAAACTGACACAGAAAACTATAACTACACAGTTACAAGCAAGATGGGCCATATTTGTTAGTTTCATAATTGTATTATTAAGGAAATAACATTGCATGGAAATGTGCATATCAGAGTCCTAATCATGGCTGGTGGGTGTTTTTTGTTTGTTTGTTTCCCAAGTAAAGCTGCTTTTGGAGGGGTAATTTAGAGTCATGGAGAGCGGCGTGCAGCCACCACTTCTGCACTCCAAAATTGCCACATCCGCTGCTTTTCCCTACAGGGTTCCAAACACGTGACTTCACAAATTCCTTAGAGGCATGTCAGGCAGAGAAAAGGTTAAGCATCTCTTTCTCCCACACCTCTTCTCATTGCTCCCCATCTTTTCCTGGGGGAAGGGTTTCAGCTCCAAGAGCTTGCACAGAAAATGCAGTTAATTCCCCCGAGTTATTTATAACAGTTCCTCCCAAAATGTATTGTATACGTGCACCTTTGTACTGCTGCGACACAGTTTTCTTCCTAGTCGGTGCTAAAGACCTTGACCTTTAGGCTGAATCGAAGGCTGCTTCAGTGACATAGATCTGAACTAAAAAAGATGGGCAGGTTTTCCTTCTGGGAGAACCAAGCAACTAAGCTGGTCCAGATGGTTGCTAGGGCAGTTCCTGTTTGTTGTGGGGAGAAGAATGTAAAACTGGAATGTGGACAAGAGGTCAGACGTTACATGTCCAATGACAACTATCGGTACTCTTCAGATATGCAAATAAAATACAGAAGAGGAAAAGTGGTTGGTTGCGCTCATGGGTAGTCGCTGAAGTTCAGAAGGTTTTGCTTATTGCAGGTAACTATTACAATTTGCTATTTGTTGGAATTAACTCTGCCAGTACAGAGTACACATATTGACAGAGACAGTTATAACCCAGCGATAGTTTAGCAGATATGGGCAAGGTTGGCTCTAATAGTAGGCAGCTGGTTTTGGGTGTCATGAAAGAGCAGCACATTGTAATGTATACAATTAATATTTGTTGTATTTTTACTGCCAGGGAGTGGAATTTGTGGGATTTTCTGCTTCAGGTGCCAAAATAACTTGGCCACCCTTGGGTACTTGGGGAAAGGCAGGTGTTATTTGCTGCTCAGCCACAAGACAAGGAAATGTATTGGAGTGGCCACTTATGGACTGGCAAAAAAGAGAAAATAAACCACCCAAGAAGTGGATGGAAGAGTAATTTCTTAAAAGGTGCACATGCTAATTTGGAAACAATTGCTTAATTTAAATAGAAATAAAATCTCACCACAGTGGGGAAGATTATGACCAGGTGATTTGTGTGTGCTTGATCAGTCTGATGTCCAGATGTGCTGCCCCTTTCCTCTGCAATTCTGTGATTGTATAAATGGGTAGACTGTCAATAGCTGGTGTTTAATTGTGGGTGTATTCTGCAGTGTATTATTGACACAATAATAGTGCATTAGTGGTAGTTTTATTCTGGTTGTTTGTTCTGTGATGCCTCCCCAATGCTTCCACATTATTGCCGTCCAAAGGGGCTATAGGGCAACAAACGCAGGACAAAAAAGTTAACCAGAATGTTGTGGTAGAAAAAAAATACAGGATTTCAACAGGTAGTTATGGGTTCTGCACTGACTGGAAGTAAAGCAGTGTGACCACACCAAAGCTTCCACAGGTGCAAACAGTATTGAAAGGAAGAATGTGTGCAACCACCCTAATAGTATGATAATGATTACACACTAAAAGAGAGGTCTGGAGGCAAAGGTGCTATCAATATTTCTGGCACTTTACAAAATTACATAAGCTTGCTGTTTGGTGTTGTTTTTTTTAAAAAAAACACACACACAAATAAACAACCAAACGGTATATAGTTGACTAAGAGCCCCAGTACCTCTTTATTTAGAAACTTATCACTGTGGATTGATGAAAGAGGTTGGGACTAGAAGTGGACTTAACACAGTTTCACTGCAAAGGATTTAAGGGGTCAGTTTGTGATTTGCTTAGCAAAGTTTGGGTTATCTAAGAACTACAAACTTGGGTTATCTAAGAACTACTTTAAATAGCATCACCATTAGTTAAGTGAAAGAGATGGCTCACTACTTCTTTTTTATTTTTTAAAAAGGAGGGTTCTGTTTATTGCCAACAATTCATTGCTGGTTAATATTTGGTCCCAACCATTGTGCTCTTTGAAAACCAGGTTTGAAAACCAATTTCCAAAGGCTAGGTTTGCCCACCCCATTCAGAAGCCTACAACTCAACAAACAGGATGTATGCACTAGATTTATTGTATGTCTATTATAAACATGCATTATAGGTATACACTATGCCAGGAATAGCCAATACAGTGCCCTCAATATGCTGTTGGACTAAATTTCCTTAATCCATTTGCCATGCTGATTGGGGCTGATGGGAACTGGGAGGCACTGTTGGCTACCCCTACAGTTTGTTGTTGCTAGTAAAAAGCAAAGATAAGCAGACATGGGAGAAGTTAAAACAAGCTAACCACGTAAGTAGAGGATGTATGGCCTTCTGTCATGGATGAGCTATTTGAGATTCCCACATTCCAGGGGGTTGGACTAGATGACCCATGGGGGTCCCTTTCAACTCCACAACTCAATTATTCTGTAACTAATCTATTGCTACTCCCCCCCCCCCAATATCCCATGAAGGCTATATGTTAGGGTATAACCCAAGCAAAACTGTACTAGACTAGGGACCACAGACTTCAATGGAAGAATTCACCATGTACTTGCTTCCTCTCATTACAAACCAGATTTTATTTGGAAGTGCTGAATTTAGAGCGGATTTCTCTTTTGCAAATTAGACTAATTCTTGGGTTGTGCCATTGCTTGCCACTTGACCTTGCTGTCTACCCCCACTTTTCTACATAAGTCACCCACCTGTTCCACTTTTCTAAGGTGTTTTGAGAGTGAAAGAAAAGGGTGAAGTGAGATTTAAAAATACTGTTTGGAAATACTCGATTCGAATCAACTAAATTAACATATTTGTCTTCTGCTCTGGATTAGCTGTTTCGTATACTCTGCTGTTGATTGATTACACCAGAGGTTTTCAACCTTTTTGAGTCCACGGCTCCCCTGACCAACTACATTCTTTCTGCGGCACCCCTGTGGGGCTCAAGAGTCCAGTTAGGTCACCCCTTGCCTGCAGAGCTGGCAGCCTTTCACCCTTTTTCAAACACCCTCCATTGTGGAGTGGTCCCTCAGCCTCCTCTTCTCTCCCCTCTCCTTGGGAATCCTCTGGGCAGCCACCGCTGCTGCCCCTGGTCTCTGAGCTGCCGCCCCCTGCCCCAAAAAGAAGTGCCTCTTCCGACTGCCCCACAGGGGCCTGGGAAGCACCCCCTGGCCAGCCCCATTTGCCTGGGGAGCTTGTAACCAGGACTGCTGCAGTAAACAGCCGTGTAAGCCTTTGAGAGGCAGAGATGCGAGAGGCATCACAGGAGGGAGGGAAGGAAAGAGGGACAGAGGCCAGTATTGCCCGCGGCACCCCTGACCATCATTCAAGGCACCCCAGGGTGCCATGGCACACTGGTTGAAAACCACTGGATTACATTAATAATTTGTTTCATCCCATCCCAAGAGCTCATTTTCTATAAAAGTATAATTATTATTCTACCTATCCCTAGCCATCAAAGGCTGGATTTCAGTCATGTAACATGTAACAAGTATATTTCAGCGTGCCCACCTTTCTATGGTGCCTAGAAAGGGCCTCAGTAAATAACCCCTCAAAAATTCACAATGAACTGTGAACACACACCCTTAAATATCCCCACATTTCATTGGATACCAGGACTGGACACTCCCCCCCCCAATTCTAAAGAGAGGGGAGGTGCAAAAAACTGCTCACTGTGAGGAAAGGGTGGCTGGTGTAGGTGTAGTTAAGTTTGCAGATGATACAACGGTGGTTGGTTTAATCACGGCTGGAGAGGGGGGAGGCAGCCTATAGGAAGGAAGTTGATCAGTTGTGGGAGTGGTGCAGGAAAAACAGCTTACACCTTAACTTAAAGAAAACAAAAGAGATTATTGTGGACTTTAGGAAATGTAAATTGAATATTCAGCTACTTATTATTGAGGGGAAGTGCGTGGAACAGGTCTCGGTGTTTCGATTTCTGGGAATGGAGTGGAGAGATGACCTTACCTGGGGAGAAAACAGCAAAGACCTGATGAAGCGAGCACAGCAGAGGTTATATTTTCTGAGAATCCTCTGGAAAAACAATCTCTCATTGTGTTGATGGCATTTTACCATAGTACTGTGGAGAGTGTATTAACTTATGGTCTGTGTGTGTGGTTTGGGAGCTGCACAGTCAGGGAAAAAACAATGCTGTCCAGGGTTGTAAAGACTGCAGAGAGAATAACTGGGTGCACTCTTCCCACCTTAGATCAAATCTATGCTGTCAGGTGCCATAAGAAAGCTGCAGAGATAGTGCAGGATAGGACGCACCCCAGAAATGATCTCTTTCAGCTTCTGCCTTCTAGAAGAAGGTACAGGGTTATAAAGACTATGACTGCGAAACAGTTTTTACCCAAATGCAATTCTGGTTTTAAACACAGTATAAGGAGTCTCTATAGGAGTATATTGTATTTTAAAATGGGGTTTCAGAGTTTTTAGGGGTTTTTGAATGTCTTATGTAGATTTTTCAATTTCATTGTTCTGTATGGGACAATGACAATAAAGATATCGTATCATATTGTATCGTAATTTAATGCAGGTGGGGAGTGATGCACCAATTTCTCTGTTTCTGCTTTTTAAGATGTACTGCCAGCCATTTTAGGTTACACCACACACCCATAGCAGCCATTTTGTGACTGGCACCTGTGGGTCTTTCAAAATTCCAAATGTGCCCGTTGGCTGCAAAAAGTTAGCAAGCCCTGTGAGTCTAGGCAGATTCCGAAAGTGGTAAGTCCCAACCCTGATGAGCAGAAATAGGCCCTAAATAAAGGGGCTATTTATTTGATATAGTCAAAATGTGACTAATTGCTCAACCTAGAATTTTGCTTTTGGGTGCTTATGCCCAGGACATATCATTATTATACAGTGGTACCTCTGGTTACGAACTTAATTTGTTCCGGAGGTCCATCCTTAACCTGAAACTGTTCTTAACCTGAGGTACCACTTTAGCTAATGGGGCCTCCTGCTGCCGCCGTGCGATGTCTATTCTTATCCTGAGGTAAAGTTGTTAACCCAAGGTACTATTTCCGCGTTAGCAGAGTCTGTCACCCGAAGTGTTTGTAACACAAGGTACCACTGTATTTTATGCCTGTGTAAGCACACATCAGCCTCTCTTGTCCTGTTCTAAACACCAGGATAGTCATCCATAACGCAGCCCATAAATGGCTTCCTGATGTTATCGAATAAATCAACTGTGGTCTCTTGCTGGCATCTTATTCTCTCAAACCATGCCATTTGGGTCACTGAAGCGATCCATTCACCACTTGCAAATCTCCTGCTGATTTCTTGTCTGTAAATAAAGTACTTAGCTGCCCTCTTATATTTCCCTGATCTGCAACCGTTCCATCTTGAGGCCACGAGCTTCTGTGATCTGCTAAGTTAAGGTCAAGCCTCTTGTTAGGGCCTCTGCAGAGGAATTATCGAGGGAACACGAGATATTGTTGGCTCATAAGGAACAGCAATTTCGATTTGCCATTTCCATGTATTCTGCCTTATCTCTGGTGGAACTATGATCATGGAAGAGCTACCTTCTAAGATAAGGCCTAAACTTGTGTTCACTGGTAGCAAGCTATGTTCTGGAAACTGCCCTGAGACCTCTGGATATACGGTGGTATATTATTATTATTATTATTATTATTATTATTATTAATGTGTGTGTGCGGCTTTGCTTTTTCATAGTATTGCTTGTTTAATATTTCAGGTAAGACTATGAATTATGAGTGGGACAATCATACAGCTGTCACTAGAATTACCAACCTAATTTTAAATGTATTTTGCATTCTTACAGATTGGTGCTGTGTAATACAAAGTGTAATCATACATATATTAATTCACTTAGCCAACCTGATCTTCCTATTTTACTTTCCATTATTTCCCAACATGATCCTCTAACACCAGACGGAGGATGCTTCTAAACATTCATCCTGATTAGACATTGACTATTCAATGAGCAGTCATTCTGATCTGTTTGCAGGGAGGTTAGCCAATGTTGCGTCAAAACAAGCTATCCCACACTGTCTCATGGCAGTCCTCATTGCAAAAAGTCCAGCCTTTTGCTGAAGTGGGTTTGTCGCACAGGAGCTGCAAATGAGCTTTAATTGTGCAATATGAGTTTGCTGGTATGCAGTTGAATCCTGCCCCCCAAAAGTGACAGACTGGAGGTGCCCTGAGCCATTCAGTTTTCATCCCCAACCTGTACCAAACATGAAAATACAATGAGAAATAGTGTCAAGCTTCAGTAAATGAAATTTAATTCCTCTGTATATGTGTAAATGGCTGTGTATGTTAGAACCCTCGCTTTATTTAACATAAAGAATTGTGAATCTTTTTTTGGTTCTTCCAGCCATCCTGAATCTACCTCGTCCATCCTATCCAATCGAATCCAAAAAAAACCCCCCTTGAATAATTTAAAAAAGAACATTTGGCCAATCTTTTTGACAGATTTGTCTCTTAGGGTGCATGATACGTCAGGGTGTGTTTTTTGTTTTGTTTCATTTTCTTTGTCCCCCACTCTTTGAGAGATTCAGTGGGTGGCAACAAGAGAAGGGGCCTTTTCTGTGGTGATTCCTGACTATGGAATGCTCTCCCCAGAGAGGCTTGCCTGGCACCTTCATTACAGGTCTTTAGGTGCCAGGCAAACTCATTCATCTTTACCTAGGCCTTTATCTATTAAATAATCTATGGCCTGTTACCTGCCTCACATAAGCCTCAAGAGCTACCCTGAAAGGGGGTTCAGATGAGCTTAGAATTCAGGCAGATTCCTATCAGAGTACGCAACCCTTGGGATACATAAGTTCCAACCAAGATAGAACTTTGAAATCTAGCACTTAGAATTAAAAATGAAACTGTTTGAGTACTAGTCCATGGGTAGGCAAACTAAGGCCTGGGGGCTGGATGCGGCCCAGTCACCTTCTAAATCTGGCCCACGGACAGTCCAGGAATCAGCATGTTTTTACATGAGTAGAATGTGCGCTTTTATTTAAAATGCATCTCTGGGTTATTTGTGGGGCATAGGAATTCGTTCATTTCCCCCCCTTCAAAATACAGTCCGCCCCCCCCAAGGTCTGAGGGACAGTGGACTGGCCCCCTGCTGAAAAAGTTTGCTTACCCCTGCTAGTCTAACAGTAGCATTCTGTTAGTCTTCTGCTAGTCTTCAAAAACAGCCTCACACACAGCATATTGCAGTAGTCTAATCTGTAGACTACCATAATATGGAGAATAGTTTCTGATATATCGCTGTCTAGGAGCCATATCTGGCATACCAGCCGTAGCTGGTGTGAGGCACTTCATGACACCAATGTCACTCAAACATCCAAAGACAGGACCACATCTGATGGCAATCTCAGCAGATACACACTGGGCAGAGTTGCCCAATGTGAGCATATCTCATTTGCTACTGTCCAGCATCAACGGTTAAGAAATTAAGTATTTTTCATGGGTTAGACGAAGGTAAAAAGACCATCCAGTGACTGTCTCTACATCATCAAATTCCTGAGTTGCTGAATATACTTGATCTAAATGTATAATTCTTGAATTTCTCCCAATTTACCTGAAGCTAAGATTAGTTGAACAGATTTGTTTTGAAAAACCTGACAAGCTCAAGCATTTATGCTTTAGCAAACCTGACTGAAATTCTGGGAAGCATCATTACTGACAGTGATAAATGTCTCTTAAAGATGTCCCATAATTTCAGCATAAACTGTCATGCTAACAATTTTTCACTTGCTAGAAAAGGCACATCGATTTTTAGAACTAGCAAGTTACATAGGCACAGAGAAAATGGTTTATTTTATGGAACTGTATATAATGTGTGATTGTCTAACATTCAAAGAGTGTTTTATGTAGAATGCATTACTGCATAATGTGAAGAATTTATGGAAACAATAGTTGTCAATTTCCCCCAAGAAAACGGGCCATGTTAAGTTTGTTCATATCATTTTATGTTTTTTCATTCCTTTGTCAGAGAGGCATCAGGCAATACATAGACTCATAGAATTGTAGATCTGGAAGGTACCCCAAAGGTCATCTAGTCCAACCCGCTGCAATGCAGAAATCTCAACTAAAGCATACATGACAGTATATTTCTCCTTAGTTCCCTTCAGTAGTTTTGTCATATAAAATGTGACTTTTATCAACATAGTGCTTTACTATTGAGGAAGCAAAAAACATAAAATAAATTCATGTAAATACTTTAAATACTTACTGTATTCAAACATACATCTTCTGATTTCTTAGCCCATAACTGTCAGACATATGCATGTACACACAGACACAAGTACAACATATTTTCAGGTTTTTCTCTGTAAACATGAGGTCTAGAAAATTAATCATAAAAACAGGGGAGATGGTGTGGGGAAGGATTGTCAAGCTAAACTTTTACCATATAAAGACCTTAACACTTCAGCAAAAGCAAAAGTGTGAATACTGGGGGTATATAGGCTGTGATCCTCATCACTGAATATATTCAGAAGTAGGTGCCATTGAAATGAATGGAATTTATTTCCACGTCGGTATACATAGGATTGTAGTAAGGTAAAGCTAAAGGGACCCCTGACCATTAGGTCCATTTGTGGCCGACTCTGGGGTTGCGGTGCTCATCTCACTTTACTGGCCGAGGGAGCTGGCGTACAGCTTCCGGGTCATGTGGCCAGCATGACTAAGCCGCTTCTGGCAAACCAGAGCAGCGCAACGAAACACCGTTTACCTTCCCGCCGGAGTGGTATCTATTTATCGACTTGCACTTTGATGTGCTTTCGAACTGCCAGGTTGGCAGGAGCAGGGACCGAGCAACGGGAGCTCACCCCGTCGCAGGGATTGTAGTACTGTCACCTATAAAAGGCATAAATCCTTTTATAGTACATCACATAAAGTACATCACATAAATCTGAGCCATTAAGGGCTGACTTTCAGAAGAGACAGTACGGCATAGGAAACACCAAAGCGAAGCAAGTATTTATGGTTTCTGATGTAAGCACTTACCTACAGCGTGGGCAGGTATAGAGATCCCAGGCAAGTGGGCCACAATAGCCTTTTGCTCAACACCTGTGCTGCATCTTTTTCCAACTCTTCAGCCTTCAGTTCTACCTCCAAACGAAGCCGTGTCAGATGAAAGAGCAGCAGCAACCAACATGCTCACCTCCTCATGTGTCACCATTTCAATCCTAGGTACTGGGGTCATCAAAACATGCCTGAAGTGCCTCAAATGTTGAATGGGTTCTATTTTTAAGATAACTGATGGGACAAGTGCTGACTCCAAATACTTCAGAGCAAATTCTGCCCCACTAGTCTTCCGTTTAATTTTTTTGCTGATAACCCCCTCCTTCAGAACCCGCCTCATTTATGGCTCTCTCCGTGGTGCCAGAACTTTAACCGGAGCCAACTGGAGAGAATGTACCCATGAAACTTAAACCTTGCCTCGTTTGTAAACTACTTTGTAACTAAGCATGGCGGGGCAAAGAAGAAGAACACAGTATTAAGCCCCTTGATAGCCTGTAATGTAATATCGGGAGTCTGAAGGGTCAGATGATAGCTCTGTGATAACAACATCGGCTTGGGTTACAAGTAGTCATAGAGATGCTTTGAGAGGCTCCCAGAGACCCGTCCCGGTACACAATGAATGCCTACAGGCTATGTCCTGCCTTAAGATCTTGTACCAAAACCCTGTCTGCACTACATAAAACTAGCACAGCGTTGTAGTTAAGAGGTCTGGTCTTAAACCAGGGAAATCCCGCTTCAAATTCCCAAGAAGCCACAAAGTTCATGGTGACCTTGTGCCAATGCCAGTCAACTCTCCCAACCTAGCTTCCCTCAGCAGGTTGCTGTTGAGGAAAAACTGAGGAGGGGGATATCATGTATCCCACCCTGAATTCCTGAAGGAATGATGGGCTAGAAATGTAAGAAAGAAAGCCATTTTTAGAATTAAAACAGGCTCATAATATATGGATATTTTATTTTTCTCTGGGGCTGATTTCTCTCTCTCTCTCTCTCCAAATTAGTCTTTAAAGCAGAATCTGTTATTTTCTCGTACTGTCACATCACATAGCTGACCGCTATTAGAGACAGAGTTTCCCCCCCTTAACTAAATGGCTATATGGTCTCCTCCAGTCAGTAGATTCTTACGTCCTTCTCTTCTAACTCTTGGCTAGCACAGGACTCAATGCCAGATGCTCCTTGGGAAACTTGCAAGAAGAACATGATGGTCAATCATTGTCCTTTGTCAACAGCAACTGTCACTGGAGGTATACTGGCACTGAACACAAAGGTTCCCATCTTTGCACTTACAGCTATTCGCTGTTGAGAGATTCATGAATTTGTCCAACCTTTTTTTAAAAAGCCATCTAAGCTAGCGTCCAACCCCATATCTCAGGGGTTCTCAAACTTTCTTCCCTCAGGGTCCACTTGACTGGCTGGAAATTTCTGAGGCGCACCAGTCACAAAATGGTGGTGGACGGAGGCAGAGTTTGGCATAGTCAGTGGATAATTATTGGCATAACTATCTACTGATATTGAATCCATCTTTGAAAATTTCTAAATTCTTTGTCAGTGTTTTCCTTATAGCAAGCAGGCCCATTGTTCAGTTTCCCTCAAGCTAAGTACAGACATTTGCTCTGGAAGTATTGTGACTCAGCCTCCCCGTTTTAAGCAGAATTTGTGGATCCAGAAGCGTTAAATGGAGAAAGCTATTCCTTTTATATTTTCCCCTTTCTGCCCTATGTGTCTCTCAAAGAATGGTTGCATATCTGCTCTCATTTCTTCTCCTATTCATCTTTCACACTTGGCTTGTATCTTCTCCCATTCCACATATTCTGACAGTTTCTTTCACACACACATGTTCTTTTACATTCACTTTCTCCTATAAAGGTTTTTTTTCATCTCTCACCCCCTTCCTTTCTATTCCCAGTTTGTTTGCGTATTAACACTTTTATCTCACTTTTCACAATTTCCTTCGACACTTTCTCTGGCCCTTTCCCCTCAAAGGAGATAAACCTTTCTTTGTCAGACATTTATTTTTCTTTGTCCATTGCCTATATCCAGTTTCAGTGAATGGCCAGGTTTTAGTGTTGAGACAGAGGAGAAGGGAGATGAGTAAATTCTCTATGTTTAGGACACCGAAGTTATGACAAGGGCATGGGGTTCCCAAACAAGTGTTTCCCTGATGAGGGAATATGGGGGTTCTAGCCAAGCATTTTTCCCATGAAGGAAACATGGAGTTTTTTAGGGGATTTGAAATAGTTTTTATTAATTTCTCATTAATAACATTCCAATTGGTATCAAATCAAATCTTATCACATCACATCAATAATACAAACAATAAAGCCAATTATACATTCCAAATTAAAAAAAATACTGGGACTTCCCATGTTCTGGCTGTCAGAAGAATGTTTCTTTCACTTGTCCTGCATCTCTCTTGTTTTTTCCAATTTCATAATTTCGACCTAAACCTTTATCTTATTTTCCCAGTCACCAGTGTCTAACCAAGCATTTGCCTTGTAATTTTAAGGGTGAGGGAAGTAACTTGTGCAGGTAAAACAAGTTCTTAATGACAACTACCATAAAATTGCCCAAATGTAGCGCTCTGTGTGTGTGTGTGTGTGTGTGTGTGTGTGTGTCTGTCTGTCTGTCTTTAGACTCTTCCTTAAGGCCAACAGACGGGTTTATACGAATTTCCATGTGAGGACAATCCAGATGATTCCCAAGCTGCTCTTGAGTTTAGGATATATAAAAGTCAGAGAAAGCATTCAAGGCAAAAACATATATTATTTTAGAAGAAACAGGTATATAAACTAGAGCAGGTGTGGGGAACCTTTGACCCGCCAGATGTTGCTGAAGTACAACTCCCATCTGCCCCTAGAAGCATAGCCAGTGACCATTTTGCTTCTCCTGATAGTAAGCATCTCATGGCCCCTGTCTTCTTGTACCAAATGAAGTACTGTATATCACATCATCTAGTCCGTTTGTATCTGCTCTTTTCCCTCTTTCCCTTCACGTTGCTGAATTACCAACAAAGCCATGGCCCATGGTGTCCAAAAATATATTGGTGTATAATTGTGGGAAAAGTGCATGCACTATTACTGGGAGACCAGCGTGTTAATAGCTGCAGGTGGGACCATCTGTCTTCCAGAGGCAGCTTGAGAAGAAAAAAACCTCAATAGTTGTTTGTGTACATGATAAGATGACTGGCTGTTGATAGAGGTGCTAGGCCTCAATTGTGTTTTATAGTAAGACAGGTGGTTCTTTTAGTAAGTAACAGTGCCTATTCTTACTGGAAGCCTGAGGACACCTTTGACTTACGTGTCATTATTCGTATTTCCATTCTCCTCTTGGGTCATAAGTGACATTTTGCTCTTAGGAACACTAAGCTCTGCTGTCTCCATGCCTTCAACCTCTGGTCATGCTAGTGTTTGTACATATTGAGCCCTATTTATCTTTAATTTCTCAGACTATGATGACAGGCATATTCAGAGTTTGCCAGGCTTTCCATAAGTGTTGCCTTCTCTCATATCCAGCACCTTGTAAGGACTAGCTTGCTTTCATTTCTCATTCCTTCCAATAATTAGTCAGCTCTTTTCCAGGAGGGTGGGGAGACAATGTTATTCATTTAGAAAAGCTCTTCACCACTTAACATTTTGAGCAAAAAATTCCCAAGCAGTTAACAGAGATGATAAAATTTTAAAATGTAGTAGAATTATTATAACTAATATAAATAAAAGCAGAACACAATAAATACAATGTTCTTGTTGTTTTTTAACAATAGTAAAGGTAAAGGGACCCCTGACCATTAGGTCCAGTTGTGGCCGACTCTGGGGTTGTGGCGCTCATCTCGCTTTATTGGCCAAGGGAGCTGGCATACAGCTTCGGGGTCATGTGGCCAGCATGACTAAAGCTGATTCTGGCGAACCAGAGCAGCACACGGAAACGCTGTTTACCTTCCCGCCGAAGCAGTACCTATTTAACTACTTGCACTTTGATGTGCTTTCAAACTGCTAGGTGGGCAGGAGCAGGGACCGAGCAATGGGAGCTCACCCCATCGCGGGGATTCGAACCACCAACCTTTTGATCGGCAAGTCCTAGGCTCTGTGGTTTAACCCACAGTGCCACCCGCATCCCCTTTAAAAAAATAACACATCATTTAAAACGCCAAGTCAACAATGTTGCCCATTATAACAGTAATTCAAAGCAGGAATGCATGGCTTAAAACTTGGTGTGTTGAAGATCTGAGATAAGAGTGGTGGTTCTCAAACTGGGGAGAAGAGAATTGTCCTGTGCTTGGTAGGCTACCATAGGTGTGTCAACTCCTAGGGGCCGAGGTCCCTTCACTCCCCTACAAAATATTTGATGTGCCCCCCCTTCCCAGTTGAATGAGATTGCCATTCAGATGATGTTTGTGTGCCGCATCTTGTGATTGATTATGCGGTGCAGGACTTACCTCCCCCCCCCCCCATATTTTATTCAAGTTGGTACCCCTGTAGGCTACATTGTCTGGCTGGTGGGCTGCTTGTTCGATCACAAAATTGGCAGGTCTAGTTTTGACCAACATTGCTTGTAAAAGCTCTTCCAAAAACAGTTGATGCAGTATCAAAAATACTTGAAAATAAAATAAAAATAACTACTTATATATTCACACACACAGAGACCTGTAGCCCAAGCTGAGACAAAGGAGTAATATGCGGTTTAAAAGGAGTAATATGCGGTTTAAAATGGGCAGTTCTCCAAAGCACTTTTTTCTCCCCACCTCAGTAGTGCCCCACTGATTTTGGCAGCAGCATACAGTAGTACCTCGGGTTACATACGCTTCAGGTTACAGACTCCGCTAACCCAGAAATATTACCTCAGGTTAAGAACTTTGCTTCAGGGTGAGAACAGAAATTGTGCAGCGGTGGCACAGCGGCAGCAGGAGGCCCCATTAGCTAAAGTGGTACCTCAGGTTACAAACAGTTTCAGGTTAAGAACGGACCTCCAGAACAAATTACCGTATTTTTCGCTCTATAAGACGCACCAGACCACAAGACGCACCTAGTTTTTGGAGGAGGAAAACAAGAAAAAAAATATTCTGAATCTCAGAAGCCAGAACAGCAAGAGGGATCGCTGTGCAGTGAAAGCAGCAATCCCTCTTGCTGTTCTGGCTTCTGTGATAGAGGCGCAGCCTGCATTCGCTCCATAAGACGCACACACATTTCCCCTTACTTTTTAGGAGGGAAAAAGTGAGTCTTATAGAGCACAAAATATGGTAAGTTCTTAAGCCGAGGTACCACTGTAATTAAAACAAAAAGTAACCAGTGCTGGGGGTTTAAAGCTCTCTGTGCAGCTCAGCATACTCAAATGGGTGCGCCCTCTCTGCCCACCATAATTATAATGATCGTGGATCGGCTGGTGAGGGGGAAGTTGTGTGCATGTGTGTGTCATATATGTGTGTGTGTCTGGGGGCGGGGGACACCCACTGCTTGCCATGTGGCCTCTGGAGAGTTGGCCAAAAGTGAATGTGGCCCTCAGGCCAAATAGTTAGCGCCCCCCCGTTAAAACATAAAAAATATATATTTTGAAACAAAACATAAGTGTAAATGACAAAATTCGCTGGAATGCCGATAGTCTGCTTGCTTATGATCTCACTTAGTGCCATGGGCATAGCCAGGGTTTTTGTTAGGGAGGGGGAGCCAAAGTTGTTGAGATCCCCCCCCCGCCAAGCTGTTGAGCTTTTCGGGGAGAAAATCATGGGTAAATATACCCCCCAAAAGAGGACATTATGGGGGCAGGCTTCTCCAGGAAGAGGGACCAGAACCTCTGTTAATTGAGTGCTTTAAATGCTTTTCAATAATTTTTGTGGACCCCCCAAGCTACACCCATGCTTAGTGCTTATATAGACTGACAATCTATCAGCTTCAGACAGAGCTCCTGGCATAGCATACAGGAAGAGGAATACTTCCTACCTTACTGGGCTGTTGTGAGTAAGGTAGAGAGAAACAATATGGGAAAGGTTTTGAATGTGAAACCAGCCAGTGCTGTCATCCACCTAAATCGAAACATGTCGTCTTCTTCTTTTTTATCTTCACCCAGGCTTTCCCTGAAAGGTTATGCCGTTGTGTTAATGATCCATATGATCTACAGATGAATTTTGTATTATGGGGGTAATATAAGCAGTTCACCACCATCCGTGGCGGCACTGGGGGAGAAAGGGGGGTGCGGTAGGTGCGGTCTGCCTCGGGTGTCATCCCTGAGGGTGACATCACTGCGCTGCTCCCCTGGGGGCAGCTAGCTCCACCTCTGCGTGGTGGACCTTGGGGGTCTCAAATTTCAGCGGTGCCCTGTGTGACACCAAAATTCTGCACCCTCTCCCTTCATGGGTGTAGCCAGTGGGGGGGGGGCAAGGGCAGCTGCCGCCCCTAAATCAATACAAATCTGAGGTTCTTCCGCCCCTAACAGAAATCCTGGCTACATCCATGCCCCCCACTTTCCATTCTACATCATACGTGTGGCACCCCCCAGACTCCACACCCAGGGCAACCAAACCAGCCGCATTCCCCCTTCCGCCTCTGCTACCGTGATATTTTTTTCTTAATATTGGCAGTGCGGAAATTTTAATAAATAAATAAATAAAGATGTGATCAATGCAAAGGATCCATAAGCAAGACACGAATGAACAGGGCAAGCATTAGATAACACTGGATTTTCTATTAAAACTTAATTCTTGAGCATATTTAGTTTGCCCCCCCCCCTTTTAAAACAAAACAACAACCCATGGAAAAGCCCATTCAGACTGTAGTGAGGCAGATGAGACACTAGAGGTCCTCATTACTCTATTTGAAAAAAAGGCAAAGGGATTTCGCCCGTAGATTATTTACACGGATGCCAAATATTTCCCCCCCTAAAGATGATCGTTGTTTGCAGTTGTCCGGTACCCAAAATGCTTGAAGGAGGAAACGCATTGCTAGATACATTAGTAATGGAAATATCACTTTCTTAGATAACTAAAGATGGAATTAGACACATTAACGAAGGAGCTGAGGTAACTATTAGCCATGATCCATGAAAGCTTGGTGGAGCCTCCATGTTTAAGAATCTGTGTACCTCTGATTGTGTGGTTCCTTGAGACATCTGGTTGGCTCATGCTAGTTTTGTTATATTGGTTGTTTTAAAATTGGAAGAATTTTAAAAACAATTTTATAATTCAGAGACATTCCCTCGTGAGAGAGAACTTATCATCTTAGTAATTTGCAGAAAATATCCTAAACCCATGCATGGGGTTGTTGGAGCACAGAAAGGTAGCAGTGGTGGCTAAGATAAAATCTCTGAATGAGGTTGTTCTCCCACTAAAAGAACTGGTTTGGCGCTTAGGAGTGCTCTTGGATCGATCTTTGTCACTGGAATCCCAGATAGCCCAAATGGCTAGGAGTGCCTTTTACCAGTACACCAAGTATGGCTGTTCTTGGACTGGGGTGGTCTGGCCATGGTGATTAATGCATTGAGGCATGAATATAGGGGCAATTACTGTGACGCGCTCTACATGGAGCTGCCCTTGGGCCTCAAACAGAGGCTCCAGCTGGTGCAAAAAGGTAAAGGACCCCTGGACGGTTAAGTCTAGTCAAAGGCGACTATGGGGTTGCAGTGCTCACTCATTTCACTTTCAGACTGAGGGAACTGGCGTTTGTTCACAGACAGCTTTCTGGGTCATGTGGCCAGCATAACTAAAATACTTCTGGCGCAACAGAACACCGTGACGGAAACCAGGGCACAGAAACGCCGTTCACCTTCCCGCCACAGCGGTACCTATTTATCTACTCACACTGGCATGCTTTCGAGCTGCTAGGTTGGCAGGAGCTGAGACAGAGCAATGGGTCAACCTTCTGATCGGCAAGCCCAAGAGGCTCAGTGGTTTAGACCACAGTGCCACCCGCATCCTAAAACAAAACAATGTAGCTGGACTGTTGATGGGAACAGACTATCACCAGCACTTAACTCTGGTTCTGAAAAGCTTGCACTGGCTGCCCATATGTTACTGAGTCAGGTTCCCAGTTCTTGCATTAATTGACAAGGCCCTTAACAACATAGGTCCAGATAAGGACCACTTGATCCCCTATACCATTGCTCAGTCAACTGAGATCTTAAGGGGACTCACTATTAGTGACCCCCCCCCCCCGGCTCAGATACATGGCTTGTATCCACCAGGCACCACGTGTTATTGCAGACCCAATTTTATGGAACTCCTTTCCAGTTGTGATCAGGCGGCCTCCCTGTCCCTGTATTATTTTGCAACAATGAGGACTAGAAACCTGCGTTTATCCACCACAAGCTGTAGCTCTCATGATTCTGCCAGAGGCCAAGAGCTGCCTACTGCATTTGAAGAGGCTGCACGGCTTCCCTGAGAATACAGTCTGGTTACGAACTTAATTCCTTAATTAATACCTCTGGTTACGAACTTAATTCGTTCTGGAGGTCCGTTCTTAACCTAAAACCATTCTTAACCTGAGGTACCACTTTAGCTAATGGGGCCTCCCGGTGCCGCCGCACAATTTTTGTTCTCATCCTGAGATAAAGTTCTTAACCTGAGGTACCACTTCCGGGTTAGTGGAGTCTGTAACCCAAAGTGTTTGCAACCTGAGGTGTTTGTAACCCGAGGTACCACTGTACTGTAATCATGTCACTTCAGTCGCAGTGGGACTGCCTGAATTCTATTTTTTTTTTTTTTTAAGAATATTTATTCAAGTTTTAAGATTACAAAAAAAAAAGAAAAAACAAAACAAGAAAACCAGTGACATACATCTTACAAAAGATACACACCATACAAGGAAAAAAAGAAAAAAGAAAAAATACACAAGACCAAAAATCACAATAAAAAATAACAAAAAAAAGAATTCAAATTTAACAAACCGTATTCCCATTTACTTATTTCCGTGACTTCCTCACACTTCTCTGCTTTGTATTCTAATTCAAATTGTATCTCCAGCAAATCCTTCTAACCTTCTTTCCATTCACTTATTTTAACATTTTAACATTCAAAAATATTTAATTCTCCTCTATCCTTTAATTTACACTTCATATTTACTTAATTCCATTATACTCTGTCTGCCAATACGGTCTAATATTTCTTCTCCAACCTTTCCTAACATTCTTTTATGTTACAGTGATTCTGTAAATATATTTTAAACTTTTTCCAATCTTCTTCCATCAACCCTTCTTCTTGATCTCGAATTCTTCCAGTCATCTCAGCCAGTTCCATATAGTCTATCACTTTTCTCTGCCATTCTTCTCGGGTAGGCAATTCTTGTGTCTTCCAATATTTCCCAATGAGTATTCTTGCTGCTGCTGTCGCATACATTAAAAAAGTTCTATCTTCCCTTCGCACCAATTGGCCGACCATGCCCAAGAGGAAGGCCTCTGGTTTCTTTAAGAAAGTATATTTCAATACCTTTTTTAATTCATTGTATATCATTTCCCAGAATGCCTTGATCTTTGGGCACGTCCACCAAAGGTGAAAGAAAGTACCTTCGTTTTCTTTGCATTTCCAACATTTATTATCAGGCAAGTGATAAATTTTTGCTAGCTTGACTGGGGTTAAGTACCACCTGTAAATCATTTTCATTATGTTTTCTCTTAGAGCATTACAAGCCGTAAATTTCATACCTGTGGTCCATAACCGTTCCCAGTCAGCAAACATAATGTTATGCCCAACATCCTGCGCCCATTTAATCATAACAGATTTAACCATTTCATCCTGTGTATTCCATTTCAGCAGCAAATTATACATTCTTGACAAATTTTTAGTTTTAGGTTCTAACAATTCCGTTTCCAGTTTAGATTTTTCCTCCTGGAAACCAATCTTTTATCTAAGTTAAAAACCTCCCTTATTTGATAATAATGCAACCAGTCTCTGACTTTGGTTTTTAATTTGTCGAAACTCTGCAGTTTTAATTTATCTCCAACTTGTTCTAAAATTTCACAATATTTTGGCCAGTTTGTCTCCATATTGGTTTTTTTCAATGCCTTTGCCTCCATTGGTGATAGCCACCTTGGTGTTTTACTTTCCAACAAATCCTTATATCTCACCCAAACATTAAATAATGCTTTCCTGACAATATGGTTCTTAAAGGCCTTATGCGCTTTAACTTTATCATACCATAAATATGCATGCCATCCAAAAACATTATCAAAACCTTCTAAATCCAAAATGTCCACGTTTTCAAGAAGTAGCCAGTCTTTCAGCCAGCAAAAAGCGGCTGATTCATAGTAAAGTTTAAGATCTGGCAGGGCAAATCCCCTCTTTCCTTTGCATCTGTTAATATCTTAAATTTTATTCTAGGTTTTTGCCCTGCCAGATAAATTTGGAAATGTCTCTTTGCCACCTCTTGAAACAGTCCATTTTGTCCACAATTTGTAATGTTTGAAACAAGAACAACATTCTAGGCAGTACATTCATCTTTATCGCAGCAATTCGGCCAAGCAATGATAACTTCAATTTTGACCATATTTCTAGATCTTTCTTCACCTCTGACCAACATTTTTCATAATTATCTTTAAACAAATTCACATTTTTAGCAGTCATGTTCACCCCTAAATATTTCACTTTGTTAACAATTGTTAATCCTGTCTCTTTCTGGAATCTCTCCTTCTCTATCTCTGTAAGATTTTTCTCTAATACCTTGGTTTTCATCTTGTTTAATTTAAAACCAGCTACTTGACCAAATTCTTGTATTAATTGTAACACCCTTTTGTGCTAGCTTCTGGCTCCTGTACTGTCAAAACTAAATCATCAGCAAAAGCTTTCAATTTATACTGTTTAGCTCCGAGTTGTATACCTTTAACCAATTGGTCTTTTCTAATCATATTGAGCAGAACCTCAAGGACCGATATAAAAAGCAATGGGGAGATTGGGCAGCCCTGTCTTGTTCCTTTCTCTATCTTAAATTCTTCTGTAACTACATTGTTCACAATAAGCTTAGCTTTTTGTTCCGAGTAAATTGCACCTATACCATTTTCGAAACTTTGGCCTACCCCCATCCCCTGCAGATTTTTCTTCATAAAACTCCAAGAAATATTGTCAAACGCTTTCTCTGCATCCACAAATATTAAAACAGCTTTAGTATTAATATTAACTTGCAGTTTTTCCAAAATGTTGATAATGTTCCTAGTGTTGTCTGACAAATGTCTTCCAGGCAGAAAACCCGCCTGGTCTTTATGAATCTCTTTTACCAATACATTTTTAATCTCTTAGCCATAATTTCAGCAAAAATTTTGTAATCCACGTTTAGCAGGGATATGGGACGGTAGTTCTTCAACTGTGTCTTCTCCCCTCGGTTTTTGGTATAAGTGTAATGTACGCTTCTTTCCACGACTCGGGTGCTCTTCCTCCCCGTAGTATTTCATTACAAAGTTCTTTCAACGGTTGCAATAGCCATTCTTTCAAAGTTTTGTAATACTTTGCAGTTAGTCCATCTGGCCCTGGGGATTTGCCCAATTTCATATTCAGAATGGCTCCTTCCACTTCTTGATCAGATATAGTCGAATTTAATATTGATTTACTGTCCTGAGATATTTTTGTAATCCATTATTTTCCAAAAATCGGTCAATATCTAAATCTTTCTGAGCCTCCTGCGTATATAGCTGTTTGAAATAATTCTGAAAGCACTTCCGAATCTCTCCAGGATTCTGTATGTTCTTTCCTTCTACAACCAAGTTTGTAATTGTATTCAGCTTTTGTCTTTTCTTCATTTGCCAGGCCAGTAACTTCCCACATTTATTTGCCGATTCGAAGGTCTTTTGTTTCATCTGTTGAATCTTCCATTCTATCTCCTGATTCATCAATTTCATATACTGTACTTGGTATAGCTTTATTTCTTTTAAAATCTCCTGTGAGTTCGGTTTCGCTCTCAGTCTTTTTTCTCCATCCTTTATTTTCTCCAGAATTTTTTCTCTCTTCTCATTTTGGTATCTTTTCCTGATTGCATTTTGTTGTATCAAAAATCCTCTCATCACCGCTTTGCTAGCGTCCCAAATCACTCTTTTTTCTGTCGTCGTGTTCAAATTTATTTCGAAATAATCTCTCAGGTTTTTTTGAGCCTTTTTAACAATTTCTTCATTCCTAAATAAGGAGTCATTCATCCTCCATCTAAAGGCCCCAATTGGCGTTAATGTCATTTCAATCTTTACTGGATTGTGATCGGAGCAGATTTTCGGACAAATCACTGCTTTTTTGATTTTAGGAGCCAGTCCTCTAGTTATCCAGATTTGGTCTATTCTTGTCCATGTCATATTTGCTTCAGAGAAGAAGGTTCCTTCTCTTTCCAAGGGGTTCTTTGTTCGCCAAATATCCACCAGATCCATATTGTCAGTCATTTCAAAGAATGTCTTTGGTAATCTTCCATCTTTTGTCACTGTTTGTCTTTGGGCCTTGTCCATATTTGTAGACACTACTCCATTCATATCTCCCATCAAAATAATATTGTAATCCAAATAGTCCAGAAGAGTTTCATGCAATTTCTTAAAAAATTCTGATTTTCCCTCATTTGGTGCATATACTCCTAATATCAAAAATTTCTGTCCTTGGAATTGAATTTCAATTGCTATGTATCTTCCTTGATCATCTTTAAATATGAATTTTGGTGACAGGCTTTCCTTCGCATAAAGTACTACCCCTCTTTTTTAACATTGTCCGATGAAATAAATTCCTCTCCCAATCTTTTATTTATCAGAATTTTCCGATGCAGCCTTGTCACATGAGTCTCTTGTAAACAGATCAAGTCCAAATGTTCTTTTTTCAATGTATGAAATACTCTTCCCCTTTTAGCCGACAATTTAGACCATTAATGTTCCAACTTAAAATTTGTAGTGTCATTTTGTAGCTACTCTCCTTCTCCTCCAGCAGCCCCAAGAAGATTTTCTATGTCTGTCGGTGGCGTTGGTTTCACTTTTTCCTGCTTCTTGTCCGGTATCGCAATGTCTTTTCCCAATCCTTTCAGTAGATCTTCTTCATATGCACTCAGGAACTTGTTCTTTTCCTCCACTGATCTGATCTTGGTCTTTCTTCCCTTAAAACTAAAGGATAGGCCTTGGGGAAATTCCCACCTGAAAAGAATCTTATTTTTCTCAACAAATCTACCAGATCCCCAAAATCCTTTCTCAAATCAAGAAGGTGTTTTGGTATATCTTTAAAGATTTCAACTTTTGATTGTATAATTGTCAAGGGTTTTTCGTAATGCAAACCCAAAATTTTGTCCCTTTCTTCCTTAGATCGAAGGGTGATCAAACAATCCCTTATTTTGATCTTTCTTCCTCCTTTCCCCAATCGAAAGGCTCTCACAATCTTAAAGTCCTCTTGTTTCAATTCCGATTTCCAAAAGTCCAGAAATTCCTGTGTCAAAAAGTCTATCAAAGTACCTTTCTCCAGCTCAGGAACAGCTCTGATTCTGAGATTCGTTTGTTTGTCTCTCAGGTCTATCATAGATAGCGTTAGCTTATGTTCTGCAATCTCTTTCTGTATATCTGGTACTTTCTCAGTTTCCAACTGCCCCAATTTAAACTCAACAGCAGCAGTTTTTTCCTGTATTGACTTTGAGTCTTGCAACAATTTCTGGATAGACTCCGTGTTGCTGTTTACTTTTTTCTCCAAGTTGCCTAATGTTTCTGTATTTAGGTCAATTTTCCTGTTTGCAGTATCCACTTTCTGACCAGTCTCTTCCACCCTCCTGTTCGTCTCTTCCACTTTTGTAGAAAGCTGCTGTATTGAATCATTAATCTTAGAAAGAGCACTAACTAGAAATTCCTCAGACATTCCACCAATCTTAGATTGTGTTGCCGATGTCGGCAGACCAGCAGATGATTGCCTTCTATGTGTCCAAGGTTTCCCTGATCTCAAGGTTGACTGGTCCTTAAACCCATCAGCCATAACAAAGTGAAGGTCAGGTTACTTTCCCACGTCCACTCTTCCTGTTTATACTTGGAAAATTCCTTTCCTTTCTTGCAGTTACAGAAAGTTCCACTAGATGGACACTGTTGCCACTTAACAAGTTACTGTCTTTAAAACGGCAAGGGAAAGATACTCAGTAAAAGGAAAAAAAGAGTCCAAAGTAAGAGCTACAATATAACTTTTCAGTCCTTTCCAATCTTTCTCAGTGAAGCTGGCCACTCTGTATCTCCTTTACAGCCAGCAGACTGCTTTAGCGATTTTGACAGCTTTGACAGCTGGGTGACAGATCACTCCTTTAATCTTTCAATCTAAAAAGTCCTATAAAATCAAAAGTCTTTCCCTTAATTCTCTTAAGGGTAGATCCCTCCAAAGTCCTCAGGTTAGAAGATTACACTTATTTCAATTCAATTCTTCACGTTTAGCTTCAAATCTCTTTGCTTTGTTCTTTACACAACGCAGTGAAGCCGACTTCCTGTTTAAGCTTCCACCGCGGTAGCCAATTCAGTCATTTTTTAAAGTCTTTAAACTTTTCCACTTTTTACCCAAGTTCCAAATTAGTCCAAATTCTAATCTTTTTATCCAATTCCTCTACTCACGGTTAGTTTTTAAGTCCGAATTTCTCAGGAATAAGTCAGCGCTCTCCAGCAACGGCAACGCGGCTTCACTCAGCGGGAGCAGCGATCCGCTCGCAGCACCGCGCTTCTCTCCCCGCTCCCTTACGAAGCCCCAAAAAGGCTTCTTTTCAGGTGGGGGGGGCGCTTCAAGGTGCCCGCCGAGCCTCCACGTTCGCAGGCGTCCGCGCCTGCGATTTCTGAGGGTCCCCGCTTCGCCGGAGCGCACAGGACCCGATCTCCCGCCGAGCTACCCCCTCCGAATCTTCAAAGGAGGTCAGCCATTGCTGCTGGCACCAACCGGAAGTCCGGGACTGCCTGAATTCTACCACATAGCATGGAAGTGAACTAATACTTATCTTCAAAGCTATTTTGTGACCCTTGCTTCCCATTATATTCCTGCCCATGCTTTCATTCTTCCAACTCTTTCCACAGTCTAAATGTCACTTGCTGTTTTATGTGCTTCTGCCAATGAGCTTGGCGCCATCTCTTTCTCTTCCTTGGACTCCTTCCTCGGAAACTCCCTTTTCAGAAAGTCCTTGTTCCCAGCAGTGAGCATGTTTAAATGTACATGCTGTGCATGTCATTTTGTACTGTCTCCCTCACCTTCCCCCCTCTTGTTTCTTGTCCCATTGTCTGTTTTAGATTGTCAGCTTCTTGTGGGCAGGGACCTTTTGTGTGTGCATTGATCATCAATTTTTGTAAAATACAGACATACATAGTTTTATTTGTATGCCACCTTTCCTCAGTTCAAACCGTGCTCAAGGTGGCCTACAACAATGGGGATGTGGGTGGTGCTGTGTTCTAAACCACTGAGCCTCTTGGGCTTGCCGATCAGAAGGTTGGCGGTTCAAATCCCTGAAACTGGGTGAGCTCCCATTGCTCTGTCCCAGCTCCTGCCAACCTAGCAGTTCGAAATCATGCCAGTGCAAGTAGATAAATAGGTAGCACTGCGGCGGGAAGGTGAATGGTGTTTCCATGCTATCTGGCTTCCATCACGGTGTCTCATTGCACCAGAAGCAGTTTAGTCATGCTTCCCCCATATAACCCGGAAAGCTGACTGTGGACAAACGCCGGCTCCCTCAGCCTGTAAAGCGAGATGAGTGCCACAACCCCAGAGTCATCTGCAACTGGACTTAATGGTCAGGGGTCCCTTTACCTTTACAGTGGTACCTTGGGTTACAGATGCTTCAGGTTATTGACGCTTCAAGTTACAGACTCCGCTAACCCAGAAATGGTACCTTGGGTTAAGAATTTTGCTTCAGGATGAGAACAGAAATCGCGCGGCAGCAACGAGAGTCCCCATTAGCTAAAGCGGTACTTCAGGTTAAGAACAGTTTCAGGTTAAGAACAGACCTCCGGAACAAATTAAGTTCTTAACCAGAGGTACCACTGTACCTTTAACCGTCCAGGGGTCCTTTACCTTTATTTTTACAACAATGAAAAGAAAACACAGCTGCAACGTAACAAAGGTAGTTATAAATAAAACATTAAAAATATACACCCTAACTGAACTACTTCCACATCTATTACAAGACCTAAAAGAAAGATACAAAAGGCCAACAGCCACAACGCCCCTCACCCATAGTAGGTCTCAGAGTAGAGTTATGAAGATGCCTTTTCCTGCAGCATGTGTCTTGGTTTGGTATGTAAGGCTGTGTCAGCTGGCGTTCCCCCCCTCTGCAGACACCTCCTGCAATGCATTTGCTCCATGCTGGCAGCTTATTGTGGTCTGGATTGTCAAGGCTGATGTGCAGGCAGCTACTAATGGATGGGTAGCCCTGCCTCTTGAGAAGTTTAGATGAGATGCCCTTTTAACACCTTCCATCTTTGATAACTGATGCAGAACACAGCTCCCAAGATGGAAGGATGAAAGAACTGTTTTTGAATTGAGAAAAGAGAATTAAGGGGAAACACTTTGATGGTTTTCAAATTCCAACTACAGTAGTAGATAGCGCTTTTTACTGAAGGGGGCACAATAGAATCAAAGAGTTGGAAGGGACCCAAGAGGTCCTCTAGTCTAACGCCCTGCAATGCTTTAGCAAAGGGTTATGAACAGCAGGGAGGCAAATTGAGTAAATGCCTCAAAAAAATACCCTGGTTGTAAGAGACATCATTGCTAGAATAAAGCTCTAGGGTTTCCATATAACCCAAGGTTTATTTACTTAAATATTCATAAACTGTGCACTCCACATAAAATATCAAGGCGGAGCACAACAATATATCCAAGTACAATCCATTAAATAAATACCACAAAGCCTACATGAAATAATAATAAAAATGACTGACTCTTGAGACAGTTTAAATGACAGTGTGAAAAGGCCTTGTGAAAGTTAGCAGTGAGGATGTTTGCTAAATCTCAGTCAGAAGAATATTCCACAGCATGGGGTCAGCAACACCAAAAGCCCAACTTTCAGTTGAAAGCAATCCGGCTTCCAAAAAACTGGGGAACAGCTAACACTGATCCTCCGAATGATCTGAGTGACCCAAGCACTTTAGGACTTTGTATTTCAACGCAGGAACACTAGAACTGCCTCGGTAGTGCAGATGTTTTAGCAGAGCTGACACAAAGCAGCTTGATATTCAATTCCTCATCATGTACAGAAGTGGTTATTTTTCGGACTACAGTTTACATGCATCAAAGAAGTAATTTGAGATACAATCTGAGTCTGGATGCAATGTGTCATAGCATTGTTGTTGTGTGGCTTTGCAAATGTGGTAGCAATTCTGTTGCTTCACAGAGGCCTTTGGTCAGTTTCTGTATCCAGTTGGTTTCACTTAAGTCTTACGATTGTGTCTGATACATATTTTTGTTTACAGTCTCTTCTCATTCTTCACATTCACTAAAGTCTTCCAGTGAATCACTCCTAACATTTTTAAGCGAGCTATAGACATGTTAATATTGTTTTAAACCACACACACTAGTTTTTATCCTGGGACCATCCATAAAGTGTTGCAGTGTATTCTCACCTGCTAACTGAAGTCTTCCCCTTTAGCGTTTTGGCCAGTAATTTCCTCCGAGAAGAGCATTCTACCCACCTTCATAAATGCCCATTTTTAATTTCCAGCTGACAATATTCTGTGATTAATGAGCATGCTGAGTCTTCACTGGACTGGGGTGCTTTTTGGGTGTGCATGTCTTGCCCCTGCATATTTGTATGTCTGCAAACCTCAGAGTTTCCTCCCTTTTGTTTCTCAGAGGCCCCTTTGGCCTTATTTCTTTCAGTACTAACCATCTAAGTCATGGGTAGGCAAACTAAGGCCGGATGCGGCCCAATCACCTTCTAAATCCTGCCCGCGGACGGTCCGGGAATCAGCGTGTTTTCACATGAGTAGAATGTGCCCTTTTATTTAAAATGCATCTCAGGGTTATTTGTGGGGCCTGCCTGGTGTTTTTACATGAGTAGAATGTGTGCTTTTATTTAAAATGCATCTCTGGGTTATTTGTGGGGCATAGGAATTCGTTCATTCCCCCCCCCCCTTCAAAATACAGTCCGCCCCCCACAAGGTCTGAGGGACAGTGGACCGGCCTCCTGCTGAAAAAGTTTGCTGACCCCTGATGTAAATTGATGGAATAGCATGTTATTAAAAAGGGAAGATGTTTTATCCCCATAAATACATACTAGTCAATTAACTCATGGGTTACAGTTACCGGTACTTGATTGCTTGATCAATCAATCAATCAATCAATCAATTCAATTTTCGCATAAAGAAAGCATTAGTTCTGAAGTTAAAGGCATGCTTTGTTGGTTTTCAGATTGAGCTCATGTGTGTGCTAGAGGTCATCGTAAGAAAGAAGGGGAATACGACAGCATGTGCTGCTCACAGGTTTTTTAGGTCACCCCAGGGTATGTATGGTCTGAAAGCAAATGAAGCTGTGTCTGGATGGGTGACTGCCTAGGAACCACAGTATGCCATCTTAGGTTCCATCTCAGAAGAAGAATATACGGTAAATGTAAGAAAATAAAACAAAATAGATTTTTAAAACCTACTGCCCAATTGATTGTGGCTTTCTTAGGCAATCAAATGCTTAAATAGTTGATTGAATGTTGATTTATAGACTCGTAGAGTTGGAAGGGACCCTGAGGATCATGTAGTCCAACCCCCTTCAATGCAGGAATATGCAGCTGTTCCATAGGGGGGTCAAACTTGAAACCTTTGCATTATCAGCGCCACGCTCTAACCAGCTGAGCTACCCAGGATGCGATCAAAAACACGGACCCACCAGTTAATTGCAGAGTGCACTCTCTTCCACAAACAACCCTTATTTCCGTGGTGACAGTCTAGTCTGAGCTTGGGAAGGAGGCACAAAGGGCTATATTGGAACAATCATGGAAGAACATTATGTGCTGCTGAGAGGCTTGCCAGCTACTGTTTATTTCCCCAACTGTATTCTTCACTTTGCTAAGAGAAAGGGAGGAGGGATGGCAAGCCTTTGTAGTTGTCAGCACCTGAGGTGTGCCCTGCGTTGACGAGGTTGTTAAACCAGTCATGGCATCAACTTGCTGGGGAAAAGTTGCTTTGCTGGGCAATGGCTTTATGGCACTGACCGACTCGGTATCGGTTGAGATTTTACTGGCACTTAATTTTTTTCTCCCAGATGTGGCAGCTGAGCCAGAAGGACCTGCAAAGCCAGCGAAGCTGAAACTAGTATTTCCCTTCCCTTCCTTTTCTGCCACTTCTTTGACTTTTTGACAGCAAGAAACTGGATTATTGTATGTAACAACATGTGAAGAACCAATAAATCAGGGGAACTCTGCCAAAGGGTCTGCATATTTATAGAGAAGCCAGTGAAGGTCCCTGTAAATTGAGAAGAACCTAAGAACAGGCACCCCCCTCTGTTAACTGGAAAAAACCCAACAGAGTTTATTCACAAGCTTGTAAGAAGAGGCTTCGTGATCAGGCCAATGATTGATTTAGTCAATTATCTATCCTGTTCTCACAGTGGCCAACCAGATGCTTACGAGAAACCCCAAAGCAAGACCTGAGCACCACAGCACTTGCCACACTTGTGATTTCCAGAAGTTGGCATTTAGAGGCACGCTATCTGTAACCATGGAGCTAGAACATATTCATCATGGCCAGTAGCCATTGATCACAATGGCTATATTCTACTTCCATTGTTGGAGGCACTATGTAGTGTGGGAGTCAAGTAGCTTTCCTTTCGGTGCATTTCAAATAACACTTTCTAAACAGAAGAGAGTGAGTTACGGAACTGTCTACCTAGTCCAGTGAAAGAACCATGTGAATTTATATCGCAATGGGGCCATTTCTCATCCCCTCACTACACCCTATTACCCTTGCCATGAAAGAAGATAAATGACTGGAGCAGGAGATGGGCTTTTGGAACGAGTAGTGGTTCCAAGGCGTTCAGAAAACGTTTCTCTGGGGATCAGGACTTACCTTCTTTTTCAAGGGGCAGGAAGAAATTTGCGTATTTGTGATTGTTTTAATTGCCTGCAACTCATACAACAGGGTGTGTTTTGCTTGAGCCATGTGTACAGTAAACATTTTTGCAAGCATTAGTACATTAAAGTGGACTTGCGAGTATTCAAAGGAGGCAAATTTCTAAATGCATTTCTCTTGGAGTAAGCCCTACAGAACTGGACTTGCTTTTGAGTAGACTCATAGGATGGCTCTGCTAATGTGTGCTCTAATTTACAGCTTGCCATTTTCCTGCTTCGCTTTTCAAAGGTTTTCCAGGGTGTGGTCAGGCACAAGCTGTATCTGTGATGTTCCAGATCAACATGACAAAACCACGAAAGAGGGCAAACCTATGTTGACACCATCCTTAAAAATAATTTCATCAACCTACCCTTATATTATGTGCTAGTAATGTAATTGTGGCACACCATAATGGTGGTTACTTGGGAGGAAAAATATCAGTATGGATGGTTCTACTTTATTCAACCTCTCCTTTTTTGTTGTTCTTAAAGCAGCTTTTTAGCCCTTATGCCTGCTCGAATAGACTCAAAATGTGGAGTCAACGCCCCTTTGAGTAGGAATTTCTGTGAAACCGAGCCCAAGCATTTATAACAGAAACAACTGATGTATTTTGCCCATTTACCCCTGCCTCCACTCCCTGTCTTTTCTGCTGTAGTTTCCTGTGTGTCAAATTTTAGACTGCAGGCTTTTGGGGGCAGGTATATTTTTTCTCCTCTTGTACTATTTACATCATGCACAAAGGTGGGCGCTACCTAAAACAAGAAATACAAATTACGATCACTAGTTGAGGTAGAAGACTGCATAAAAAAAGCAGAAATTGTATTGTGAGATTTGGGGTTTGGTCTAGATGTCTTCTAAGTGGTTGTAGAGCAGGTGGGTGAGGCTCTGGACCTTGGAAGGACTGCCTTAGGCATGTGGTTAAATATACCAAACAAGCCTGACATTGCTAAATAAAGAATGTTTGTTTTCTTAAGGCGATTTCACTATATAGCTGAATTCTTCCTGATCAGCTGTTACCAACCTGCTATAGCTCTCCCGCTATTGTCGAACCACAGCTCCCATCAGTTCCAAACTCCTTGTGGTTCTAATCACATTTTTGGCACCCTGTGTTTCCGCCTTTCTGCAAGCTGGAGCAGAACCAAACATGTGCTGGTAAGATCTGTGCCACGTACCCTGGGTTGCCTGTACCTGGTGCTACCAGCCAGGGGAAAACTGGACGTCATACATCTTAAAGCAGGCATAGGTAAACTCGGCCCTCCAACTGTTTTGGGACTACAACTCCCATCATCCCTAGCTAACAGGACCAGTGGTCAGGGATGATGGGAACTGTAGTCTCAAAATATCTGGAGGGCCGAGTTTGCCTTTGCCTGTATTAAAGTAAAATAACATGTAGCTTTGATAAAAATAAGGGTGTTTTTTTTTTTTTTGCCAGCCTCAGAGAAGGAATAGGATAGAAGATGGGGGTGGGGGAGAGGATTGGCTCAGAGGACTTCTTAGCTATTTTCATGATGTTATTCATGTCATTTGGGCTTTGTGTTTTTTAAAATCAATAATCAGTATGGGGATTTGGATCAGAATCACAAAGAGGGCAAAGGGTAAAGCCCCACTTCCTTCATGCAATGGTCCCAATCCATTGTGGTTCTTCCCTACAAGCAATTAACACCACCACCACCACACATACATCCAGAGTCTGGTCCTGAAGTGGATGGAAATCTATGAGTTACCCACAACCTGTATACGTTAGTTGACCTGCTTATGAATTATTTTACAATGTTGTGAAGGAAAAGTCTCACATGGGGCCTGCCTACTGAAGGAGCTGCGTATGGTTGATGGGAAGGGGCTGACAGAGTTGAGGAGGGTTTAATTTCTCATGTGCCCTTTTTCTTCAGAGATGTTTATGTCACTGGCATGTGGCTGGCATGTGGTAATGGGAAATTCTGGTACAACACACATATACACTATAAAATGTACATGCACGCTCTTGAGAAGAGGAAAAATGAAAAGGGGAGGAGACCTACATTCACAATAAGCCAAGAGTGGAGAACCTTGAGAGAGAAGCAAACACATATTTCAGTGCTTTTCTTTGACTAGATCATAACCTGTGTATTCAAGCTGTAATCCACGCCAGAACAAAAGGTAAAAACAAAAACCAAACAAAAATAGAGAATACGGGAAATGTTTAGTAGCATACTTTTCGAGTTTATTGACCTATACAAAATCATAGGTCTTTAAAAAGTCAGGAGTAGTAAAAGAATAGGCAAAAAAAGATATCCTTGTTTCTAAAAGGCTATACAAATATGCACAAAAGAAATAAATTATTATTTTTGTTTCTTTTTTCCAAGTTTATTCCAAACTTTAACTCTAATAATACAAATGACTAAGGACCAGCTTAACAAATTCAGAATCTCTCTGTATATATATATATATATATTTATAGAATTCTTTTTACATGATTTGGAGTATCAGTAAAAAAAAAAAGGTTCAAAAACCTTCCCACCCCCTGAAACTTTTCTATTCACAATAACAAGGAGTGATTCATTCTGCATTTTGTTTTTTTAAAAAAAGGAAGATCCCCAAACAGCACCATTGGATAGAATCCTGAAGCACAGTATAGCTGAGAAACAAAAATATTTTTTATAAGTTTGCAAAATTACACTAGGTAAACTTTAGCTAATTTTTTCCTACAGGTAGATGATATGAGGTAGGCTTATTCCTCCTAGATAAAATCTGCAGTTGAGTTCTTCCTTTGTTTGCACAGAAAAAAAATATTCACTTATTTTGTTTACATGCTAATTCATCACTCGGATGCCCCGATCTATATAGGAGGCAATTCACATGAGTGGAAACAGGCTTCCATTCACAGATCCCCCAGATGGCTATGCTAGTCTTCTTCACATATTACTTGTATGAAGGCGGCAACATGGAAAGAAAAGTACTTGAGGTCACAAAAGACTCCTCATATGGTGAGGGATAACAAGTGGAGAGACTTTTTCTACCCGTGTAAGCTTGTCATTCAGGATTCTTAAATCATGCAGGGAGCTTGCAGGGATAAAAAGGCTCCCTACTTCAGAAGTTATCCTTCAGCACAAAAGGGGTCAGAATGAATCATGCAGCCTCAAGGGCAGGGTGAACACACAGCCTTGCGGTCCGTTTATATCTGTGTTGCCTCTTTGTTATTGTGTGAAGACGGCTACTGTCAGCTCAAGCCAGTTCACTCTCCAGCCTGGTGTTCCTTCCCCCTTTCTCTCTCTCTCTCCTTGGACAACAGATAATGAACACTGATCACATCTTGAAGGTGAGAGGTTGCACCAGGAGAGAAGCAGGGGCTGTTCAAGTCTTCTGCTCTACTCCTGACTTCATTGACTGGGACCAGCGAATGCATAGTGCACCTGCTTTTTACAGATAGCAGATTTTACAATTTAAATGCCCTTTGATTTTTAAGGCACCAACTTGGTATTACTGTTAAGTGCAATTGTGTCCACTGTTTTTTTTTAAAAAAAAATAATACTGGTCAATATAGTGAAGCCGTTCAATGCATTGGACATATTGTCACATCAGTAATGCAAATATTCTTGCAAACTTTCTGTTTCTTAAGATGTATCAAAACCAAGTGTTTCCCTGTGCATTCCACATTTAAACCTGCATGCATTCTTGTATAAATGAAAATTTATCATGGAGAGGTGTAAAATTACTCCCTCCTAGGAAGCAATTTGAAGATGCCTGCTTGCACGTTCCAGAAAACAGCCACCCTGCTGCCACAGATTTATGTGGTACATTGCAATGTGCAACTACTGCTTCTTTTATTTTCATGGTGCTTCAATGAGAAAGAGACATTCAGGACAGCACATCTTAAAAAACATCTTTAACCTCATTCAAAATACTGTTTAAAACCCCAAACATCCTTCAAGTAGTGCTGCAAAGTCAACCTTCTGCCCTGTAGCCCACAAACTCGTCTTCTTGATCAGCAGATGCTACGACAGAAGCAACTCCACCGTTGTAATTTTCTTTCTCTCTGAATTGTGCTCCTAAAATGGTCCCAACAAGAATCCCCTTTTCACATTTTTTTGAAGTCTGCACCATCATCTTCTTTCCGTCTTTTTTTTAAAAAAAGTGCTTTCCAAAATACTTCAACCAAAGGCTGCATTTTGTGGTAGGAGATTTAAAACCAGAGTTGCACCAGGAAGCTAAGTTTTGTTTGTTTTGTAGAACAGCATAAAGGTGCAAGGCACATGGGGTAACTGAAGCCAAGGCTAGGCTCACACTAAAGTCCCAGGCTTCGAATCCTCATGCCAGAACAGTCTCTGGTCACTGTCTTGCAAATCGCCTTCCAACTGGTCCCTGTCGCTGCTGCCCAACTGGCTTGTTTCGGCATACATCCTGTAAAAATATAATGGCTATTAGTGATATGAAAGATGAACTGCAAATTCAGGTGCTGCTCAATAGTACACTCATTTATATTCAATATATATAACCTTATCCTCAAAGCAGTGAGATTTGAAAGTGGAATCAAGAGGACTTGCACCAGTCTGATGCTGGAGCAGTCAAGACCCAGGAAGTAGATAATGGCTGCAGTGAATATTGGTTTCGGTGACAGATCAACCCTGTATTTCAGCTTGTGTATTTAATTACAGATTATGAGCCCCTGGAAACTGACCTGTTATAATGTTTGGAACATAAATACCCATTATCAGAGTATTTGCTTGGCATTTCTCTCTCATCCTATTCTGCAGAGTCCAGGTTAGGTCACAGCACATGTATAAAAACAGCCCACCAAGATGCTAGTTTTGACACCCTATGACAGTGTAAAAGCCTGCAAACTGGGCTCCTCCACAGCCAGTGAAAGATGAAGGGTCTCTTAAGAGTAACAGGAGTTCCTTCTTCCAGAACTGGCAATGGGAGCATTGGTCAGTGTTCTGGATTGGAGCCAATGAAATAAGCTGTTGTTTATAATGTTGGCTTATTTAAACAAATTGTAGTTGAGGTTAATCACAGGTTCGGTTTGGGACATTGCAGTTAACAGACAGCAGGAGAAGAAAACATCCCATCGCCTCATTGCACCCGCACTGGAGAAGAGAATATCATGCACAGAACACTAAGCCATCATTTAGCATTGCAGCTAAATCAGGCCTTTGTGTAAAGCTGCCAAAATCAGGCCTTTGTGTAAAGCTGCCACTCTCCTCAGTGTTTGGCATTAGGTGAGAAAACTCAGGCAATTAGTAATAAAATTAAATATGATTATAACATAACTTTCAGCCAGCCTGTTAAAAAACTGAACGCTGGTAAGGACTTAAATGAACCATCGACTGGGATGTTTTACTGTCCTTAAGAATGCAGTGTGGAGAATGAAGCTGATGTCAGTATCTCGCTAGACAGCTTCACCCAAGCCAGTTCAGCAGTAAGAACACGGCAGCCCACTATAAACCATGCACAAAACGGTCACTGCTACACTCTGCTGGCTGCACTCAGCAAAAGTGCATTTAAACATGCTATCATATTTCAGGCACAAGCAACCTCCTGGACAGAAGGCCTTTGTTCTTATGGGTAACAGGCAGAGTAAAGAGAAGGAGGAAAAGAGAGAGCATGAAAACAAATAAGGAAGAAGAAGAAGAAGAAGAAGAAGAAGAAGAAGAAGAAGAAGAAGAAGAAGAAGAAGATTTACATGAAAAAATATTTGGAAGCACTTGGACTTAACACTAGACTACCTGTAGCTGGCAGAATTGTGATGGGAACAAGGTGAGGAAAAGAGTAGGAAATGCTAACCAAAGAAAGCAATGAGGAACACCCTTGCCTTCAGAATGAGCCCTCTATTTCACCCACCCCATCTTGCAGTAATATGTATTTATTTTTCAGAGGCCAGGCACAAGGCCAATTATCACACACACACACACACACACACACACACACACACACACAGACATGCAGAATATGGATCATGCACAAGGTCAGTTGGTTCACACAGCCAAAGAACAGAGGAAGCTGCCTTATGCTGTGGTGGACCCATTGGTCCACTGACTTGAGTATTGCCCACTACACTGGCTGGTGGTGGCTTTCCAGAGTTTCAGTGGTTGGGCATTGCTAGCCCCACCTGGGTATGCCAGGGAATGAATGTGGGTCCTTCTATTTGGGTGCTGGAGGCAGAACACCGCAACTCCATTCACCATGCACAGAAGGTACCACCAGGAGTCAACATTCCATGTTTTGTTTTAAGATGCAGTTTAGAACTCTGATTGCACAGGGCTCTGGTTTGTTCAGTAAGGCTGTATGAGAACACCCCAAAAACATGGGAAGTCAGAAAAGGCCTCATGGCAACAGGGAAGAAGATGAAGGCACAGCCTTGCAGACCCCTTTGTACTTGTGTGGTGCCTTCACACAAATAACAAATAAACAAGCTTTCCCCCCCTTTCCTTCTAAAATCCCCAAGCCGATGGCTGACCTGAAGATATGCTGCACATGCAAATAAATGCTAAGGAATTAGACTACCCACAATTCACCAGTGTAATAGCACAATGCAGCTCTTGCACAACACATTTCAGGAGCGCAGCATGGTGTTGCAAACTTATACAGAAATTCAATTTATTAGGGCTGGAGTCTTAATTAGCACGTGCAGTTTTTCAGTTCTCTAAACCAGGGGTAGGTCACAGGTAGCCTTCCAAGGTTTTCTGCGCTGGCCTGTGCATTCTTTTACTGCTACCCTGTAGACTCACCAGTGGACCATTGGTCTAGGGAAATGGTTGGTGCAATAGAGAATTTTTTTAGCCAGACCTTTTGGTTGACCTGATCAACATCCCATACCCTTTTAAAATGTGGTTCTTTTGGGGGGGGGATATTATTGGGTTATTGCTTTTATTTTTATTTTATATACAGTGGTACCTCAGGTTAAGTACTTGATTCGTTCTGGAGGTCCATTCTTAACCTGAAACTGTTTTTAATCTGAGGTACCGGTTTAGCTAATGGGGTCTCCTGCTGCTGCCGTGCCGCCGGAGCACGATTTCTGTTCTCATCCTGAAGCAAAGTTCTTAACCTGAAGCACTATTTCTGGGTTAGCAGAGTCTGTAACCCGAAGCGTATGTAACCTGAAGCGTATGTAACCTGAAGCGTATGTAACCCGAGGTAACACTGTACTGTGATCTTTTTATGTGAACTGCCCTGAGACCTCCGGGTATAGGGCGGTATATAAATTCAATAAATAATAATAATAAATGATACATTGCCCTTCCCCATTACAGCTGCAAATTTCTGTCTCAATCTACTTTCAGTAAATCAGCCTAAAGTCCTGCATACTACAATCAAAATGCTGTACGTGAATGAAGAGACGGAGCGTTGTCTGCTTGAGTTCAGTTCTCAGGAAAAAGTTGAAAACAACAGAAGTGGCTTTCTTATGTGTAGGCTGCTGCATTCCAACAGGCAAACCAGCTGTAGACATATCACAATGTAAGCCAGCAATTCCATTGTAAATGGCTTACCTGCTCGGCAGTGGGTGGTTGCCATACACACTCCCGTAACAGCTAGCATAAGAGGATTGAGACAGCGTATCATAATCAGGAAGCCCCAGTGCAATCGGATTCCGCCAGTTCCCAGAGGCATTTGTAGAAGATGCTAACGCAGAGGGGGAAAGAAAATAATGGTAGCAGTGACTAACTTGCCTAAGGATTCAAGCATGCTTTTCTTCTTCACATACTCAAAACACAGCCATTAGTTAGAGGCTGTTTTTAGACAGAGACAAATAAGTGGAAGACTGGAAGAATGTTTTTTATATTGTAAACCACCCTTCGGATGAAGGGTGGTATAGGAATTTAACAAGCAATAATAAGAAATAGTAGAACCTCAAACTGTGAGCAATTGATGCAGTGCTACCAGAAAAGTATAGTCAGCTATTGCAATGAGTTCACAGAAGCACCGCATAAATTCACTGGTGAGAATAACATGCTCAGTCAACTTGATTAGGGCAATGCACCTCCTTTGTATCTACCTTTAGATTTTAATCCAATCAAGTTACAAAGCAAATCACAGAAAACAATTGCTCTGCTTTTTATCTTTCACTACTTAGTTCTGCTCTAATTCATAATTTAGAAAAACGATAACACTGTATTCCCTTAGATTCCCTACCTCCACATACATCTTCCTGAATATTCTAGATTTAACAAAAGTGATACCTATTAATGTTTTATTTTAACTTAAATTCAGTAACTCTGTTTGTATATATGGTAGGTTCTACTACAATAGTTGCATCTTTTTCTAATACACAAGTGCCCACATTTCTGTCATAAAATTACTCCCCCCTCCCCCCAAGTTGTGTGAGGGTTTATCTATTATGACTTTTTGAGCTTTGTGTATTCAGACTGTTTCTTTCAATGGCTTAGGCAATTTTCAGCTTTGGGCAAGAAGTTCATGCACAGGTATCAACGCATTTTGTATTTTTGTATATCCCCAAAGCACAGATACTGGTTGAAAACCCAGTATAAACCTTAATATTTGTCTTATTCTCTTATGTACTTGTCCCTTTGTGCAGTAATTTTTGGATGCGTTTGCTGCCACCTTTCATGAATAAAAATGTTTCATTAACTGCCTAGATCTCGCCACTATGAGAGGCAGGATGTTGAACTAGATGAGCCACCTATGAGCCAGTAGGCTTGTCCCCAGTTTCTTAACCTCCTGCACACTGTTGACACCCAATTACTTTGCAAACCAGCTTGACCATTCTTTCTCAAACCAGTTTAGCAAGGCTTCTACAAATTATTTTAGCTCAATCCAGAGCTCTGTCGTTCTTACGCAGCACCGCATCTACTCTGACACTGAGAAACAATATTAAAGAAATGTTTCCCATTAGATGTTTT